ACTTTACGTCCTACACTAATTCAAATTAAAATATCGATTGTTCGATTGTTTCATTGGTTCCTTATATCATTTGGTTAGTTAGGTTAGGTTAACCTAAACCTAACTCACCAAACGATATAACTTATCGAACAATCGATTATATCGATCGATATTTTAATACGAATTAGTGTAGGACGTAAAGTAAAGTGCAGCCACCTCCTGGCTCGACAATTGCAGACATGCCTAACTTAGCTTAGTCCTATGATTAATGTAGAACTATTACAGCATTCCCTCATCTAAGGGGAAATTATAGACTAACTTATGTCATTCTGTAGTGTCTTGGTGCAGTAGACTTAAAGGCTATCATAAACAAAAAAGTACAACTTTGGGCAAAATAGGCTATGGTGGTAAAATAGATTAAAAACCTACCAACAAAGGCAGCGTTTACAGCGACAAAGTTCTGTTTGATGAGAGAAAGTTCACTGACACAACACGAAAACACACACTAACTGATTTTAAGTTTAAAAACGAATATTATTAGTTTGACTGTATCGCGGTAAATTATCACAACCTCCAATAGATTTCGGACTATGATCTCGAACTAGGAAAGAACCGACATGAAAATACCCGCAGTTCCAACTTTCGTACGAATGATAATCACTTAACCATCGTAAAATTGTGTACAAAAAGCCTTTAAAATAACTAAACGAACGAAAATTAGTAAAAAGGCAACACAGGTAACCAATATTATTCACTCGTTCCGTTACGATATTGGAAAATGGCACTGACGACAAATCAACTAACTGACAAGTAATGACTAGAAACGCTACGAACAGCTGTTTATCCAGACACAAAGTAGGCTACGATACATTGACTGAAGATTACTTCACGGCGAAAAAACCTTTAGACCAAGGTGCTCATATGAAATTATCACATTGTATAAAGTTATATAGTTTCGTATTTTTATTCTTATCCAAAGAAAAGCTATTGAGCGTAATTTGTGTCAAATCAATTATCAGGGTGAGTTGTTCTTAATTAAAATTAAATCAAATTAATTTGGAAACATTTAAATTCGACTTGTAAGCTATACAATATTACATTGTACTTCGGAGGACAATTTTGGATTCGGACTGAATATTATTAGTGATTTAGGGCACTGATTATTTCCTTTTCATATTATTTATACATTGTAATCTATATTTTAACTTCAACTTGTAAATATTTTTGGAAATCATTGATGTTTATCTTATGCCCGTTGTATTGATTTATTACTGTATTTTTCGATTGCATGCCACCATTTTATTTGACCTCGATTATGTTTTATGTGCCATGATCCACACATAATGTAGGCTCTTTGAACCCTCAAAAAGTCCGGGGACGGCATTTGCTTTGTACATAATAACCATACCTAAAAAATATTTTTATTATAGTGTATGGGGCATTTGTAAATTTAGGAAAATTGGTGGGATTTTCAATGAAGCAATTGTGACAGTAGGGTTATTTAGTGTCAAACGTCTGATTTAAGATAACATGGCAGATAGGTGACATCAGCTCATTAATTCACACTTTATTAATTTAAATTTATGAACATTAAAATGTATATAAATATTTAAAATAAAACATACAGAATTGAAAACCAAAACAATATGAATTGAAAATCTATATCTATACGTTTAAAGCGGAGTCAATATTTTCATAGTCCAGTAACCAAGCTTTTGTAAATACATAAATACCAACGTTCCGAAAAAAAAATCCCGCCTAAATAATGAGAAATAATTTTAAGAAAAAAACTTGTTTAAAACAAAACGTTTTTAAAAGCACTAAAAAGTAGAAAATAATTTATAAATAGGTGGGGAGTATAAATACTTGTAAGATTTAAAACGAAAAAACGTGGGGTGCATGCAATAAATAACTTACAATTACCTTCACCTATTGAACTAATGTATTATTATTGTTATTGTTGGTTCTATAATATGCAATAGCATTAAAAAGTTATAAGGTTTCCCAACAGGGTGCAGGACTATTATTATTTTGTTTTGCATGTATGACAACAGCTAATTTGAACCTAGCAGCAACAAAAAGCTATGATACACAATGAAAACTGTCAAAGTAGGATTGTTTACAGTTATGTTTATGTTTTTAATTTAATGAATAATTTGTGATATTGTGTGACTGTTTGATAATTTATTTTTTTCTATTATTTAGGTGCAGTGGTAGTGGCCCAAGGGAAATATGAAAATTAAATGATATAGTATTGCATTGTCTTCCATTTGTAAAATCCTAATTTTGATAGATAATGCAAAAGAAATTCAAAATAACATAAGTAGTATAAGTTCAGTATTACCAAAGAAGTGATTACAAAAAGTTTTATATCTCTCAAAGTTACAAAAATACAATCCAAGCAATCTAAAAAACAGACACAGGATCGTTAAAAATTGTTTATTTTGCAGTGTTGGGTGTACAGAGTTACGTTTTTTTTTATCAGTCCATGGGGAATCACCTAAAATCATGATTAAAAATTGCCGAATTTTCACAACATCGAACACATTTTGGAAAAAGTTACCACATGCATTTTTATGCACATTTTTCGAGAAATTGACTTGGGACCACCGCCGATATTTTTGGTGGTTAGTACTTCATTTCAATAGGGCCGCCATATTAGATATTAAAACAATTTTTTAAATGTAATGATAGAACGATCATTTGGAATATAAATTCAAGTTTCCAAATTTGCTGGTGCTTGAACCCTATAATAGCAATCATTCCCAAATAAATTTCTTAAAGTTGAAATTGAACTAGACAGTTGTTCATTTACACTTTCCACAATGCCTTGAATTTAATGTGTTCAATTCACTCACTGACACCAGAAAGAAAATCAATTTCTTAAAACCAAATTTTAAAAAGAAAGCCGTAATATTGAAATGAAACTAAAATTCTTCTTATTTGAGGCAAACACAGGACCTCATGGTCCTTTCTTAGATTGGCGGTTCTAGGACTATGTTAAGGGAGGTGTCGCAAACCAAGAGTTGGGTTTGCATTTCCCCCGGAAAATTTGCTAGTTTTGAAGCCGTTTGGAAAAATTATGTGCAGCATGAGTGAAAAGTGCCTTTGCTACATTCGAGAAACTTTCCGCACTCACCTGTGGCTTGTGCGAAAACATTTCTCTCACACACTAGTTACACAGTAGTTATTACTGTAACTAGTGGGTAAAGTGGCACTTTGCTGCACACGAGAGCAATGTTTACGCACGAGCCGCAGGCGAGTGTGGAATGATCTCGAGTGCAGCAAAGGCCTTTTGCACTCGTGTTACACATTATATTTTTCCTACAGTCACTATAAAGCATATAAATAATTAGTCTTCAAACACTATACAACACGTTTTTATGTTCAGCTGGCAACACAAACAGGTGTCCTAGAGAAAGTAGTACCCGGTCCGTATCACTCCGCTATATTTCCTCGGCAAGAAATGTGCTCCACGTTTTGAGAATATAGTTCCGTATGTTTTTGTAATTTGAAGTGGTTTCCGTGCCTAAAAAAAATACTTTAAAGGTATTTTCTTGTTTATTAAGACCCTAGGAATGTTTTTAAAACGTTTAAAAGAAAAGTCCAGAAAGTTCAGAAATATCGAAACTATGAACACGAAATGACAGGTTAAATCGTAGTTATAATAGGCTAGTCAATTAGCTGCTCATAGTGTTATTATCTTTAAGTGTTGCCAACCTATTTCCAAGCGTACATGGATTACGTGCATAATAGAACCACGCTGTTTTGTGTTGTTTCGTTGGAATCCTGATGTGCGGCAAAGTATTAACCGTACGACAAAGTATAAACCGTACGGCAAAGTATAAATATGCAGCAATTAGCAGCTTTCTGTACTATAAACAGTACAAGGAAGCCAACTTTGTCGGGTGACTGTAGGAAAATAACTATTTTTTACATTAATTTGATTACTGTTATCTTAAAAGGCTGTTACTGGCGCACTGTGTGGTGGATAAACGGGCCGTGCCCACCATTCGAAATGGTGGGATACTGAGGCCGGTGGGTCGTATGAACCTCTCTCTTAAGACAGTGCTTATTACTGTGTAGTTAGTTTGAACCTTAACATATTTTTTTATAGTTTATTTAGACAAATTAAGATTGATGGTAGTTTTTTAACACCACTAAAAACCTCAAAAATGTAGTAAGCGAAGAACTTTTGTATTTTCTGAAACAATCATTGTTGAAGGAATACAATGCGCGTCGGCATTATGAAACAAAACATTTAAAAATAGGTAGGTGAAATTACAGGGCCGGTAAGAGCAGAAAAAGTTGTATCACTGAGAAAAGGAAGTTGTTGCACTTAAACTCTCCTTTTCAGATTACAAGAGATTAAACTTTTTCTTCGCCAGAGTGCTTAAAATGGCGACTTTGTAAGTATAATTTTTCAAAAATTACTGGGGGAGGACCCCCAGACCATTCCATGCCCCTTAAACCCCATGGTTGTCGTGGCCATGCTGGGCTAGATTAGAATACCGGGCTGGATTAGAATACCTCCCATACCCTCGATAGAATGGCCCAGCGATTTTTTCATCATCAGCAAGTTTGTTTGGTTTGGTTAGGTTATGATAGTTTAATTTTATAAATAAAAAATTAAATTTTTGGCATTTGTAATTTAATTTTATGAACAGAACTATTTTTTTAATTAGTAAACCTTTGTTCAATTTTTCATTATCAGCAAGTTTGGTTAGTTCATAACCTATAGGTTATGATAGTTAAATTTAATTTTATTAAAATTTAACCTACAAACGATACGTTTTGACAGCGACGGTGATAGAGCTAACAATCGGCTATGCACGGTATGCTGCGGAAGCGTTCGACACCAACCTAGCGAGTGACAGGTCAACCAACCGTGATTAAGAGGATTACAGCCTCGGTCAAGAGCCTACACCCGTTCTCTGCCCGATCCAACAAAAACTTACATCACTAATCTACAGCCATGCATTAACTACATCTAGCGCTAAAAAGAAGAAAAACACACTTACCTGAACAATATTTACATTTGTAAAGTCTTTTAAAGGGCTTCGCACATTTTCTCCTTTTTTTCTGATTTTACAATTAACATTAGGTATATTTTCTTGAGAGCTCTCCATATTCTTATCTAAAAAGGAAGAAGGAACGGTAATTGTTTTGACAAATATTAATTTTATAAACATGTTCATAATCACAGTTTTGGATTTTGATAATGTATTTTCATCAAAACCAGCATATGTCTAGTCTGAGACTATTACTATACTCAGTCAAAATAATTGGTTTTCCAGCTGTCTTTTACAACAAAGGCTAAGGAAAGGAAGGAGTTATTTTTTACCCAAACGGGAGACTTGTCTTACAAAATTAGGTAGGTACCTACTTATTTAGTGTTTTATTTTTTGTGTGTTTACACCAGAATCAGATCATTCAAACTAACTGTAATGGTTATAAAATAGTGTTAAGAACATTTAAAAAACAAACTACAAAAACAACAAGTTTTGTAACTTTTACAATAGGCTCTGACAGTTTCCTAAAATAACGGAGTTACCTTAAGCTATTCAAAATACCTTGATTATTTGTGGGCTTACTATATTTTTTCACACTAACAGAAAAATATTTTGCTAAAATAAAAAACAATGGATAAAATATCAGCTTTAGAAAATTTAGCATACTAAAACCATTGCATGATTAAACATCTTCTTAGCTCAACACCAATTAAACAAGGAAGGTGAGAAACTTTAGGGTACAAAAAGGAAAATGAACTCCAAAGATCATCAAACAGTATAGTTTGTTTGTAAACAATAAGCATTGTATTTAGACAGTTTACACACAGCTGATTCACCTGTTTAAAAAATGAAAAATACAGACATAGGATATTGTTTAATATAGGCTACATTCAGTAGGGCTATGCAAGATAAACCTGATCATTGAGTATTTATCAGTTGATAGTACATAACAAAGATAAATTAGGTTGTTTAACCTTTAAAGGAAATAGTAGGCCTAACTATTTCTGTAGCATTACCTACTAAGTTTTTATTGAAACAGGTTCATAAAGTAATGTTATACCGGTAATTACATCAATGTCCAGCATAAATAATATTACTACGGAGAGTATAGTAAGGTGCGGCAAAAAAACTATTTTCTGCATCGGGCTGTCTGAGGGTGGTAGGAGTAGGCTCGTTGGAAAGCCTACACACTCTGCCATTGTCTGTAGTTATGAAGCAGTGGTCACTTGAGCAATACATGTTTGTTATCGAGTTGTTTCTAAAAAGTAATGATTCATTGCAACTCAACTTGCATTCTTTCAACTAGGGCGACATGGAGAAGTTCCGTCGCATAGTACAATCATAAGATTGGTTACTAAGTTAAGAACAAAGGATTCTGTGTTAAAAAAGAAGCTGACATGCCGTCCAAAGTCTGATCGAACGTCAGACAATTAATATTCGATTTGGTTCGTGCTGCTGTGGAACAGTCCTCGTAGGCCCACCCGAAAACAAACGGCTGCTTTGAACATGTCTGTCTGCTCAATTAGGCCTACACAAATTTTGAGTTGCGATCATAATTTTCATCCCTATCTTGTTTATCTGGTTTATTTGAATTTTGTTGATTATCTACACAGATAATCGCAACAGAGCCTCTCCATGTCGACCATTAGGCCTATTGAAAGATGCACAGAATAGCCGCTGAGTTGAAATTACTGAATCATTCATTACTTTTTTTAAACGACTCGATATACACATAGCTCAGGCAACCACTACTATATGACTACAGATGGCAGTAGGTAGGCTTACCAACGAGCCTACCCTCACCACTCTCAGACGACCTGTCGATGTACAGTGTGCTGCAGAAAATAGATCTTTTTTTTTGCCGCACCCTCTATTCCTACAGTCAGTCTAGTAATATTACTACAGTGAATATAAATTGCGTCAATTAGTGTGGCGAGTGGGATGTACATGCGAACAATGACCCTTTCCCCACTTTTATCTATAGGCCTACAACCATCTCTAAACTAACTTTAATACTGCTAGTAAATAGAGGTGTGACTCTTAGTTCTGTTGTGAGCCTGTCCTTCGTCCCTTCCTACATGTAGGCTACCCTACACTTAACTTCTAAAATCTGATTTTTTTATTAACATTTAAAAAATGTCAATAATTAATGAAAGTCACAATAATAAATAGGCCTAGGCCTACATAGATAACTTAAACAACCAACAGAAAATTATATTGAGCATTCTACATAGCCTATGTTCGACTGTTGCTATTCAATCAACTCGGTAACCAACAAGCACAGAATAAAATTTTCTGTTTGGTTTGCAAACTCCTAAGAAAACACTATCAACAACTGTTTTTAATAATTAAGCTATAAGTTACTTCTATATACTCACTCAGTCAATATATAATTATTTATATTGGGCAGTGTGCAGGGGGAAGTTTAGTGTTTAAACTTCCTATAGTTGTGAATCTTAAAGAATTTTCTTAGGCTGTTGGTTTGTAGTGCCGGGGATACTTGTTTACGAGACACTAAGTTATTCATCGTCTGAGATGATAACTGATAAATCTTCTACAATACTGGCGGCCTCTATTAAGTCAGAGTCTGATATGTGGCTACTTTCAACTTCTTTCAACACCGTGTCAACATCACTGATGTCAAAAAGATCATCTTCCAGTTGAAATTTAATTTCTGGAGGTAACTGTTGAGCTTCAGATCGGAATGATGAACATTCTGGGTCGTGGCACTTTTGGTAATAAACATATGTCTTTAAATTGACAATGTATTTAACATTGTTACTTTGGTGTTCTCTTTTAATATTATTACAATATCTATTTCCTATGATATCATAAACAATTACGCTTGTCGTGTTAAAATATGTTTTTTTCCATATTTGACCAGGGAAAACTAATGCATTAATAAACTTATCGACAAGAGGATAAAGAGATTGATTGATTGAAATATCTTCATTAGTCTTGGAATAATTTGGCAGCGATTTTGTCAAATCATGTTTGGTGTCAGTGCTTTTAGCATCAAACATAAAATAGGTTTTGAAATCTATTACATTGACATCATCAATGTCTTTAGGAGTCCTAAAATATGTGATCAATGAATCAAGGAAAACGGTTTCTAAATAAATTTCACTACCAAGCCTGTTATCCTTTTTCTCTTTGCATACCACTGCGGAGTAGTTATTATCATCACTGATTTCAAGGGGCGAATTCTTTCCCCATTTGGTGTTCTGAAAAATTCTAAAATGTCTGTTTTTGCTGTAAACACTTAAATCACATATTAGACGTTTGTTTCCTTTCTTATCAAGGACTATAAGACTATTAAGAGTATCTGATGAAAGACCAATTTGTTTAATACAGCCATGTAATAATTTACAGCATTCACATTTATCAGCTAAAACATCTGCTTTTGGTTTATCAATTCCTGAATACCTTTCTGAGGCAGTAGGATCTATGCACAGTTCTAATTTCTTACAAACAAAATTCACAAAATCACCAACACTTTTGTTATTACTGAAAGCAAGTGAACCCAGTTGAAATATTAAATGACGACTAAATTTACTCTCAGTGGAGGAATCTAAGTTAAGGACATTTTCTTTGTCCACTTTAACATTGAACAATGTTGACAAAAAGTAAACAATGACAGTGATAAAAGTATTAACGGTTGCTGGACCATCTTTCCCCAGATTATATTTAGTATCAAATTCTATATCAAAATAAAGCTTGCTAACAGTGGATTCAGGTATTACTTCATATGCACATCTCTCAGAATAATTCTTTTGTATATCATAATGCCAAAAAATCTGTGGGTGTGCGACAAGAAATAAACGTTGCCCATCTGATTGCTGAAAAGCAAATGTCATAAGTCCATTTCGCAACTTTTTAGCAAACTCTAAGGCATCACTTTGTTTTTTGAATACTTTCCAAACTTGTGATGGACCCAATAAGTTATTTAGTCTGTAAGGCAAACCTATTAGAGGTCTACTCTTGCTAATTTCTTCATCCTTCCTGATCTTTTGTACTGGTTTGTTCTTTACGCCATAAAATGAGCCCACATTGAAAGCTTGAATACAACCATGGAATTCCTTGGACATTCAGGTATGAAAGGATTACATAGCTTATGAGCACTGGTTAATTCATGTTATAGGCCTTTTTCAGTTCACTTACATACAAGTTACTTCAGGCTAGAATCGAATCACTAATTACCATCAATGTTGAACACACCCACTATTTTCTAACAAATAAGTCATGAGTCCAATACTTAACTGCCTAGAAATGAAAATAACTGCTTGCTTGCGTATACAGTAGTGTATGATCTTAATTCGACATACAGAATTTAGTTTGTGTTTGTATGAAAAGATAAAAGATTTGGCGCCACATTCATTCGCAGACTAACCTTAAACATGTGTAACTGTCATTAGTAATACTGTACTTACTTACTGTACGTGGTTGAATACTTCCTGTCAAACTAAGATACCTAGTCAGACTATTTATGTTAGGGGTTCAAAAACTCATTCCACAATCCAGAGATATTAGCTATTATAAAATCTAACGCATGTGATTGATGTTCACGAATTAACGACCACTTTTAAATTTCACTTCAAAAGTTCCAACTACTTCAATTCAAAATCTAATCTTCTGTCTTCTTCTCCTCTTCACCAGACATCTGATCTGGATCACTGCTGATCCAATCTGAGAAAAAAGGCCTGATGAACTGCAACTGAAAGAAGAAGGAGGTGGGCGTACTGATGATGCTGTAGCTCTTTTATTCAGATTCTGCGTTGCTGTAAACCATCATTGATTATATAACGTAGTTAGGGGGCTCTATCCTATATCTATAATTATTATAGTACGTCACATATTTCACTAAAAAAATGCTTTACTAATTTTAAATAGTTATTTGTGCAACTAGTGAGCAATTGCACTTTGCACTCGAGTTGCACATTAAATTTTTCCTACAGTTACCATAAAACAAATAAATTGGTAAAGAAACGTGGCATATTTTTACACAGAAGTGAACTTTTAATATGACATTTAATGTGAAGTGACAAATACAACAGTACAACAGCTGACCAGCTGATTTACAGCCAGTGCTGCCATCGTATTTCGCGTGCAAGTACCTTGTCTGCATGTTATGCGCTCACTATTTCGTGCCTTCATGTTGCAAATCTGGAGTGATACAAAGTAATTAGAGTGAGACAATGTTAACAAATCAGTGAGAGAACATGTAAATTGTTAGGTAACTGTAGGAAAACTATACTTTCTAAGAGATAAGCATAGGCAATGAAAACAGCTGCTTAGTATATTTGTATTTTTTGATTTGTATTTAATGCTCGTATTTATTGCTTGGTATTTTCGTGGGTGTTGGCCATCCAGAACCCCAATATTGATATGGCTATTTTAGGTGCAATACAAATATTTTACAAGTGAACTTGAACTTGATATTCGCTTTTTAAATACTAAAGGAAGGATTTAATCCATGGTACCTATTCAGGAATATTCTTGGTTTCAGGTTGAGAGTTGGCCAGATTTTTAAACTTGAATAAATAACTTAACAAATTGAAATTTATAACTTATAAGAAAGTTAGTACTACTATTATATTCTATATATAATATAATACTATATTAGTAAAAAACGGGTCCGCGACGTAGGAAGTGGTGAAGGAAGTAGTAAAGGCAAGCTGTCCGGAGTGTGGAAACTGTTTATGACGATTAGATTAAGGTATCTACTATCTTAAAATGCTATGGGAAGGGAGGAAAACAGGTCCGCGACGTAGGAAGTGGTGAAGGAAGTAGTAAAGGTGAGTTTTTCGGAGTGTGGGAACAGTTTATGACGATTAGATTAAGGTATCTGCAATCCTAAAATACTATGGAAAGGGAGGGAAACATGTCCGTGATGTAGGAAGTAGTGAAGGAAGTAGTCAAGGCGAGTTGTCCGGAGTGTGGAGTCTTTTTATGACCAATAGATTAAGGTATTTGCAATCCAATAATGCTAAGGGAAGGGAGGTAAACAGGTCCGTGACGTAGGAAGTGATGAAGGAAGTAGTAAAGGCGAGTTGTTCGGTGTGTGGGAACAGTTTATGACGATTAGATTAAGGTATCTGCAATCCTAAAATACTATGGAAAGGGAGGGAAACAGGTCCGTGATGTAGGAAGTGGTGAAGGAAGTAGTCAAGGCGAGCAGTCCGGAGTGTGGGGTCTGTTTATGAGGATAAGATTGAGGTATCTGTTGTTTTTACAGCAATGGGTGGTTGCAATGTTTTGTTCATGAGTGCAATAACGTCCTATTTTGATCAAAATGTTTTTTTTATGTGACTTTCTGTTATTCTATGGGGGTTTTTATGGGAAAAAATAACATAAGTTAAAATAACTTTTGAACCATAATTTGTATAGCAATATTAGCTATACAATTTTGTTCAGAATTTAAAGGGCTGTTATAACATACTACATTTTTACCAAAATCGTTCTGGCCATTTTCGAGAAAATTAAATTTTTCAAACTCAAAAATTTTGATGAAAACAATACTTTCTCCATATACTTTGGTATAGGGAGAAAAAGTAAAAATAAGCAGTTGTTTCTTGTAAAGTAACTAAATAACAAGGTTAATTTGTAACGTTCTGTATAAATTTACAATAATTTTCTGAAATCGCTGCAACATCATTATCATCTCTTATGATGGCAGCAACAACCATGATGATTTCCAACAATTACACCTCATTTAAAGATTACGTGTAGAATAACTTCACAGCAGTAATTTTTCAATAATTTATTTTAAAGCAATATTTTTACTATCACTCATAATACACTGTAAGAATAATCACAATTTGTACAGTATTACTAAATAATATTTAAATACTATTACGGACACATTTATAAATAATCAAAAATATGATTTGAAAAGGAGAGTTGTAAAAAATACAATGTGATGCATTAATCATATTAGACAGAACAGTAACTATTGGTTGTATGTATTTGTATATATTATATTTGTTACAATATACGTTTGATTTTATATAATGTAAGTAAACAAGGATATCTGTAATAATGTTAGCATTTAGAACCAATCATAACTTCATTCTCACTCTGTAATTTTTACATTAATTTTTTATATGAGGTGTGTTAGAAAAATAACGAGCATTTTTATTTTTTGCACAAAATATTTATGTATTTGTCTAAGTTGTTATCACCTTTAATTAGTACCAATTAGAGATCAGTACACTAGTGCCAGTGCTTCTACCAATAGAAAATTTCTGAGCTCATAAACCATGTCTAATTGTAGTGGCAAGTCAACAATGAAATCAGCTGATAGTTTTTTCATACTTCAGGGGCATACGAATATAAAAAAAAGTCTAACAGACTCACCAAGCCCGCAAAGTTGAAAAATTCTTTTTTTTAACACACCTCATTATTTTCAACAATCTAACTCAACTTTTACAATATTCTTATGGCTTTGATAATGGGATGGGAAAAAATCATAAAATTACAAACTTGTTTGCAAACGTTATCCAAAAACCACAAAAAAAACTCATAACAATAAAATAGACTTCAATACTTTTTTATGGAGCCTTCATCTCCATAAACATTTAAATTACAAAATAAACCATTGTAAAAGTAAGAACCGAGATCTGAATTGGTAACTTTACACAAATAGCATATTGGCAGCAAAGTAGCGGACAATATTAATAGCTGAATCCAGCCATAGATAAAATATATTCCTTATAGTACGGTGTAATTAGACCTAACCCTTAAAATCCTAAGTGAAAGCTTAGCAGCCTGAGGAAGCCCCTTTTCTATTAAAAACAAGCGCACATTGAGAACGAGGCGAGGATGCCATCCTACAAGATCTTTCACCAAAATTAACAGGTCCCATGATTCCATGGTATCTCCAGGCTTTTTCCATTTTTTTGAAATTTGAGCTTTTAATGGAGATTTTCCCATAAAAACACATAAAATAGCCTAACAAAAAAATATAATGCCAGTTTGTTTGTATTGATTTAACCTCAAAATTTGACAAGTATGAACACATGATCGCAATACAGCAAAAAAGGTTCATCTTCAAAGATATTCCACCACACCAAAAATTTGTCTGACTAAAAAAAATCCAACTGTACCACAAATTTTAGAACACAAAAGTCAATGGCGGTCAACTTAGTTATTTGTGATATTATCATTAGTTTAATTTAATTGTAGGTGTAGCAAAACACAATCACTAAATTTACCTTAAGTGTAAAAAAGTCTACGTTACCTAAATGTGAAGTGCAAGTTATGTTAAGTTAATCTTAACACATGTTAAGCAGTTCTCAAATTTATAAAAAAAAACACAAAATTCATACCAAGCATTTATTTAAATTCCATCCTGGATCATTTATTTTACGCCCAATAACAATTAATACAAACCTTTTAAGAAACACAATGCCTTTGTAAAAAATTAAGTCTGGAAATATTTGAATTTTCGATAGTTCCAGGGCGGCCGCTAGGTAGACTATCGCGAGCGCGGGCAAGTCAGGTGACTGTGTGAGAGAGAGTGAGACAAAGAATCTTCTTAGAAAGAGAGAGAGATAGAGTAACATGGCCGCCACGTGAGCAATCGTAGCGGTGGCCGCGCAAAACTCATTTCCGTGACAAAATTTCAGTCTGACTATTCTCCATAAACATTTCGCTTCTAAAAGGGTTTGTATTCATTGACAATAATCTGGGACAGCTGGGTCCAGTTTAGAACCATCAAAAAGCAACAGACTTTTCTCAGGATCGAACTGGGTACCTTTTGATTAATTGACAAGCCCTTAAACCACTCATCTACTCATATCCCCACTTCCATTGACCTTCAAAATAGTAATATATTTTTTACTTTGTATAGTTCACAAGGAGGTCTATATGAAACAATTAGGTACGAGAGGTGTATGTAAATGAAAGGTAAATTTTGACCAAACGTACTTAACTGATCAATTTTCAGTAGAAAGTAAACTTTTACTTTGGATGTTAAGGTAATTCCATTGTTTTTTAATTGTACAACACTAGGTGAATACTTATAAAAATTTATTCATCCTCATGAATGATCTGAAGACAATGATTATGATTATGTCTCGTACATGTTTTTTTTTGTGTTTCTCATACTTTGATTAACCACTTACTACAATAGTCACCAAGTTTCAAACAAATGTGTTTGGATTTTAATGGGACATTGACATCAGTTAACCATTAAATAAATATTTTTTTAATAATCACCGGCAGAATAACACTACGTCAATATATTCAACATTTGAAAAAGCTTCACACCTTGTGTATTCTTAATAAAAAAAAATAAAAACTACAATTTTACAGAAACCACATACAACTGGTAAATGTTCAGAACCAATAATAATCAAAGGCCAAAATTGGTCACTAAAAAGGGATTAGCGATATTAATCTTGTAGTTCCGTGTATAATTCTAAAGGTTCAAATTATATACTGATCATCAGTCACATGATTGCCACAAACTATTATGATTTTTTACACTACTCACTTTTTAGGAATTATTGATAACAAAATCAAACAAAAACCATAGTTAATAAAAAAATCACAAAATTCTAGCTGTTTATTAATTACCCAGCTAATTTAAATCAGTGTGCGTAACGAGGCGTTAGGATGTTCTGAAGACAGGACAAAGAAATCTCGTACACAACCAAGTGTACTGCTTCTGTTCCGAGTAGATGATGTTCTTCGCAAGAGTGAAGGCGCGGCCCAGACTCTGTCAGGGTCACGTGGCGTGGTGGAACTTGACGAAGGCAATGGCGGCCAACTCCTTGCACACCTCTTCCAACACCACCACACTCTCTAGCTGACTGCAGTACTCCTCCCTGCAACCGTAGATAAGTCAGCAGATGGTCTAGTGGTAAAGGGACTTTGGTTCCTGAGGTTTAAATCCCGCCAAAAAAAAGGACCCGATGCTAGGATCACATGGCGAGGTGAAACTTATGGCAAGACTCTGTGCTCTAACTAGTGACCAGGTATTAAGTAAGGTAGGATTAACTGTAACTGTTTGAAAGTTACAAGAAAAGCTAATCATCAACTCCTAGTTTCATGGTTTCAAATACAGATTAAAAGTAGACACAAAACTGATATACTTATTATAACATTTTAAACTTATGGTTTATTCACTGATGTCTCTTTATATCTATTTTTATCATGTTTGTTTTTTTCAAATTGATAGAGGTTTTGCCGGCTCAAAATAATTATTTTTTATTCAAGGCGAAGTTGACTTTGTCTCGAACTTAAAAAATGATTTCGAGCCGGCAAAAGCCTTTTGGCCTGTGGTAGGAATGCTATTTCCACCACACTATACAACATAAAACAAATATACAATATGCACACTAACAGTCAACACAACTGCAACTTCAAAGTTATGTGAAGAAATATTTAAAGGAACCAGTAAAATAATAATAAATAAATGCTAAGAAGTGGTGACAATAAAACAAATCTATTGCAATGCATGGATACTGCTTGTGTATTAAATACATTAATACATACATTAATGTGTTAATCACTATACACCGACTCAGATATTTTTGCAATGGTTAAAAGGAAGGTTAAGTTGGATAGGGCATGTGCTAAGAAGAGAGAAAGAAACAAGACTGTATGAAGTTTGGAGAGCGACACCTGGAGGTAAATGTCCATTGCGAAGGCCGAAGTTGAGATGGACTGATCAAGTATTGAACAAAGTCTAGACGATGAGTGCAAACGTCAACTTGGCAGAAGACAGAGAAGGGTGGATGAGGCTGGTACACGAGGCAAAAAATCAACTGAGATTTGTGGAGCCACGGCAGTAAGTAGGCCTCGGTAAGATAGCTGGAAGTGGAAGTGGATACATCTGCCATTCAAGCCCAAAGGATCACAAACCTTTTGTCAGATGACTGGCCCAGCAGACGATGCCTGGTCTCCTGCAGTAGGCCCTTGTAGTCGGGCAGCGCAGTGACCTGAGTGAACAGCAGCGCGGCCGTGTCCGACAGTGCTGCCAATAGACTGTCTGCGTCTGGCCGTCGCGGAACACTGGTGTTGAGAAGATACTCGTGGAGGTACGGGTGAGGAAGCAAAGCTAGCCGCGATATCACTGCAGTCAGTTGCAGATTCACTTCATAAGCCTGGAATAACAGTGTTGTTCATTTTACATGTAGGAAATGATTTAATCTACTTACAGACCATTTGAGTATAATTGACTATTGGATACTGATCGCATCTACATGGACCAGCTGTCGCTATTTATTAAAAAAGAAACATAGTTCTGTGAGCCTAAAACCACTTGCGGTAGTGTCTAAAATTATATTTTCAATTTTTTTTACTGAGATAGTTGACACGACATAAAAGATGCTCAGGCTCACAATGTTTTCAGTTTATTGGAGCCTCAAGGATGATAAAATTAACCTTTGAAGGAAGGGAAGAAGTGCAAATATCTCATGGGTCCAAACCGCATCACATGCAAACTGTTGGCCTAACGATGCTATAGCTTACGATAAGTAATCCTATCAGTTTGACTTGGTATAAAAGTCTGCATATGCAACAGAAATTAGTAATTTACATCAGCGCAATCTGTCGTTGGCTCACTTCAACTACGTCTATTTTGATTGAAAACCCAATCGCAACTTTAACGAGGGTATAGAATGTTTAATTCTTTAACAGTGAAAGGTATACTGTAATTCAATTGTAATAAACTTAGCCTACATTTTGTTTGGAATAGTTGTGGGGTAAGAAAAGTGGTGGGGAAATTAAAATGTTGAGAAATCAGGTGTTTACAAACTAATTCAGGTGAACAAAACTCCATTTTGTATGACACCTAACAAAAGAACAATAATTTTTACAGTTGTGGAAAATACGTTCAATAACAAAGCAGCTTGTGTTTGCTCCCAAAATGTATTGTAGGGAACCGTCAAAAATCTATCTATCTATCTATACTATTATAAAGAAGAGGTGGTGTCTGTGTGTGTGTTTGTATGAGCTAATCTCAAAAACTACTGAACTTATTGGGCTCAAATTGCACACACATGAAGCTACAGTTCCGAGGATACATATAGAACTATTCCCGCATCAATATTGTCCTAGGGCTATGCCCCGTTGGCTTTCAAAAATCGGAGGTGAGAGATTTCAAAGTAAATTTTGATTGATGGTATCCATGACAACAAAGAACAAACCTACAAAGTTTAAAAATGTAAACAAGCAGTACTGTCAAATTAATTTTGATTTCACAATTCCATACAGCTGGTTCAAACATTCATTTAAATACTGCATGAATATTTGAACAGAGAGGGTAAGGATCATATTTAAAATAATGATGTCACTATCCTGAATGTAAACATTATTTAACATTACTTACTGTAACTGCAATAAGCATTTTATACTTATAATAAAAATTGTTTAAATACCATAAACTGTCTTTACTGATAATCAATTTTACAACAAAACAAAACATTTCACCTGATTTGGAAGATCCCGTATCCTATTGAATATCATCCTGAGGAAGGGTCCCTCGTAGAACTGTCGAGTGTCAGCCTCGGGTCGTGAGTCTGAGCTGAGGTTGTCATCGGACACTGCTTCGACAGGCCAACTGAAGCGACTGCAGGCAGCCAACACGAGGGAGTACTGCCGTTGCGACTCACTCACGTACTGGTGGTAACCCCCCGCCTCCGCACTGGGCGCTGACCTCAAGCAGCTCGGCACGATGTTGAGGAAACTGTAATAGTGTATTATCATAGACAAATATAATTAAATATAGAATGACAGCAGTGCTGCGGTTAGCATAAGTTCTGGCGTCCACCACTAGGAGTGCCATGTAGTTACGTAGCGCTTGCGTCTTAACTATACGGCACTCCTAGCGGTGGACACCAGAACTTATTCTAACCACAGCACTGCGTTTGGTCTATATTTAATTCTATTTGACTATGATTTTATAATCAGTGCCAAAAATGACTCTTTCCGACTTAAGCTATAGTTTAATGACAGAGGTAAAACTGAGGCTGGAAAATGAGCAGCTGAACGACATTTTGGTTTTGTCGTAAACTATAGTTATTTTTTATACTGCAATACTTTGGTAACTAATCATAAATTGTAAATTTCATATTTTCATGCATTATTTGCCATTATTAATAATTAGCTCGTAAAAGAATCGGTCATGATAAAAATGAGACATACTTATTTTGAAATATGCTAAAGTCATGTTCACCATATTAATTTACAAAACATATTTTATTTAATTTTTTTATGAAAGAGGTTGGCGGCCTCTTTTAAATTTGCATTTGGCCATCCACATAGACTATTTGCCCGTGCGTGGAATGTATCCAGCAAAGCAAGGGGTGAGCCGGTACAGTACGAAGAACTTAAAACCAATTTACAAGGATGAGAGGGTCAAAACCTTATATTTGTGGTTTAAACTTAGTTACATACCCGTTAATGATTTTGTCAATGTGTGACGGAGCCATCGTACGACTTACTCCTCCACTGCCATCTGTATCTATAAATAATGTTTATTAAAACTTTGTAACCCACACTTGAGCAAACAAACTTTTAAACAAACAGGTTTAATTCGGTTTGTCAATTTCATACACATTGAGTGTGTATCCAAGTATGTTCAATTGATGTGAGTTCAAGACAAAAATTTCAAATATTGACACGATGGAAATTCATCGTTTTTATTTTACGGCAAGCCAAATCGATAGTATGTGTGGGGAAGACAATTAACTTACTCAAATCAGTTGTTCTGACAATCCTAACTGACAAGGAAAATCAATAAATGTGTGCAGCAGGCTTTAGCAAATAAGTATGAGCATCAAATTATACATTATTCCTTCAAAGCTGCAAAAAACTAAAACAAGGGTGTCGCCAGTTTTTTATAAAATTTTCATAGTTGTTGTGATTTATTGACAGATGGTGTTGATCTAAATTACTGAAATCTGTCAAATACACAAACTTGTTTACCAAATGAAACTGATTTGGCTTAATCTGACTTATTGTGAGCTTTAACAGCTTTTATGATCAACTATGTAAGAATAAATGATATTTATAAAATATAATTTTACACACTAGCGCATTCTGCTACTGGCCCACACAACTATGTTAATTTCTAATAAAATATAGGCGACAGCTGGACCATACAGATGGGATGCCAACTTCAGTAACCAATAGTCATATATTACAAGAGAAATATGATAACCTTCACAACAAGCAATACTGACCTTAAAACATCTGATGATGGCTCTATAGTAAACCGAAACAACAATAGACCCCCTTAACCGACCCTAATGGGACCAAACCTAGGTCGGATAACTCGAAAAGTCTGTTAAAAACGGAAAATCCCTGAAAACTTAAAAAAGTGCTATTCATTTGGTCCTTTGGAAGTCGTGGGTGTATTATTTTCATAATAAACTACACTTATCTCTTTTTCCTTAAGCATTGACGATAGAAAAGTCACAAATAAACCTAAAATACGGTAAAGTAAAGAACTTGCAGTGGAATAAATTACAGTTGTAGGCAAAACTCAACTAAAATTCTTTTTTAATACCTTTAGTAATATCAATTTATGCTTTCCAAATCTATGCTAATCCACCAGTACAGAACTTACAGTCAAAATCAAAGATACAAGATACAATATTTTTTAGGATAAACACAAAATAACCTATTTTTAGTAATATCCTGTAGAGTTTAGCGTATTGTTCAATCAATGAGCGTGGAAGCGGAAATGCCGATATTCCTAGAAATCGGCGGTTAAACTGAACTGCTTTCAAAACAAGGTCGGTTAAAAGAAACTGTAATATTTTACGAGCGAGGGCGGAAATCAAATTTTTGGTTAATATGAGGTTGATTAAGAAGGAGCTACTTTAGTTGCCACAGCAACCAATTGGGTCACTGGGTCACTGATAATAAAGGTATATAAACCACTTATTGTCCTGGTAATCCGGAGGCTACTCTCACCTGGACTCTCGCGGTGCCTCTCCCTCTCGTCTTCCTCATCGCTCCAGGACTCAATGTGGCTGGGAGACAGTGTGTTGTCATAGTAACCTCGACCTTCCACATAGGTCAACACCAGACAGTGGATTATATGTTCTATATTCTTCTCCAGCAGCACCTGAAGTCCAAGTTTAACGTTTTAGAACATATTGTGTATTACATTGATACAAGACGTTTCATTCGCATTGTACGGTTGCAGCTAGTTTAAGAATGAAAATGGACGTAATTAATTGAGCAGCTAATCGAGTATATTACTGATTTCTGTCTAATCCGTTTAGTTTATAAGAAAGCTGCCCTTAACACTTCCAATTTAATGATTATAAAAGTATCGTAAAATAAGTGAGAATATATAATTTTGACAGCAGCACATTCTGTGAGCGCATTCAAGTATGTTCTAATTTAATTACACAATTGACTTGTTTCCTCTGTACCTTCCTTCTCTGTTAAAATAGAGCACGGATGATTTACCTCAAAGAGTCTAAGGGCCTCTAAGCTGACGGCTGGTTCGGAATGACTACAAATGTCGAGTAGTGCTTGTCTGGTGCGGCAAGTCACAACACCAGGCAGTTCCGGTGATCTGCTCTCCCCCACCAGCCATTCACTCATTTCTGCACCAAACAACGTACTTGTTAACAACGTACATGGCAACACAGATTTTGTTGGTACAAGCAATAGAGATAAAGATTATTATGGTATATTAATACAGTAAAACTTCCGGATCCGGGAGTGTTACGGTTAAGTGAATACCAGAAATCCTGTTATAAACCTGTTCAGTAAGTTGATTTAAAAGGTTTTGGAAGAAATTAAACTCTTTGTAAGTAAATAACACATTTTTATTGAAATTGTCTATACAAAAGAATAATACAGAACTGTTCTGTATGATCTACTTGTTCAATGTTCGTACAGTGAAATAAAATGACATTTTAAAATTATCCAAGCACTGTTTGTAGTGGAGTGATAGAAAAAAGTGACGGTTAAAAGGGTGACGGTTAATCGAGGTTCTACTATATCCATATTCATTAGCCTTCATGATTGAGCCTTTGGTCACACTATATTCTACATTCTACGACAGATTCCAGATGTTACCTTTGGTAAGGGGCGCAGAAGTAATGACTTTGAAGCACTTGGTGAGTAAAGCAAGAACCAAACTGTTGGGAAGCAGTTCGGGCTCAAACTCTTGATCTAAAAACAGTTCTCTAATACAACTGGCTAATGATGTTCCAATCACCGGCCTCCCTTCCACTGCCACCTGCAAGTTACCAATCAAAATGTAAATAAGTACACAATTCCTGGCTAGCAGGACGAAGGTGCATAAGAAAGGGTGGTCCATAAATAACGGATCATTTTTAAACAAATGCAAATCAGCTGTTGTTACTCGTGTAATTTTTATTGTTGTCTTAAACAACAACAAATGTCATGCCATTTGAGTAATCATGGATCGTTGGACAGTACAACACCGTGCCTTTTGCATTGAAGCCTATTTTAGTTAAGTGACGTTATAAGGCGCCCCAGATGGTTTTTGCCTTCAATCAGCTGAAAGAGTATTTGACAAAACACCAGACGTAATCTATGGTCACCTCGATTGAGCTTCTGTGCAACAACCAGTATGTAGGGATGTAAATTCAAATCGTCAAGTAAAATACGATGTACACTGGTCCTTGAAACACCTAAAGCAACAGAATGTTTTCTTGGCGATCTTTTTGGACTCTTGTGATGTTCTTATCTGTACGTACCGACTTTGACCTCCCCGGAGAATTATTCTTGAGAACAGATCCCTTAGTTCTTAAATTAAACATCCACTTATAGATAGTATTCTTAGAGGGAACCGCACCATGACGACGGATGTTGATATTATTTCGAAATAACCTCTGAGCTACAATCACAGACTCGTTATTTTTCAAATAGGCTTCAATGCAAGAAGCACGGTGTTGTACTGTCCAACGATCATTGACTACTCAAATCGCATGATATCTGATATCGTTTAGTTACATTTTTTTTTTTACATAGGACTATCATATGTTCTTATGTCCCCTTTGTCTTGCAAGAGTAGATCTTTTCACCAGTTATATGACTTTGAATACAAACTTAACCTAAAAAATGTTTAACTCTGAAAAATAAGGAATTAGAACATAGCGTTGAAGCATCATGTTTTTTTGTGTTTTGGTGTATTTTGTTAGGTCAGGTATTATGGCTGATTATACTTTTACACCCTGTATTAATAAGCTGTTCATCATGTAAAAAGCAGAAATTCATTAACGACACTACACAATGCTACAAAGTAGAAGAAACAATATATTAACTTTCATAAACAACAAATGATAAAAAATCCACTCTAATAATAATGTGGTTTGGTCAACTGACAAAAGAGAATTCTAAAAATGATCTAAAACGTCTCAACCGTGCCTTTAAAAGATAAACTAGTATTGTCAAGAACTCTTTGTATACCGACAAAAAACTAACTGTGAAAGTCACAAAATTTTTAATCTTCATTTCTTAAAAACTAAATATCTACTTTAAGTTTTACATAGGTCTGGGCCTAATTACGTAGACATTTTTGCTACTTAGAGTAATTTTAACTTTTATCAATTTTGGTAATCGTGCTAGTCAGATTTGGAGTTTATTAGTTGCAGGAAAATCAGATTACCAAAATATTTTAGGATCCTGAATTACAGGGATGAAAATCCCAAATAAGGTAATTATTGCTACGTTTTACATAGTAGCATTACTATTTAGTAGGACTAGTCATATATATATATATATATGTGTGTTTTTTAGAAGTTGGAAGCCTCATTTAACCTTGCATTTGCCTGTCCACATAGAATATATGCCCGTGCGTGGAACATATCCAGCAAGGGATGATCCGGTACAATACGAAGGTGAAATGTACTGATAAAATGTTTGCGACAGTGACCAGGATCTGAACCCAAAACATCGCTGCCTTGGACCCAAAGTCTGGCGTTGTTGGTAAAATTTGTTGGTAAAAAGAGGTGTTCTGTATTATACTTGTAAATAGATTAATTTTTATTTTAATGTACCTATTTTTATTTCTTAGAAATAAGATCTGACACCATTCATTGTACATAAATTGTACATATTATGAATAAAGACATATTTGATTTGATTTGTGCTCCCGACTGAGCCACCTCAGCCTTCCCAGTACTATGAGGCAATGATATACCAAATATTTAATATTTAAGCAAAATCCAGTTGGAAGAAGACTCTTTGGGCTGGGGGCACAAAGAAGAGATGAAGTAGCCAAAAACATTTAAAATGCCGAGAGTCTTTGAAGAAGGCATGGACGAAGGTGATGGAGACAGTTATAGTTGGTGAGGCATAGGAACATCTTCACTGTAGTGATGAGTAAGTAACTAAGGGAAGGCTCCTGGCTACTTCACGTACTGACCTGATCACAGAAGTCGAGCCAGCCGAGGAATGTTGCGGCTTGCCTGCAGCCTTCACAACTTTCTTCCACCTCCAGAGGAATTGGTGTGTCCAGCCTAGAGCAGAAAACTACATTTATGGCAAATAATCGTCTCTATAATATATCAGCTCAAGTGATAGATAAAAATCAGGTGGTTAGTTAAAAAAAGGAATACAAAGTTCAAATCTCGCTCAAAATTTTGTGGGGAAAGTGTTGGATTTTGAACATTTTTAAACTCACATGCTCCACCAACGAGGATTTTTAATCAGGTTAGTTATTCTGAAAGTGGGGTCAAAATTTTTTCAATCCTAAAAAGCAACATGGGTAGCTTGACTTGTCAAGGAATTTTTAAATGTATAGTGTTTAGTTAGTTTATCTGGGGAAGTCTAGGGGCTAGAACTTGATTATTGGAAACAAGAAATAAATAACTTATCCTTACAAATTAAACAGCTGCTCTTAGTCAGAAAAGATAAATAAGATCATCCACTCTATTCTACACCTCGTACTCATATTCAGCTCAAAATACACATCCAAGTGTATGTCAAATGACTCAGAGAATTTAATTTAATTACATTGAGTTGAAACCCAATAAGAGCGTAATTTTCCAAAGTAGCTTATCTCTATTCCTTTTTAAAAAGCTCACTTAGATTCCCCTTAATATCTAAACCCTATTTGACTTTCTTCTTTAAAACTCCTTCCGCAGCAAGCTTATAAAAACTGTAGAGTATTTTTATGTCTCATTTACTCACCCCCAAGTGGCGTGCATATCATCAATGTGGTTTGGGTCCGTCTCTGGGGGAATCTCAAGGTACTGGGCCGTCAGTTTGAGAGCAAGACTCTCACATAACGGAGACTGATGAGCAACGATCTGGGCAAACTTATCGTCCGGAACTGACGTCAACAGCATGATGGCCTGACACGCCTTCACACGCACATTGCTGTCCTGCACAAAGATACAATAGGTACAATACCAAGTGAGACAAGATCTAAGGAAGCAGATCTAAAGGTGGTAAAGGAAATAATGTGGCGGAGGCGAATAATTGGTGAAAAAATCACTTGGGGTTTGTGCGAACACAGAGGTAAGTAATTACCTACAATAGAGGTGCAGTGTACAGTATTTACCTACAACTATTTTTTTTCAAACCAGCCTTCTCAATTCCATTTTTAGGATCTTACTTTACCGCATAGTTTACTTGCAGCACTAGTGAGGTAAAGTAACGGACCAAAGGGGTTTAAGGATTGAGAGGAAAAAAGGTAAGTCTAATGATTTCAACACCAACTCATCAGCTGCTACCAACAAATTCAAATGTCGATCAGCTGTAATACTTGTCTACTTTTACTTGAAACAGTATTTATGGTAAGAATCATACTAGCAGTAACCATTCCCTGAAAAAGGTAACAGAAAGAGTATAGGTATTTAAGTTTTACAAACCAATAAAAAAACACAGCCTTAGGTTAAAGGTAGAGTAAGCAACTTGTGTAATTATCCTTTAAGACACCCGTAGACTTTTTAAGTCATTTGCTTGGACCTTAAATTCCTACTAGTGTCATAACTCTATCTTTACATGATCGTTGCATCAATTACTTTTTAAAATGTAAATAATCTTTAACCCATTGACCTAGACATAAGGAACGGTTTCGTATAGGTCCAGGCAGCCCACTTATATAAATAAACATACAGATCTTTTCCATGTCCCTACCTACAATTTGCTCAGAGAACAAGGATTAATATTAAAACGCAGGAAAAATGGATAAAAAAATATAGTTAAACATTTGAAGCAATAATGTATGAACGACTACGGAACACCAGCACCATACTCATCATTACTCAAAGCAACACTTACTAATAAAACACCTGACAAATACTTACGGCACTGTTGATATACGTGATGAGGGAATTTATCAAAGGGAACTTTGGAAGAGAATTAATCTGTTCCACAGCCTGTTGCGACATCTCCGTGGATGCCGCAGAGACGGGGGAAGTCTGCGTAGCCTCCACCGGAATAAGCTTGGGCTCAGCATCAGGCAGGGGTGTGTCTAGAGGACGGAACAGCGGGTTGTTGGGGGCAGCTGTCCGCTGACTGGAACAACTCTGGTTGCTGGTGGTGCTACTAACACTCAATCTCCTCTCTGGGTTCTCTCCCTGTTAAAACCATGTTTTAAAACAAATAAAAAAGACTCTTGTAGTAAAAGGGAGCCTAGATGAGGGTTAATGATCTTTTTTATAGTTGGCCGCCTTTTTTAACCTTGCATTTGCCCCTCCAAATGTACCTTGGACTTGAGTGTAGAACGTTTCTAGCAAGGTATGGAGGGAGCCGTTACCGTACAAGAGTTGAACTGTACTGAGTAGAGGTGGAAACAAGGATCTGAACATCTCTGACTTGAGCCCTAAGTCTGTTGCACCATCGACTGAGCCGACAAATCACCTTTGATCAAACTTGGCGATCTATAAAGTGTACTGAGGGGCTAACACAAAATACGGTAAATGCAAGAGAGGTCAGTTCTTAGAAGCCTTAATCTTATAATTGAACTAGAAATTGGTTGTGCTGGAGTAGTTCCGGGGAATGTATCATTTTATTGAATTTTAACACAACTTAATAATTTGAATCTATTACGACTTGAATAGTCCAATTAATCAATTAGACAGAAACGTTCTACATAAACATCTAGTTAACAGTATTTAAATAGAATTTTTAAAATAAATTGTACCTTTTGTTCCTTAGTTAAGTGGATTACTCATTCATTATCTGAATTTAATCAAATTCTAACAATAAAATACCTGTGGACAAAGTTTAGTAACTTTGAAAATATTTTAAATTTATTTTGCAGATTATGCTGCATAAGGCATCAGAAAGCCAAGCAATTTGTATTACTATTCTATAAAACTACTAGCTGACCCGGCGAACTTCGTATCGCCTAAGTTATAGGTTTCCCCTAAGACAGACCGATGGAAAGAAAGTACCGTTACGTTTAATTTTCAAGATGATCTCGTTCGCATCGCTCAATCACGTCCTGGTTGAAGTTCGTTCGCTACGCTCACTCACCTTTGGGTTGGAGCTCGTTCGCTACGCTCACTCACCTTTTGGTTGCAAATTAGCTGTTGTCATAAATGTAAAAGAAATAATAGTGCTGCACCCTGTTGGTAATCCTTGTAACTTTAATGCTATTGAACATCATAGAACAGAACCAACTTGTTTAATTGAAACAGCTGTTAAGATTCATTAATTCCATTTCTCATAAGGTTAACATGGGAAACTCCAGAGCCACTGGGGCGGAGCCCTTTTAAGAATTTCGAAACGGGAAATAGTTTACGTCCGATTCGCATACCTACAGAATTTACACACCAAATTTCATAACGATCGGTGAAGTCGTTCCGGAGGAGTTTGCAGACAAACACTGTGACACGAGAATTTTATATATTAGATTATTCAGGGTGTCCACAGAAATTTTGTCATTAATTTCCCTGACTTTCCATGACTATCCATGACCATTAACCATTGATTTCCATGACTCACGAGCTTAACTAAAAAATTATAATATACCGTACACACAAGAATAATACTGCCTAGTCAAGTTATTTCACAGAAAATATTGAAATACGTATTAACAGATAACAATGGAGTACAATGTACAACAATGAACTAATACAAACTCAAAACCCATAAACTAAGACAACTATATAAATTTAAATTGTCGTACATTTGTGAAAAATTCCAAAAAATGCTACAATAGTCGGGGTTACAGCCGACTAGAGCATTGAAAGGTCCCCTGAAACCCATCCATCATTGGGGATTTCAATGACTTTCCATGACTTTTTTCCTGTTTCCATGACTTTCCAGAATGTGGACACCCTGTTATTGGTCCTACAAATCGATCTATAAATTTTGTTTTATAATTTAATTTGATAGGATACAAATGAAATAATCTATTTACCAATTTCATCAAGTATTACTATGTCCTACCTGCAAATTTTGGATTAAAAGTGATTGCCTATTCACAATACTTTAACTTAAAATAATTCAGTGAAAATGTTGATGAAATAAGACTAATTATAAAACAAAATTGATTTACCTGCAGCATGTAAACGTAGACTAAGTTGGGATGTTTTCGTAACTGGGCACTGAGAGAAAAAAGGAATTTTACTTCTTCAAATTCACTCGGTGTTGGACAGAGCCCGTTACACATTTCAATCAAACGCTGAAAAATAAATAATTTATTGACAAGCATTATAGTAGCAAATGCAACCACTGACTTTATCTAGATCTATTTGATAATGTTGCAATTCTCTAGGCCTAGCTTGAGATAATGTGAATAGTTTAGGGCTAGACGCCAGCGTCCTAGGATGTCCGAAGGACAATTAAAAATTAACTGTGAATTCAAATGAGAGCAGTTTACCTGCAGAGGGGGGAATATAGCACTGTGGGCCAGAATGGAAGCCTGTAGATGAGTCAGAATCTGAGTGATAAACCGCAGCACATACTGCCGCATGCCGGGGGGGTCGTCACTGATAGCGAGCGTGGCCAACAAGTCTAGGAGGTTATGTTTCATCAGATACTCCAGACACGGAGCTGTCGCTTCTTCCGGAGACGTCTCTGCATCTTCCTTCAGCAGAATCTACCACAGCAATACACGATAGCTTAAAAATTACTAGGTAGCATAAACAATTTAGGTTTGTCAATTTCATTTTCATTTTTATTTCATTTTTATTAAACGGCAAACACCATTTTACAAGTGGGTTTAACAAGATTACATTATACATTGTGCATTATACAGACATACCAACTACAGAGCCATTTGAAAATGAGCGAAAAAAAGTTTCCAGCTTAAACACAAAATCAATAAGACAATCGATAAAAAAAAAAATCAACAATAAATAACAATAAAAATAAATAACAATATAAATAAATAACAATATAATACATAACAATATAAATAAATAACAATCCCGTTATATTACAAATTATTATATTACAAGATATTAATATTCGAGAAGATGATCAATCAACAATAGAAATAACACAAATAATTGAAAGGAATATATCATTAAAAACTATAAAAAACAACAACAAGGAGAAACAACAATTGATAAAGATTTAAAAAAAAATTTAACAGGGATTAAAATATTAAGAATGAAAACGATACAGTGATAAATCTCAGACAAAAAGAAAAACTTGAATTGACAGAATAATATTGCTTGGCAGTTGGCCCTTCCTCTCACTGATTGTGTGGCCCTTTAGAGGCACCACCAAAAACACACTCACTTCACTGCACATGTGGCACTTGAAGTGTGGCCCTCTAGAGGCACCACCAAAAGCACAAAGACTACAGCTGGATCTGGTCAGCAGCCCACTCAAACACTACTCTCCTAAAGAGTGGCAAGGAAGGCCCGAAGAACTCCAGATCAATAAAAGACCTAACCATTTTTTAAATTTTTATCAAAATTTAACATTCACTCATTAAACTACAACACATGGTTCATGTTCAACAGGACATTTAACTACATTTCACCTTAAGTAAATATAGTTGTGTATAAGTCATGAAGCTTTAGCTTTAGTTAAGTTACTTTTTTACTAAACAAATCTTAAGTTTGTCAAAAAGCTCATTATACTGTAAAGACAGCCTAAACTAGACGGTTTTTGTTCTGTTCAAAGACCAATAGAGGCTTTTAATAAATGATTCTCGTTAAAGAAACAGCTTGGCTTTGTCAAAAACAAATCTACACAGATTATTTCACTCATCCTGCATTTGTAGTCAGGATAAAAATATATAAAGTGTGGCACTGTTCAAGTGAAGCAATAAGGGATCAATTTCAGTTCAAGGGGCGACATGCAAGTGTGTTTTAATCAGAAAGTTTACCTTCTCTAGTTGTTCAAGATGAGCCGGAATGTTTGTCAACTCTATTGCAACTTTATTGGTTGCTGCTACATCCAAATAATGTTTCATCAATCGCTTCCAGTGATAAACGAAGTCTTCATGCAGCGGAGCTGGAGGTGCAAGCTTGAAACAAGTGTTTTTATTTTAACCGGGGGTCAACTACATTCTTAACCAATGTAACTAACTAGGGTGATGCTTAGATGTCCATCTTAATCGTATTTTTTCCGGAATTGTTTTTCACATTCTTTAGGCAAGACCTAGGGGTTACGGCATTATCACCTTGATAAAATCCATTGGTGATTTGGTGGGATTTGAACCCAGGACCCCAGGAATAGAAGTCCTGCACTCTAACCACTAGACCAACTTGTTCCCCAACTTTATCGTACCGTATTAAGAAAAATATAAGCCAAACAAATTATGGGTTTTTTAAGCATATGAATCTATGACTGAGACGCTACTATACATTATAATATAATTTAGGGTAAATATATCAACCTCCGGACCTCACGCGAAATTAAAATTTTTTTTTCAAAATGGTCGAAATTTCACGCTGATTTCAAAAATGATTGTTGTTTTTTTCGGAAACGTCCCGTTTTCCCGGAAAATGGGAAAAACAGGAAAAATATTTTTGCTCAAAACCTATGTTGTGGGTACTCAAATTATGCGGAATTTCCTCCTGAAAAAGAATATGTAAATTTTATTACGATCGGACCACTATTAAGTAAAATATCACCGAAAAACGGGAAAACGGGGAAATTTTGTTTTGCTCTAAACCCATGTTGTGGGTACAGTACTCAAATTGTGCGGAATTTCATCCTGAACAAGAATATGTAGTTTTTATTACGATCGCTTTTAAGTAAAACATCACCGGACAGGTTAACTAACCTAACATAACCTAACTTAGGTTTAGATTAGGTTAGGTTAGGTTAGGTTAGTTTAGGTTAGGTTAAGTTAGGTTAGGTTAGGTTGGTTTAGGTTAGGTTGAGTTTTGTTAGGTTAGGTTAGTTTACTTACAATACTCATGTTATTGAAAAACTAACCTAACCTAACTTAGGAACTTAGGTTAGGTTAGGATAAGTTAGTTTAGGTTAGGTTAGGTTAGGATAAGTCAGTTTAGGTTAGGTTAGTTTATGTTAGGTTAGGATTGGTTGGGTTAGGTTAGGTTAGTATTGTAAGTAAACTAAACTAACCTAACCTAACCTAACCTAACCTATCCTAACCTAACCTAATCTAAACCTAAGTTAGGTTATGTTAGGTTAGTTAACCTGTCCGGTGATGTTTTACTTAAAAGCGTAATAAAAACTACATATTCTTTTTCAGGAGGAAATTCCGCATAATTTGAGTACCCGCAACATAGGTTTTGAGCAAAAAATATTTTTCCCGTTTTTCCCATTTTCCGGGAAAACGGGACGTTTCCGAAAAAAACGACAATCATTTTTGAAATCAGCGTGAAATTTCGACCATTTTGAAAAAAAAATTTTAATTTCGCGTGAGGTCCGGAGGTCGATATAATTACCTAATTTAGTTATAATAAAATTAATACATAATTAATAGAATAGATTCTTATTACTAATCGATCCTTAAGTGATATTTGTGACTTTGTGAGTTATCAATTGAAATAATTGTTATTGCTATTTAATCTTATGGTTGGATTGAGTTGGGCTAAGTTTGGTTAACTTAGTTTGTTTTTACTTTCAGCTACACTTTAGTTTATGACCTACGGTACACTCATTGGAATGAATATATTGATCATTCACTAACTTGGTGAGAGGTACCTCAATGGTGTCAATCACTGCCTTTAATACAGAGGGATGTCTAGCTCTGTATTAAAGGCAGTGATTGACACCATTGAGGTACCTCTCACCAAGTTAGTGAATGCCTGCCTCTCAAAGGGTGTATTTCCTGATAGCCTTAAAACTGCTAGGACCATACCTATTTATAAGAAGGGGGACCCAAAAATCTTGGCGAATTTCCGACCTATCTCCATCTTACCGATTTTCTCTAAAGTATTTGAGACCATAATGAAGAAACAGCTTGTCGAGTGGCTCGAAACCCACGACCTGCTTAACAATGCCCAGCATGGTTTTAGAAGCGGGAGATCAACTACCACAGCCCTTTTAAACCTTGCTGAGACAATAACTGATGCGTTCGCAAACAGTGAGTCCGCCTAACTCGACTTATGTGACCTCAGCAAGGCATTTGAGGTGGTCTCGCATGACATTCTAGTGGCTAAACTAAGCAAGTATGGAATCAGTGGGATGGTACTTAAAACACTGGCGGGCTACCTTGAAGACCGGAAACAGATTGTATCACTGAGTGGGGCCTCCTCTAGAGTTGGTGTACTGCTGCACGGAGTGCCGCAGGGATCGGTCCTTGGCCCATTACTGTTCACAGTCATGATCAATGACTTGTCGCTAAACGGCCATACACTGCTGTTTGCAGATGATACCACCTTGTTCTCTCGAGGCCGAGATCTGCCAGAACTCAAAGCGGAGTCCGAACAACTGCTGACGCGAGCCAAGGAATGGTTTATCTCTAACAAACTGAAGATAAATGAGGACAAGACGCAATCGCTGATATGCACTCTCAAAACTAGAGAGGAGGAAGATCAAGATGAACCTGTGAAGCTACTTGGTTTTTGGATTGACTCTAAGTGCAGCTGGAGTTACCATATTGAAAAAGTCTGCGTTAAGCTCTCCAGAGTCTTGTACCTATTTAGGAAACTTAGGTCAATCATTACGCAGCCTTATTTAAAGACTGTGTATCATTCCCTCTTCCACAGCCATATAATGTATGGACTGGTATTGTGGGGACACGCTCCTGCAGCCCATGATGTACTGCTGCTCCAAAAAAAGGCACTCAGAATTATAACATCCTCGGAATACACTGAGCATTGCCGGCCTCTTTTCAAAGATCAGCAGATACTTACCATCTACAGTCAATACATTTATGACATACTTATCCTCCTTAAAGAACGTGAAGGAGAATATTCTAAAAGGGAATATCAGCACAGCTACAACACAAGAAGAGCACAAGACCTGGATATGCCACGCTGTCGCTTGAGTCGCACTCTAAAAAGTTATCCCCGCTCCGCAATAAAGGTTTTCAATACTCTGCCAGTTCGAGTGCGTAAATTGGAACTGCCGAAATTTAAAAAGGTTGTTCATGGAGCCCTAGTGGATAGGCCACTGTATTAGCTGGGAGAACTCGTTGAGGAACCACTATTTAGATTCTAACTAAAATATATCCGCCATGCCACAGTAAAATGTAAATAATGTATATATTGTAAATAGTGTAAATATATGCTTTTTATTGACAAACTCATATGAGTTGACGCAATCTATCCGACATAGTCGGTCAAGGATGAAGACCTCAAGTATTTCAAGTATTTCATTTCATTCGATAAATCGAGTTTGGTCAGTTGGGTTAAAACCTAACCTAAAAATCCAAAAGAAATAATCGATATATCGAATAAAACACAATAAATATATCGATATTTTCATTCGAATGAGTGTAGGGCGTAAACTAAAGTACAGCCTTACTTTCTTTATTTAATGACTCTGGATGAATGGAAATGGATGATATGAATGTCGAAAGTAGAGCGGCTGCACTTAACTTGACGTCCTACACTCATTCGAATGAAAATATCGATCGATATATCGATTAATAAATTGCTTCATTCGATATATCGTTTGGTTAGTTGGGTAAGGTTAACCTAACCTAACTAACCAAACGATATATCGAATGAAACAATCGAATGAAAATATTGAATCGAAAAAACAATCGAATGAGTGTAGGACGTCAAGTAAAGTGCAGCCAGTAGAGCTGTCAGTAGGTGAATGATATGGTTGAAAATACTGATAGTTTTTGTTCGATCTTATTATGGAGTCGGATATTAACGTTTCACCCTCTAAAGTATTCTCACAAATGTTGAAATAATATTTATGGTAAACAGTATTCAGGTTGTTAGAGATAGATTAAATAAAATGAAGTAGGCCTATAAGTTTTAGCTAACCTAACTTCACTTTATTGTTCTCTAAAAATACAGTAAAGTATACTGTATATTACTTAATCTCTGAGATTCCAAAACCACTCGAAATAGGTTTCTAGTGGTTATAAACAAATGGGCCAGTCCACTAGGCCTAGTTTCTACTTTTATTGAAATAAATCCTTGCCTATTTCCTTAATTGGTAGCATTATTATGACTATTAGTTTTTGGTGCAATAATATAGATAGATACTTACAGCATCAAATGCATTTTGTAATACAACCGAAAATCTATTCATCATGCCAAATAAGATGTTTTAGAAGATCTTAAATCCCATGGTTTAAACAGGGTTTATCTGTTTTATCTGTATCAACCAAAACAACACAGACGACAAATATGCCAATTTGACACAACTACTAGACCTTTTTCCTAAGAAAAAAATACTTCTAAATACAGAGCATTAGGAATGAGGATTATTTGGAGAGGGAGTGCTGATACTATATACAATAATTGTAAATATCTATAAAATGTATAAACATGGTATACAAAATTTACCTGTTTTGTATAAAAAAAACTTAGCGAGAATAGCGAGAGTGATATATGTATATATAAATTGAGTAAGTGCCTTCGTTTGCTACTCCACTCGATATGGACCATAATAAACAAATACGTACAATAATAATAACATCAACATTTGTTCCATTTAAACAAATGTGAAATAATGTTTACTTTAGAGCATTGACTATTGGATACTGAAGCTTTAGAGCCAGTAACATCATTTTGTGTATGTTTATGATCCATACCGGGTCTGTTCTAGTATTCATGGCAGCTCAATAAGTAGTATTATAAAATTACTGCTAATTTTCACTTACCTGCAAAATTGTCTTATTCAGCGGTGGTTCTAAGACCTTGTCAAGGAAGAGGCCACCGGGGATTTTGGGGTGTGGAGCCCTGTGAAGCCCCCTGCAATAAAGTTGCCGGGGGGGGGGGGATTCTCTCCGGGAAAATTTGCAATTTTAAAAGCAGTTTAGTGACTTTCTGAAGCCAATTTTAACACCTAAAACTGTGGCAAATTTACCATAAACTCCCATTTCACCTGTTGTTTGTCAATTTGTTTTGTTTTTATTTTGACGATTGTCATGAACTTTGTACATAGTTTTAACGACAATAAATCATTTCATTTCATAAATCATTTCATTTCATAAATCATTTCATTTCATTTCATTTCATTTCAAAAAGTAGACATTTTAAAAACTAACTATGATGATTGCATTCATAAATCTCAAAACATGTTGTAGGCTACGACCATATCCTCCTAAAAACTGTTTACTGACTGACTTTCTAAAGTCATTATTAATGTGCCATTTTCTGTGTCCATCAATTAATTGTCAAAACCCACCCATTTAAAATGTTATTTGTCATGAGCAAGTAAGTAGACATAAAATTAAACTATGAACTATGACTATGCGCCTTTGTAATTTTACTTTTGTGGGCCATGGAGTTGGGGGATGTGCTCCTATTTTGTCAGCTGATGTTGCCTTTTCTGCTTTCTGCTTATGTGTTAAAAATTGAAATGACAACACAACCTTATTTTTAAAATTCGTATTTTCGGCAGTAAATAATTATTCTATTATTTGATTATTATGGCTGGAAAAAGCACCAAAAATCCTCTTTTGACTGGAGCAAGTACTAGTTTCCCTTTCGAGAATTTCACCAACAGTGCCCTTCTGGTTCCAGTAGCTTCTCAAAATGAACCAACTTTACTGCCAGACGGTAAGAACATTTTTTGAAATTTAATGTTTTGTTTCATTTTAAGCTTATTAATAATTGGTCATTTTTCTTACCCAAGTTTCACTTGCCTTCGAGGTGTTAGCGTTTGTTTTCAAAAATCATTAAGTTACTGGTACCTACCTAAGTAGGCCTATCGGTTAGCCTAGAGTATTTCTATTTCTTCAGTTTTTTTATTTACTTATTTATTTTAAGTCCCTCCTTCACATCCTAGGACGCTAGGTTCTACCCTGGAACTACACATTAAGTACTTCAGGCTAGTCCTGGAGGGTTGTGGCATCATCACATGGGCTGAAACCTTTGGTGATTCGCAGGATTTGAACCTGGAACCTAAAGCTCTGAAGTCCCGCGCTCTACTACAAGACCAGCTTGCTCTCAGAGTTTTTTTTAATCATTAGTTAAGGTTAGCCTACGGTTTTTTTTTTATTTGTGCGAAACCTTGATATCTGACTCCATTGTTATCAATTGTAACAAACGATAGTTTTTTTTCTTGGTTAAGTTAAGTGAAGTTGTCAATAAAATCGATACTTTAATTTACGATAATAAGATGGAGAAAAAAATACCATGTTTCACGCTCCATTCACACTAAGTTATACGGTTTTTACCGTATGGCTAAAAACCATACGGGTAATTTTTTGTTAGTATGTAGTGTATAGAAGTGCATAAGAGCTTTCACGCTACACGGTTAAGGTGGCGGCAGAAAACTGCGCCATCTTGCGGCCGTCCACTGCCACTAGTGCCACTGAATCGGACACTTGTCACGCCATGGCCGTGGGTCAGTGGCCACATTTAGTTAAATGCAAGCTTTCATACTGCACAATTTTTAATCGAACGGGAGCTCACAAGCCAGTGCAAATATATCAGCTGTGGTATTCGTTTATGACCTGTCAATTAGACACTGTTTATGATTATTGTGATTCTGTAAACACATTTTTCTCGCCATAAAGTCAGAAACAGTGTAATGTTAAAGAAACTTAGAGACAACGTTAGTTCGTAGTGTTTTTAACTTTAAGGCGGAAACAGTAGGCCTATAGTGTGAAAGGAGCATTAGACTCAAGAGTGACTTAACTTACTAGTATAATACAGGTGTCAGCTGAAAAAAAAAACTAATTATAATGATAAAAATGTAAACTAAAATAGTATGCATGGTTAAATTTCACTAGCCTAATTATTTCTGGTCATGTGTGAATCATAGTTATCTTTTATCAAAAACAACTATTTTAGGTTATAAAACAAATTAATGCCTCATAAGTAAACATATAGCCTAGGTCCATTTATAGAAAAATAATTGTATTTATAATTTATATAAATTAACAATATTTTGATCAATTGATCTATACTTTCATACAATTTATTGGAATCTTAATCACAATCTAGATAGGCCCTAGTCTATTTCATTAAAGGTTAACAAGCTATTTTAAACATGGAATTCCCGTCAGTTGAACACTTTTTCACAAATTCATGGTAAATGTGCTTGTTTTGCGCCGTCTTCTTATGCAGTATCCCACGGCGCAGCAAATCAAGATGATAATTAACAATAGTAGGATACTGCCTACGACTATTGCTACTATAGCACCAGGGGAGAGCCACACTGAAACATGAAACAATAAGGTTAGGCAACTGTATTCATCTCATAAAAATATATTTATATTCTTTGTTTTAATTTAGGCCCTAGTTGTTTGCGATGTCGAGTATATCACTATCAAAATATTGTTGCAGATATTTCACCATAATCTAATTAGAAAGTTTCAAAACATATCTCCCCTGTGTAGGCCTACTATTCTTGTCATGTTTTTGTTTAATTTATTGGTTTTATTGTTTTACTACTTTTGTTGTTAACCAAGGTTCCTTTTCACGTAATGATAAGGTCAGATACCAGATACTAAACTATTGTTAAATTTCTGTCAGTGATAACATGTCCGCAATGATCTTAAAATAAAATTAAGTTAGTTAGGCTCGTTTTTTAACATGTAAGGCCCATGACTTATAATAATACATACTAGTGTGCCTGTTGCTTGAAATTGAGCAATTGCTAAGTACCGGTATTTTACAGGAGTTATTAAAAAAATAACTGTCATCTTCTATGTGTGCTCAAAATCGAGCAACTGTCAATATGAAGTTCTTATTGTTCGTTTTTGGCCGTGTTACTCAAGAAGAAAAGTGTTTTAACACAAAATTAAATTAAAAATATTACTGGCTAATGCTAAGTCCGGTGGGTATAAGTAGGACACTAGTTTATTTATATTTATTAGCTTTTATCATTTACCCTCTGATAGAGGGTGTGTCAGGTTTGATAAAAAAAAACCACTTAAACTGAATACTGGTAGGGTGCCTATAACATACAACAACAAAAATGTACTGTTTATATGCCCAAACGACTACATGATGCTTCATGATGTTTGAAAATTGTCTTGAAGTATGAAAGACCACAATTTTTAGCTTATAAGTTAGTTGTTTTATTTTTGACTACAGATATCGTCCGTGATAACTTTTTTAGACTAATAAAATGTGAATTAGAAAAAATCTTTACGACCAAACCATTCTTGAACATGTTCAGTAAATTGTTGTGTCACAAAATATTTTGAAATACTTATTTAAAAAAAAGTGTTTACCATTTTATCATAGGCTATCTACCTCCCAGCAACGGTTATTGCTCCTATTCAGAAATGCTGTTCAATTTACTCTGTCCTAAACCCTCACCGTTATAAATGTCAATAGAAGTCCTGAATTGGTTGCCGTTGAGATCAGTGGCTATCAAGTCTACTTTGTTGTAGCAGCAAGAGTTTGTGTATCGTCCACTCATCTGATCCCTCGTCCCGGCAATGAAGTCGGAAGTGAACTCAAATCCCGTCGGAACTGTCTCTACCGATAATAAACCTGAAATCGCACAGTTAATTGATAATTAATGTGTTAATAGTAGGAGATGAAGAGGAAAGGCCAATGATAGAAATAGTTAAGGTGTATGTTAGCCAAATAATCACCTGATGTGCTGTCTTGAATGTTAGCCTGAAAGCCCCAAGTCGCAGCATTACATGTAGAAGGAGTGTCAGCGTACCTGCAGTCTCCGTTGATGGTGTAACTCACTTGCGGACTGGTCGAGTCCGACACTTGCTGTGAGCACAAAGTTATAAGCTGATCAAACATTCTTGGAGATAATTTAAATCTATCGAAACGTAAAAAAAACCTTTTCAATCATCATAATATATTAAATTAATTGAATAGTTGTTGAGATTTTTTCATGTTAAGAGTTTACTTATGTAGATACATTACTTTTAACACAGTTACAATAAAAGGGGTTTCAAAAGTTGGTCATTTAGTTTACTGAAATTTATCATCAAACTTTAGATTTTCTTAGAAAAGTCTGTAGCTGATTGATGGAACAGCTGTCCTTGATCATTAGGCTTTTAGTGGTCCTGAATTAAGAACCAGCTGATCTTAATCAGTAACAAAGTGTGTAGATATAATGTCAATGGTCATAGTCAATCTTATCTATTATTGTTTTTTGCTATATATGTTTTGTTTTTACTTATACATATATTGTTTGTTTTTATCTATATATGTTTTGCTTTTTTACCTGCTGCCCAGCAAACAGATAAGTTTTTATCATGGTTGGGTTTTCCCCGAAGGAGGAGTACGTGACCGCAGTAAATGTAACAGTCTCGGAAGTGGCTGCGACATTTCCTGTCCTAATTACTACTCGGATCGTCGCCGTTTCTTGTCTGGAAATCCATCTCCTAGAGGTCAAAAAGAGATCAACAATTAGGAGATTTGTTTTTTTTCATGTGACAGGCACGAATTTGTGCTACCCCTGTTACTTGTATTTAATTACATTAGTCTTGTTATAGTAGCCAAATTAGATTTTTTTAACTAAATTATTTAGGTATTTTAGAAGATAATGTGTTGAAACCCTGATTGAAGCATAAAGTAGCCTAAATAAAGACATTCTTGCAAATGTTCAACTATGAAAAATTAGCTGCCCTCTTTAATAACACCTCATCTTGAAAACAGATCTGAAATACTACGTCAATAGGCTACTGAAAAGAGTTGTTTGATGACGACCACTTTCAAGCCCTGTAAGTCCCAAAATATTTGTCACAATCATTTACCAACGACACATTTTAATTTCTACTTTTAGTACCTAATCGATGAAAATAACATTTTGGAAATTAGCGTTTCGAAGAAACCAAAGCTTAGCTACCATTTGTCATCAGGAATGAATTACACAGAAACAAGCCCAAACAGAACGTAAAATTAAAAAAACAAATACATTAACCTACTCATAAGGCTGGACTGATTGAACGGTACTGGATGTTGTGTCGCAGTAGAACGCAAAGAAGGCGTTCCAGTCATTGTTGTTGGTTGCATCGAAATACAAAGTCGTAACCTGTCCAGCTCTCACATACAGACTGGTTTGAGGGTTCACTCGTAACGTCACTGGCCGAAGAGCTTGGTTTACTATTCGCTGTGATATTTTATTTTTTATGCCTGAAAACAAAACTTTAAAATTATTAAAAATAGGCTGTCAAATTATGTTCCATGTGCTGGTTTAGTCAATTATTTAGTGGTCCTTAAAATACTTAGTAATGAATCAATTTGTGCTTTCAAGCCCTAGTCTAATGTTTAACCAATAGAAATAAATTATATTGTAGCCAAACCGAAATCGAGAACATGAGTACCTAAATTTTTAAGTTGATTAAGAATATAAAGAGCAAATTAAATCATAATAATTGTAGGCTATGTCATGCAGGCAGCTTTACGATCAATATTGCATGCAATTCAGAAATATCTGTATATAAAATTCACCCAATGTGGTATGGTTTCCTCTCTGTAAATCTTTAGGAAATCCCTACAAATCTGTTTATAAATCAATCATAATGTTGATGCCGCGAATTCCAGTGATTTTTGTCAGAAGTCAAAATGGGCAATTTTTCAATTTTTTACTTGGCATAGAATAAGGGAAATCACTAACAATATAGGCAATATAGACAAAACTACTGACCCCTAAGTCACACCAGCGAAAACCTCCTGTTCACCAAAAACTAAATTAATTGAATGATAACACATTTTATTTAAGCTAACATCAGGACCACATGGACATTTAAAAATTTTACCTTAACGTCATCATGCTCAAAGATGTTTCTTAAGCAATTAAGTTCTTGAATTTTTAATATTTTAACACCAAACAATATAAGACTGCACTTTAACCTTTAAAAATCTGAATAACCCACACAATTGTTTTTATTGACAACCGAAACCAGCAAAGTTTACAAACAGTTCAAATCGCGACCTTGTGTTTTGGAAGTAAACTTGATTTTGATTTATCTATGGTTGTGCATAGCTGTTAACGACTAAATATAATTGTATTATCAATAAGTTGAGCTCAAGGTCTGCTTTTTGTGCGTAACGACTTCACTTTGACGTGAGATCATCTTTTATCTGCTTCGGATAAGGGGTTGGAACAACGGTCTCGTCAGTTAGTTGTTTATCTGTGTTTACGTGGTCAACTGTTCTCTTTACCGCTTGGAATCATTGTTCTTGTTGTGAGTATTTTGTTAAAATTTTAATGCTAGGGAAGTAAGATTAAGTGAATTCATTACTAAGATAGAATCAGAAAATCTTAAATAATATTCTTCAAGGAACCCTAAGTTCTGGTGTGTCTCTTTTGCTGACACTATTGTTCTTTTCGTGAGTATCTGGTTAACATTAAAAGGCTAAGGCAGTGGGATTTAGTGAATTAATTGCAAAAATCAGGATAAGAAAATCTTAAATAACAATGTCAGTTCTTTAAGAGTACATTAAAATGAGGAAGGATATATTGTGTTTCGTGCGTATTATGTTGGAAAATTCTGGATTTCTCTTATTTACATCATATTCAATATTGTAGGTAAAAAAATTATATGCCATTAAAATGTCACCCCTGATATAACTCAAATTAGAAAAATTTAAGTAGCCTAGTAATTATCTTTGTTAGAACATAAAGTGTTCAACCATTACTTTTGTATTGGTTAAATCATTCTTATCGCTTTGAATAGCTTGTTAAAACTATAACACTAAGGCATTTAATTAAAGCTGGCAGTATTAAGGCAGTAAATATATAAATAGAAAATCAGAATCTAAAAACTTAAATGCTGAGAATAGTAGGCCTATTCATTGAGAGAATTTTAAAGTCATAAATGTGTTGTTATGGTTTGTAGGTCAGTGTGTTTGAATGTTCTGAATTTCTTTGTGGAAACCAAAGAAGTTTTTCGTTCAAAAATGGTGTGGGAGCCAAGTTTAAGAAGTTGAAATATTTCCCATTGTGAAAGTCTTTTATAAGACAATATGTTAGTGTTATACTTCGGTCTTGTATGTGTAAACCTTGTAGATGTAAATTATAACCAAACTCGCAAGTTTTGTAGGGATATTATTTTTCTTTGTTAGAAGTTATTGAAAGCCTTATTACTTATTTAGTCAATATTAGTTTTTCTTCAGTCATTAATTACTTTATTGTCATTGGCTTTGTCATAATAAAACTAAATCAACTAAATGAAAGCGAGTGTATAAGATAAATTAAACACCTTTCTATCTTTATTATATTCTCGACAAAGTTTCAAAATTAACTAGCTAAGACATTATAACATTCCTAATCTGGTCTTATAGCTACATATGAAGTGTAGCTTTTTGGTTACTAATCTAAAAAATATAGTTATTTAAAAATGATTTACAGTAGTCTAAACTAGTTTTATTCTGTTCCTATAATTTAGGTAAAATATCTATTAATTTTTCCATAATCAACAGGAAAGGTTTCCTGTAAATTGTACAGCAAATATTCAGTTAGTGATTAGGAAACATTTGCAGTTGAAACTTTCAATTGAGCAATCTTTACAGATAACCTCCGCACACAGAACTCGTACCAAACATTTAGTATTTCAAAACAAGTCTAATATTTGTGTAATCGGGCTTACTCTAGCAGTTTATTCGTATTACGTTTTACATCAATTAAAAAGTATGGACAATTAATTATTAACAGTAATCTGATGAATTTAAAAGTAAATCTGACATTAAAATATTACAATAAAATATCTTCTAATTGTTTAGTTTTTCCTTAAGATTGTTAATCATAGTCTTGTTTTCACCAGGATACAAAATATTATTTGATTTTGTTTTATAAAATAATGTTTAACATTTTAATGTTTTTGTAGTTGGGTATTCATGATCTGGCTAAAGCAAAATGGTGTTTTGTAGACAATTTTTCAAATATTAGCGATTAGATCGCAATAAATTTTTTTTGTAATTGTAGTTGCGTACTGGGAAATATTTTTTAGAAATATTATCAGGAGCTCCGCTTCACTTGCGTTATAAGTTTTTTTTTTTTTTTTTTTTTTTTTTTTTTTTTCTAAAGGGACTAAATTACAATCATAGTTGGTATTAAAAACATATTTTGCTGTGTACATTTTTTATTCAAGCTTACACGTTGACATTGGTAAAAACAACTGTAAATTTCAAAACTTAATACTAAACAGAAACTTACTTATCATCCGCCCAAGACCAAAAATGAGTACCTATTTAACATAATAAACTAATCAACCGGATTTCAAACTTTAATTGTTGGGAGATGGGGGACGTTAAAAAAACCAATTCATTATGAAAAAGAGCCTTCACACCACCTTTGTGTTTTAGCGAATTTCCCATATAGGGAATAAGCTATTGCCATAGTTACTCATGGAAAGACCTGCACCCGGGACCGATTTACTTCTTCGTTTTGGGCTGTTAGCACGATAACTCGAGCAAAAATGATCCGATTTTGATAAAATTTTGTATAAACCTAAATTTTTTTGAACGAGTTCACAAACAAACATGATCAAACTATGGGAACCAGGGCAAATAGGGGGTTTTATGGGTAAAAATTGGTTTTCCCATTTTTTCCTTAAAACATAAAATTTATCAATTTGTTTTCAAACAATTTTGTAGAGCTTAAAAAACTAATAATTTAGTACATTGAACCGTTGTCATGCACTTAATGATTAAGGAGACAATTAAAAAAAAACTGTATATTTTAAATTCCCATGTTATTTCTTTACTTGTTTATGAACATATTTTGATCAAATTAGAATTTTTTTTCATTTAATACTATACTTATTTAACCATAAACACACTTACTATTACTTTCCCTGTAGCAGCAAACCTAAGTACTTGATAAATTAATATTATTCAAATAGGGAATAAATATGACATATTTTAGTGTAAATCTAATCAGGCAAATGGAAATTCGCTTAGTCTGCAGGTTTGCTGCGGTGAGGGTATTTTTCCTCATCTTATTCCTAATTTCAGTTATTCTTTAAAAATACCTCAACCAATTCACTAATAGTTGGCAAAGCAGTGACGAAGCTGCTTTAGTATTGGGACGAGACTCAATAGGCAGTCTGGGTTGGAACTTAGCCATATTTGTTGTCGTGTTTCTAAGATCTCGCTTATGTGTTGCTCAGTGATGTGTGTACTGTCAACGATTACTTCGTTACTTAATTCCAAGGTAAAAGTATTTTGAAATATTTATAAAAACGTAAGCTCAGTATTTTGCATTCATTGTGTTTCAACAACTATTTCGTCCATTGATGTAAAAACGTTAGTTATTAAATTATTGATTTTTAGATAAATTATGTAAAAACATCCATTAGGAGTACAATAATAATTAAAGAGGTCCAAAATACTGTAGATATAAAAATTATGTTTGTATTAATTTTGCCTTGTTCTAATTAATATTTATTTTTGTTCAAACTTAAAATTTATTTTTTAACCAGTCGTATTTTTTTATATTTTGGTGTTATGTGAATTTTTACACTGTTTCGTAAATTTTGAGTATGTTTCTTGTGATTTGTATAGCCAAAAGGTTTTCTTCTAGTACCTATTATTACTTTTTTATTTTTTCTACTCTAGGATTTCTAAATAAATTTTTGTGTAATGGTTTTATTAGGTATTTTTGATTAAAAGTAAAATCAATAAATCAGATCAAATCAATCAATAAATCAAATCAAATCAATCAATAAATCAAACAAATAATTTATTATCATGGACATTTACATGCATTGACATTGTCAGTGGAGCAGAACATAGAATTTTTAATGTTCTTTTTCGAACATTAACTTAAGTATGAGTCTGTTGTGCAAATTCCTTTCAACTACAGGGCTGACAATTACAATAGACCATAAACAATTAACAAATTAATAATTAACAAAAAGCTTGTGCACCTGATACTAACAGTATTACTAATAGTATTACACGTCTTAAAAAGTTATGAACATATTGCCAAATTTTTTATTTTACCAAGTAAATCTTGCAAACAAATTATGTCCTAAATATTTCTTGATTTTTAAAAAATTAGTTGCTTTATAAAAATTACTATAACTACTAACTACTGTAACTACTGTATAAATACTATACTATAGTGCTATTATGTATTACTCGTTTAAAAAAAACCTGAATGGTTATTGTTTATCCTTACCTTTAAAAAACATGCAAGTTTAATCCAATGAATAAATTAGTGATCTAAAATAACATTTAATAAACTGAAACAAACAAAACCCCAATAAATAGCGTGCTATAAACTACTATTACCTGTTATGTTATGAGTTGAATTTTGCGCTAGAGTGAATGCACACAAAACAAAAACACACAAGACGGTTGCCTGACAAGCCATGGTAGGTGAAGGATTTGAACCAAAGTGACACACAAATGAAGTCTTGCTAAACAAATAGGCAGGTACTTCCGCTCTATCTGTCAATATTGAAGTACAAACCCAAGTCTAGATTACTAAAACTGCTGGAAAACCTAACACGTAACACATTATCTGAACAGGACATTACGTGGGACATCCTTTATTGACTTTATAACTGTTGTGTATGAATCCAGTTTAGGAAAAATGATTTTGACAAACTGTTACTTATAGTGTGACATGCAACAGTTAAATGGTCGTAAAGGGGGTTTAATTATCAGCTTTGAGGAAGAATGATAAGCTTCAACCAATTAAAGAATACCGGGTACTTAGTTCAGTTCCTGATAAATCTTTGGTTCTTAACTATTTGAAACAAAGGGATTGCTTAGTTGATGAAATTTTGCTTATTTTATTAGTTTTTTCCATCATATGAACACAGTAGTCCAATAGTATTTTGGTGGACCTGCACACAGTAAGAATATGAAAATGCCCTTTTGATCAAACCTGCAAAATAAGCTTCCAGCATTTTTTACCTGTTGAATGGATACTAACTTTTAGAAATAAGTCTAATATAGCCAAAAAACATACCTACTTATAGGTTAGCTGCTATGGGGATTACCAAATACTGTTGTCTTGTTTGGAATTTAAAAGCCGGCAAATAAATATTGAAATATTCCAAATGTTTGATGATCTATCTTAAAACAAGCAATAGTTCCTTAATAAATCATACAGTTTTGAACCCTCAATTTATGGGTAAAGTTTTACTTATCACACTTTCATGGACATTTTTTCTGTTATTCTCGAAGATCATTAGTATATTGAAAGATAATTTATTCTCTGCAACCAATAACATGGGAAACAGCATACCGTACTACGTTTAACACTAATATCTGGTTAACCATTTGGCGTAGCATAGAAATTACGCTTTATGTCAAAATATCTTTGAATGTTAAAAAAATTCACAACGATTTAGCAAATAGGGCAGAAAATCAAAGAGTAATTTTGGTGTGAAAATACACCCCCAAAATTCACTCTCCTGTATTTGGATGACTGGCTTGAGAACTCAATCTTGCAGTTTTTTGGTTTTTGAATCCTCAACTAAACGTTTATAGGGATTTCTTAAATTATTTCTCAGAGATTATTTTATTAAGTGATAAATCCTTAAAGTTCCTACCTGTAGACCCTCTCTTTGTTGTCCAGTGGGTAATGGAACCTTTTTTTTAAGGAAAAGTCAGTATGATGGATACATTGAGATGTAACTGTTTGGTTGCAGAGATAGAAGCCGACAGTTTCCTAGGACAAGATCCCCCGAACAACCGCACACCGGACGTTCACAATCTTCCGCCCTCGTCCATCCCAGTGTTCACGCAGAGCTACACTGGGTCCGCTAGCCCCGCCAAGCCCACCCCCGTCTACGCAGATGCTCTGAATCACCAGTTCAACAAAACACTCACCTTCGAACCATCCAATGATTACTTCCATACGGATAAGCTAAACCAGCCGCCTCAGACTACTCCGTTGTTCTTCAATCAGAATACTTCTTACGCTCCGTCTATTTTCACCCCTGTGTCTGCACCAGTGCTTCTCAACCCCTCCCCATCGGTTACGTCCACTCAGACACCGTCTCCGATCACATCTGGGTCCCCGGCTCCTCAGGCTTTTTTCAACTATTTTTCAGCTGAACAGAATCAGCCTGTCAATAGTCCACCAGTTCAACTATTCTCCCCTGTTGCGACTCCGTTAGCCCCCTCCGTCCCAGCATTTCCCCCCACTTCGTCTGTTGCTGCGCCTCCTCAGACTAGCGACGCAAATGCACCTCCACCAACAGGTATGTTAAGCCTTTTTTTTAAAATAGTAGTTACAAATTTAACTATTTTGAGTATTATACCAGTTTTTCCTTACCATCAGAAACTAAAAAAATTGTGTAAACTATTATTACTATTTTTGAAAAATTGGATTAAGATAGTAATATGCTATCAGGGGTAAAACTTATAAGTGATCCGCTCATGCTCTCAACTTCTATCAAAGCTGTCTACGTTTATTTTTGCTGAGCCTCTCTAACTAGTTGTATTTTATAACTGACAACCAAGGTTTAGAAAGCTAGGTCATCGATCCAATTTTGATGAAATGTTTTATGTGGGGACCTCTATGGCATCTCTGGATTTTTAAAATCTGTTTACTTTATTGTTGACTTTTAATAGTGTTTTTACAAAAAAATAACAGGAAATCGGATTAAAATTTAGATTAAATCGTAGAATGTTATAGTTATTTTAATTTCAAACAAAACAGTACAACCCCCTATCCCCGTTTACTCCCACCGCTTACCAAAGACAAAAGTTGTTGACAAGAATGGGAAGGTATGTGTCAGATTGCTGATAACCTTTATTTTGTAATCCTAAAATAATGTTAGCTCACCATCACAAAAAATGAACGTGGTATAAATGTTTGACAGGAGGACCTCACAACTCTTATCGCCTGAGCAACATCAAGCGGCCGACATACACTCGCCCCCCAGAGTTGTCGGTGACCCCGATGGCCGCAATGCCGACTCCAGCCCCTCCTCCCCCCGCTCCCACCGCTTCTACGACCCTGTTTACTCCTTGTACCACGGAGCCCTCGATGTTCCCCAACACTACTCCTGCACCGTCAGTTTTGCCACCTTCTCTGCCGACTCTACCTACTGCCCCGTCTGCCCCCGCCACTGTTACTGTCACCGCTGCCCCTGCAATGCCTTACAGGCCCCCGCAATCACAGTCTCCCAGCTCACCGACTGTTTTGCCCCCTTCGTTTGCAAACTTGGTTAGTCACCTCTTGCATTAAATAAGTGAATTGTTTTAAACAATACCCTTTTCTTGTGATCTTCTCAGGTTATAAAATAATACTTTATTTCAAACATTAAAAGTTTATCAATAAATAATACAGTTGATCCTCCTCTTATAACTGTTGATTTATAGATCAACCTTACTCATATTATAATTGTTCATGGATTTTTTTTTATAACTAAATTCTAATCGGTTTGAGTTCAAAAATCACACCAATATGTAAAACACCTCTTTATTTAACTGTGCATGAGTAAGGATTTTTTAATTTTAGTAAGGAAAGTGAAATATTGTAATTATATATATATATATATATATATATATATATTGTATAGTTTTATATTTTTACAGTGGAGTAAACTTAACAAAAAACCTGGGTCCTTGTTCTCCATGCACCTTTAAACTTACTTACTTACTCCCATGGCCATTTGTACCCCAAGTGGTACTTGGCCTCACCAACACACTGCCTCCACGTCGCCCTGTCTCTTGCGGTATCTTCATTAATTATGTTTAATTCTCCACACATCTCCTTCTTTAGTAGGGCCAAAGATTTTGCACAGGACTTTATTTTCAAAAGTAATAAGTTTTTTTCTCCGTGTTTAAACACATGTTAAACACCTTTAAACTTAACTGTGTATAATGTTTGTTGACTTATAAAACATCTTTTCTAGGCTCAAGGAACTCAATATCGACCAGTCTATTGCCACTGGTTCTTCAAGAAGTCAGTTGAAGGCAAATTCCTGTGGTTTCCATTCAGCATGAATGATTCCCTTGCATTAGAACAAGCCTTCACGTCTCGTAAGTTTTTATGAAATAACATAACGTAATTCCTGATTGTATTTTACTCTTCTTTAAGATTTTGTCATAAGCATTTTGATTGAGCTTTAAAACTGTGTTTACATGTTTAGTGTATTTCCAACCTGAGATAACCTACCTGCCTCATGTAAAATGTTCTAAAAAGAAATCAAAACATTCAATTTGATTGAGTTCTTAGATAGGATAATTAAACGGTTCAATGAATAAAGAAGCCCATGCAGAAGCCAGTAACAATAACTGTATGTTTCAATGCTCTGGTATGTTTCTTCATAACATCCCAAGAGCTTAGTTTATATGTCTAAACATTTCCACCCTCTATTGTTGTCTTTGATTGCTTGCTTAAAGTTTAGGATATGACATTCCTATCCTACTAATCATATTTCAGTTCATCCTTTACTATCATGACAAATTTTTCCTAACCAGCTGTTAACCATGAAATTGATAATGTAGCCCTAAGATCCTCTTGAGTACCTTCTGGAGTACAAGCAAACATCATTCCAGTTGTAAATTTAAAGAACTAAAACCAAATATGAATTTTTGCTCCGTTTTAATTTTTGCCCATTATTATTTCACCTATAATAATAATAGCTAAAGAACATTCCTAACTATTATTGCAAATTAGTGGTATTTCGCATCTCTTAAGTCCGGCTACATAGCAGATGTGTTCCAGCCACTATTTCCCCGGACACCAAGGTGGCCACTGATGGTGCTCGTTACGACGTAGAGGTGCTGCGCCGTCGCCGCACAGCTGTGTACTGGGAAGAAGACCCTGGTGAGGTGCGCCGGTGCTCGTGGTTCGTCAAGGGATCAATGGACGTCCGTTTCATCCCCTATGAGGAGAATGTAGCCACAATGCTCGAGGTGATAAACTGTTTGATGAACAAAAAAACAGATAACTTATATTAAAATTTATCTATCGATTATGGTTGCATTGACTTGTGATCAAAATACTATTATATAAACATGTTGCTCTTTTAATTTTGTTAATTGGAGTTGGAAATTGTAAAAGGGTTTTTAGTGAAATATCTGTAATCCAACCGTGTGCTGATTCAGTATCTTCAACAATTGAGTTGTATTTTAACCGCAAATAAGTGATTTTTGAATAAGATATACTGTAAAAATAGGCTTGAGATAAACTTTTGACATAATTTTAAATTTATGTATATTACTTTCCAAACCACTGATCAGCTCTAGATGAGTGATACATGAAGACAGTTAGGATTTCCGCATGTGATGATCAGCTATGTCAATGCTAAGTTTAGCCGAGGACTTGACGTTGCTGATGATGACGGTCATTTTGTCGAATCATATTCTCTGTATGTTTTCATCTTCTAATCAACTTATTCCCTTCAACCTATATTTTGATTGATTGAACCTATTTGTGGGGGAGTGAGCTGGTCTAGTGGTTAGGGCGCGGAGCTTCGGTCTTTGAAGTCCTGGATTAAAATTCCGCCAAATCACTAATGGATTTTATCTAAGTTATGATGCTGCAACCCCTAGGTCTAGCCTGAAGTAATGTGAAAAACAATACCGAACTCGTGCTTAGCGTCCTAGAAAAAATCAACCTATTTGTGAGTAATATATCTTACATTATTTGTAGCGTAGGGGCTAAACTACAGAGTTTAATCAAGTAGATCCAAATAAAACGATATATGATACAACCCTGCCTCACACCGTAAAACCTATAACAACCACTTTTTTATCACAATCGCTTACGTTTTTCTATAGGCCTACTACACGAAGTTGTTGGGGAATTATCTTCAATTTCCAAAATCAACGACACTTCTAGGACAGCTCGAAGACACGTTGATACATATTTGATATGTAACTAACATCAATGTTACAGGAGGAGTACAGGATAGCGGCCACCACAAACGAGTGGAACCGCCACGTGTCGCTGCCAGATGGAGAAGTTATTGTCATTCACAGTCCCAACGCTATTGCTCATCACACCAGGTCCACGTCTCCTGACGTCTGGGGCAACTCTCCTGTAAGATACATTTCCGATATGTAAATTACTTGTTAAAAATATACTCCTAAAATGTCTTACAAGTATGTTGTAGCAAAAACCTTTGATTTTGGTAACACCTTATTTTACAACTCATAAGATACCTTGTTATTAGTCAAAGAAGGGATTTTTTTACTTCAATTTTAGCCAAATGCTTTGATTAACTGGATATTTTTATAAATATCTGGACTTTTGTATTTTAACTCACTAATTCTCCTCATGAAATCACTTATTATGATCTTAATTTAACTATAAACAATTTAAGTAGTAATGTTCACTTTAATCTAAAAAAAAACATGGAAAAAGACTGACGTGCATTAAAATCAGTAACAATCTACACACATGTCATCTCACTCCATTCTCCACTCAATCTGTGTTCATATTCAGTTTATAAAACATATGTTTTAAAATTGAGTGGGCTTAAAATGCTTTGAATCGATTAAGAGGCAATATTTGATAATACCACGGTCCTATTTTTTGCAGCAAATGCAGCAAAAGCCCAGAGTTGTCAAAAGAGGCATGGATGAGTTTGATATCAGCGAAGGTGAACCTGAAAAAGTTGATCATTTGCTCTTTCTTGTTCACGGAATTGGCAAATTCTGTGATTTGAAATTCCGCCCAGTCACGGAAGTTGGTAAGTCTCTATAAGTACATATAAGTTTATGATATCGTTACTATAAACTTCTAATAAAATTTGTATTGAGGGCCTCAGTATTACTGGACTACATGGTACCTAATTTACCTCATCATGAAAACGAAATTAATTGTAATTGTCACTTTACCCACATGTTTCCACATTAATATGACATCATCAGGGTAACAAAAACATTGACATATTTTGCGTCCACAAACAATAAGAACAAATCTTTCCGTTTCACAGTATATTATATCTGTGTAAAATGGTTAAATGTCTTTTGTTTTGTTTTTGTGTGCGCTAGTTCAGTGTTTTTGTCCCCCTAATATAGCGTATTAAAGGTAAAACATTCAGGTAAAGTGACACCTTTGATTAATTTTGATTACATTACAGGTGTAAACTAGGTACCATAATATCAAACTTCTTTTAGCTTTTCCTTAATTAGAATTATTTTGTTACCTTACAATATCCTTATTCGTAAGGTAGACCTACATGTTGCGTGGCAACTGCTACATCATCATGTTCATCCTCTTCTACGATTCTTCATACATTTAAAATTAAAAAAACAAAACACTTGTTGATATGAGACATTTAACAGAAAACTTTACATTAATTAGAATAACCGTCGCGGTACGTGCACACATTTGGTTATGCCGGCTGCAATTTAAATCACATTATTCCACTGTATTTTCCCTTGGATCCTTTTTTTCTTGATTTCTGTGTCAGTGTCATTTTTACATGTGGAATTGCAATTTGAAGTACTTAAACCCTTTGGAAAGCAGTCCAAACACATATGTGGGTCCACCCGTCCCTCGCGCACCGTCTGAGACACTAACCACTAGTCTAGCAACAAATCCTACACTGAAATTGGAAAATCAAACAAATGTAACACTTGAAATGATTACCTATGTTGATTCTACTTAACTATTCTATTGTGTTACAGTTGATGACTTCCGCAGTGTGTCGCTACAGCTGCTACAGTCTCACTTCAAGTCCGCAGTAGAGGCAGGACAGGCTAGTCGTGTGGAGGTGTTGCCAGTCTCGTGGCATCAGGCTCTACACAATGCCGATATTGACACTCGCCTCAACAACATAACCCTCAAGAGTATCCCTCGTCTTCGTCACTTTACTAATGATACACTTCTCGACATACTGTTCTACACCAGTCCTGTCTTTTGCGAGGTATTGTTCTATGTTAATCTCTGTCACTAAGTTTTAGGGGTCTGCAGGTCCCTGGTTGCTTTTGTCAGGTTAGGTTAGGTTAGGCCAGTAAAATACTTACTTACTACTTACTGCCGTGGCTCTTGGTACCCAAGGAGGTACTTTGCCTCGCCAACACACTGCCTCCAGACTGCACGATCCATTGCTTCATCCTCTCTTCTCAGATCTCTTCTCACTTGATCTCTCCACCTCAACTTGGGCCTTCCAGGAGGTCTTCTACCCTCGGGATTGTTGTTTAGGGCGTTTCTCACTAAGGATCCCTCTTCCTTTCTTAACACATGGCCTGCCCATCTCAATCTCCTACTTCTCACCTCAGCCACAATATCTGGGTCCCTGTACAACTCTCTCAACTCCCAGTAAAATAACCTCTGTAATTGTCTAGAGTGGTATGCTTGGGTCAGAAATCATTTTTGGGCTAAAATCAGGTCGGGTTGAGTGGAGCACAGCTTTTGATGTAAATTGATGACGGGTGACCATGTAATCACCGGTGATTTTCAAAGATTTGCTGCGATTGTGGGAGGCAATGATGATGTCACTGTGACCTCAATGTGTTGTTTTTCGCCGTGATCTCAGAAGACACATTTACAATTTTGTATTTAACCATAGAAGATGTTATCAATTTCACCCTTACTGCAAAAAATATGTTCACCATTTCGAAATAACTATGGAAGAGGTTTATGATTTTTCCGTGACTGTGGAAGACATTTATTATTTTGCACTATCTATGGAAGATACTCTAATTTTTTTTTTTTACCCAACCCCACCTGACTGGAAGTAAAAAAGTCTGGCTCCTACTGAGTTAACAGGTTCAGTCCCAGCCGTCACACTCCTCTGTATGTAAAACTTCTCATCACATGGGAGTGAGTGTGTTAAATATATAAATATCCAAGCTGAAAAATTAATACCAATGTAATTAAATTGCTTAGAACATGTATGGATATAACTACTCTAATGAAAGATTGCATATAAGTAATAGCAAAGGATGTGTATATCATTAGTTATTGTCATTGAATGATTCTCAGTAGAATGTTACGGTACATTTAAAGTATTTGCTCCTCTAGTAATCCTTAGTTTTTCCATGGTTTGAAGCTGGACCCAGATGTTCTTGATCGTTGACCATTTTGGGCTTGTGGTCCTCATTAAAGGACCAGCTGATCTTAATAATCTAATTTAATCCAACACTCATTCCTTATTCATCTCCGCATCATATAAATCAGTGTTGGGAAGTAGCGCGCTACAAGTAGCGACGCTACAGTAGCGCGCTACTTTTTTTGTAGCGTTAGCTGTAGCTACGCTACTTTTAAGATTTTGTAGCTTTAGTTGTAGCTAGCTACATTTTTAAAGTAGTTGTAGCGGAATTTTAGCTACTTTTCTAGCTACATTAACATTGTTTGAGATAGTGATTTTTATCATAACCTCAACCTTACGTGAAACAACCTCTTTCAAACTGAGGTTTTCAAAAAATTAGGCCTACTTTCTTGGCTTCATACAGCTGGTTGCAGCCGTTTCATTCCCTATTACAACGTTGTGTGGACATGGAGGCCATTAATTGAGTGTTATCCACATTTTTGGCTCTCATTTCCTTAATTTACTACTCTATGATTACTGTCAGACAAAATAAAATCGCTAGATACAGACGACTTTTAAACGTTACCGGTGACAAGAGAAGCTATTGAATGCTTGCAAGTGATTGACAGGGAAATTAGTAATCAATTTAGTTTCTTTATTATATCGATAGTGTTACAACTTGAGTTTTAATGGAAACCAACACTAAACCTTAAAATAATGAGAAAGCTGGTCTATCAACCTTTGCTTCAGCTGTTGATTGTGGTTCATCATCACAAGCCCTTCCTTGGTTAGATTACGAAGATTTTTCAAAGGTTTACTAAATTAACGAAGAGGAAATTACCTGATGAGATTTAAGATATGCCTACACACATCATAATTGTAACGAAACAATCTTCTTATAACATGCAACTTACATTGAAAAAATAGCATAGTTTGCTCTTGTAACAGTTCTTGTAGAGGATTATTCCTAGGCTATGCTAAGGTTTACGACGAATACCAAGTTCCAAGTTCGATTATTAGGAATATATCTGTTTAGTCCTTGCAAGAACAAGCCTACTACAACCAACTTGTTACATAGCCAAGTAGGCCTACATGTTATTTTTACTTTAAAAATTTCAACATGTTTAAATTAAAAGCCGATTTCAGGATAAGTTGCTGAATACTGTTTTTTGTACCAACTAGGTTGAAGCACAATTTGCCCTATGCGTTATGACAAAAGAGGACGATTTCTTGACATTGAAAAGTGTTATTCATAGAACAGTATCTTATCACTATATGATGGTTAAAAGTTATAGCAATGTCGTTTTTAACATTAAAAGTAAAGAAAGGCAATAAACTCCAATTTCAGTAGGCTAGGCTCTGTAAAAAAAACATTTTTAAATCATTGTTTTACAGTTTTATTGGTCTTAATTGTTGATATAAGACATGTATAAATGAATCTATATTAAAGAAATAAAATGGGCTTTTAAAATATAGTTTGGTTGTATGTCCTTTGAACTTAATGAAATTTACATATAAGATGCTTAAAAATAATGCAATATTTAAAATTAAGTTCTAAATATGATTGGACACCCACTTATTTGGTTCTGTTGTTGTAATGTTAGGTTTATAATGCCAACAAATTAAATACAATCTAGGAATAATTTGTTTTCCGAGTAATGTTAGATACAATACTGACATTTTTTTAATGTTTGTTCAATAAAAATGTAGTTGCAATTAACTTTACATTTACCTAATATGCGTGGAATAAAAAGTAACGTCTTTGGAAAAGTAGCTAAAACTGTAGCTGTAGCTACATTTCATTGTAGCTGTAGTTGTAGCTAGCTACTTTTTCGGAACTGTAGCTGTAGCTGTAGCTAAGCTACTTTTCTGGAAATGTAGCAGTAGTTGTAGCTAGCTACATTTTAAAAGTAGCTTCCCCAACACTGATATAAATTTAATCCATAAGTTATCTTGAAAATTACATTGTCCGAGTTTGTAAAAATATTCATTAAAAGGTATTTGTACTGATAACTTGTCATTTTGCAGACAATAGTACAAGCCGTTGGTAACGAGTTGAACAGGTTGTACAATCTGTTCCTGGCCCGCAACCCTACGTACCAGGGTGGCGTGTCGCTGGGTGGTCACTCGCTCGGCTCACTCATATTGTTTGACATGTTATGCAACCAAGCGCCCGTGTCTTCTCCGTCGCCTAACGAACAACCTTCTACTCCCACATCTGAATCTCAGGTAGGACCTAATAAATCGTCACTTCATTGAATCGACACACAACTGTGTTATAGCCTATATTTGATTTATTTTGCATGATAAAAATTACACTGTCTTTTAAAGCAGGCATATGTAAAGCTGACTGACAATACATGAGGTCTATTATGGACTGAAATCTAAGATATACGTTTCCAACTAAAAACTATTTCAATTCTTTTTCTGGTCTCGAATACCGTAATCATCTTAATTTTTGTTTAGGATATAAGTGGTGAAGAAGAAGTGAAGACACTCGGTTGCATGAAGGCTCAGAAGGCCCGCTTGAGTCGGACGGTGAGCTACTTGACTATCGGCAACGCTGGAACTGGTCAACCATTCATTTCCTACCCTCAACTGGTCTTCAGGCCTAAAGCTTTCTTCGCTCTAGGATCTCCTATAGGTAAACATGATTAATAAGTTTTAGTTTAAAAAATAATCGCTACAACTTTTTTTAAGAACAATCATTATCAATCCCTTCTCCATTAGTGTGCACACACACATATATAGTGTGGTAATATTTTAAGCCTTTAGAGCTCGGAGGACCGATGTTTGGATTGGACACAAGAGTAATTTTATTAAACTTTCACTTCCTACCTGTATCTATGTGAGTATTGTAGCGTATGAGATTTTTTAGGGAAAACTTTGCGATAAAATAACATAGTTGTATGACCAGTTGTAAAACAGTACAAAAGAGCAGAATAATAGAAGATGCAAAAAATGTGAAACATATACCTGTACAATATTCGGGGTATGGGAAGATGGCAGCGTCTTTTCACAGCCCCTCGGACAGTTCATAAGTAGTAACTTGGCTGAATAAATGTTCTTTTCATTAAATTACCGTATTTTGGTCTTGAAGCTCGCACGCAACGCCCGGAGAAATTCAGAAAGTTTGTGTCCACTTAGATTGGTGCGGAGGTCGCAAACTGCTTTAACACTGGCTTCAAAGACGTAGTCTGGGTGATAAAACGACACACTATTAACAAAACAACTACTTCTTTAAAAGGCTGGACGTGAACTGAAAACATAATGAGGGATACTAAAATGGCAAAACAAGTGATTGAAATGAAAACGTGAATAAAGAGTGGTGGCCGATACAAAGACCTTATACAAGGGCGTGGTCATATGACAGAAGCTAGATGGAGTCAGACAGGTTTGGAATGTCCGTAGTCAACATTAGCGATAGGGAAACGAATACAATAGAACCACAATTATGCCTCAGGGGAATGAATGAATTATATCTTTATTCCAACAAATTTCCATAAATTGTACACAAATATTTAAAGGATAAAAAAAACATAAGTGAATGTAATAGAATAAATTAAATTAACCTTTGCATTACATCTAAGTTCAACAAAGCGTACATATTTAAGGGAATAAGCCAACATGGGCAGCGAGCTTGTTCGTCAACTGAAGTTGCGTCCAAAATTGACGTCATTTGATCAAATACAAAAAATAAATAAATAAATACCGAATATATATGGTGAAAATATGATCTAAATAGAGTTACAAGAACAAATGGTGCGATATGCACCATTTGCTATAATGTCCAAAAATAGTAGGTGTGTTAGGAAATTTGGTTTTTGTTAATAATATTGTGTTTATTAAGTTTCCAGAGTATGCTTTTTTAGTATTCTTACTTATTATGTTCCGTTTAGGGATGTTTGTGACTGTGCGAGGAATAGAGTCTTTAGGTGAAGATTTCTCGCTGCCGACCTGTCCGATGTTCTTCAACATATTTCACCCGTTTGATCCGGTCGCCTACAGGATAGAGTCTTTGATCACTCCTGACTTTGCAAAGTATTCCCCCGTGCTCATACCTCACCACAAGGGGCGCAAACGGATGCATTTGGGTAAGTAGTCTAAAATACATCTTAAGTCAATGCTACAAAAGTAGTTAGCGAAACTTTAATGTCAAGTCAACCCTTCTTTTTTGATAAAGATTTAATTAATAAATGAGTGTCTTTTTAGACAAAGTCTTGCTAGTTACTCAACAAGCCATTAAAATTATAATCTAAGGAAGAACATTGCAGGATTCATAGGTTTTTACATTGGTAATAAATTTCATGAAATGATTCTCAGAGCTGAAAGACACGTTGGAGCATGTCGGAACAGCTCTGAAGCAGCGACTGGTAGAATCAGTGAGGAACACATGGAACACTGTGTACCAGCTGGCGATGTTCCACCGATCGGACGATCAGGCCATTGAGCAAGAGGTTAACCAGGTAGGCCTAACTCTCATCTATTATACGGTTAATTTTATAGCCTACTTTGTGTCTTCATTGTGACTGAAACGTTTTTATGTTCATAAACAAACTTCCTGTGAAGGTGAGCAAACATAGCCTACACAGTGAGAATTACCTCTTTGAGAGTGCAACACTTTTTAAATTTCTTGCTTAGCTTAGCCATCCGCTTGGGGGGGGGGGGGGGGGACAGACACCATTTTCCACATAAAAAGTTTCAGAACGTCCATAGCCTACTCATTAATGCCAAAATCTAGGCGGAACAGTAGCACTCTTCAACCATTATTTGGCTTAGTATTAAAGAGGTTAAGTGTTTCAATAAGAGAACTCGTTTTTTTCATTACTTCAAAAAAATCATCACATTTTAGAGAGTGTGTTTTTGTATTTGTAGGTGCTAGAGAGCGAGATGCTGTCGTACGGAGCCGCAGGCCGCAGTGAGTCCCCCGATGCTTGTCCTGAGCCTGATGTCAAGATGGGACAGCTCAACGGAGGCCGTCGGGTCGACTACGTACTGCAGGAGGCACCGCTGGAAAGCTTCAACGAATATCTCTTCGCACTCAGCAGTCACGTGTGTTACTGGTCAGTCAACTACTAAACTAGAGATTTGTTGTGTGGTACTTCTTTGACAAACTTGGAACCATCATAATTTATTTTAAGTCCATTGGACGTCGTTTAGTTTAAAAAACTACATTCAGTTCACACGACACAAACACAGCCGGTTTGTGAAGTTATACAAACAAACCATTATATTTGTCTAGTAATCATAAGCTCATCAAATTTACTTAAAGATGACCTTTAGCTTGAAAAAACAAATGATTCTCATTTCTAAGTGGGAATCTAAGAGTCAAGTATACTTAAAGGTTTTTTTGTGTCTATTTACACGATGCAATAATGCAACTAACATTTTGGTTCCAGGGAGTCGGAGGATACAATGTTGATGATGTTGAAGGAGATTTACGGAACCATGAATATCACTCCTGACACCCAGGTGGTGCAGCAAATATTGCCGTATGAGGAGCCGGGCATGGGCATGGACCCTACAACCCCACCTTCCGACAACCTCAGCATCGGCCCCCCACCCTTCACCGGCTTTGTTAGGAGTGCCAGGGAATGATATCAAGTGCCAAGGAACAAATTGAAAGAGCAAGGCACCTAGCTCCGATCTCTGACAACACCTTTCCTAAATGACGGGTCGTGGCAGAACAATACAATATGTATATAAAGTGTATTTATAAAACTGTGTGATCAAGTGGATATTCAGTTTGGTTGAACTACCTGTTTGTAAGAAGTTTTGGATTTGATTAATTCATTTAGGTGGTGGAAAAAAAAACATCGGTAAAAAAGAAACTTTAGGTAGTAGTGGAAGTACCTAAACAACCTCTTTTACAGATGGTTTGTGCTTTTTAATTTAATAGTGTTTGTTCTTGATATATTTTAGGCATTTATCTACTTTTTGTTTTTGTTTTCAATTACATCATGCTCGAACTAAAAAAAAAAAAACAATAATATCAATTGCCTTATTAATTATTGTAATTATATACACTACTTTGTAATATACACTTCTGTCTTGTTTTAACCTAATTAATTTTGAGGGAGTGTTACTATGTTAAGCAACACACAAAAAACCTCACGGACAGTACAAACCTCTATTATACCAAGATAAAGGGAATGAAATATAAATTATTTTAATCACGATTAAAGAGTTGTACATAGTAAATGTTTTTATTTGTGAGAACTGGGTTTTGTAAATTTTTATGTGACTGTTAATTGTTTTTCTTACATAGTTTTTATATTTAATATTGAAATTAATATATTTAGATTGTTAAGCTTAAAAATTTTCTGTGTTGCTATTTCAAACAATGTCTTCGACTTATTCTGTTTTGATGTGAAATACAGGTGCTTTCTAGATGTTCAAATATACAAGTAGTTCTATTATTAAATAACTTTTGTTGTAAATGTGAAATGCAATATTTTTATAAATGTTGAATATACAAAATATTATATTGTTTGTTACAGACTAAGCTGTGTTGTTTTTCTTCACACCCCCAATCACCACAGAGAAGTAAGATACAGAGGAAACAATCAATGGTACACTAAAGTGGTGTCTACCACAAGTCGTTGGTGTCTAGAGTTAAGTCCAAAACCACCCTCATGTGCTACAACGCTAACGGTGGAGGAAGACCCTGTCCCCTTTTGTTTTTATTTCCTTGCTCGACACAAGTATATTTCTGGCACAACATACTAAAGCTGAAAGCGCACGGTCGTCCCATATCTCTCTGTATCTCACTTCTCTATGCGATTACTTAAATTTCCGATTTGGTTGATACAACCTTGATAGATTTGTCATTCTTATAAATCAGCTGTTTTGATTTGCATTTCAAATAGTTTACGTTTGATTGTGCTAGTTAACTAAATGTTTCCGTCTTATTTTACAGAATGTATAACGGTTTGTTCTTCTTTAGTTATACATCCTATTGACATTTGTTATATTTTGTATAAGTAGTTATAAAGATGGTTAAATAACAAAAAACAAATAGTTAACCGCAAAACATAATCCGGACATAACTCAAGTAAAAAATTATCTTTAACTGCTAAAAGGATGATACTATGGTCAAATTTTAATCAATAATACTCTTGTAAATGTAAACACGACAGTTGATTTAATTTAGCACACTAGAACACAAACATTACTAATCAAACCATGGCATTCTTGGTTTTAAAGTTAAACTTCCTTCTAGATGATCAATTATCTATTCCAATCTTTAACAATAATTAACAACTAACATTGCAGACCAGGGAAAAATAATTGGCACAATCAAAATCTAGTAAAATCTCATTTTTCCAAAATATAAATAGTTCTCTTAATAAAATAACAGAAATGTCAGAAAACAAACCTAACAATTTATTTATAAACATTATTCTTATTGATTTTAATGACCGTGTATGAAATATAACTATTTACAATATAATTTTTATTACTGCTTCTATACACATGCAACAATGTCAAGATAGAATTATCTAATTTATAACAAATTTTTAGAATATAATTATATATTTTATAGCTACCATCAAAATTAACTTTTATTACTTTTGGTTTAGTATGAAGGCACATATTTGGATAATACATTAGTTTAACTACTTGAATTTAAGTAATTTTCTAAATTAAAGTACACAGAACATCAACATTTGGTTAAATTAAAGACAAACTTAAAGAGAGCTATAAAATTGCTTTCTTATGTAGTTTTTATCCAATGGCTTCTAGAAAATTTGCAAATCCATATTGAAAAATAAGTTTTTAAACATAAAACTGAAAAAAATAGTTTTAAATAAAAACCTAATTTTACATATTTCTCAATACAAGTATAGAAAACTAATTTGTTTAATAGATTTGAATTAGATATTCCTCTCGTGGAAATGAACCCCCTGAACTGTATACATTGGCAATTACACATCTAATTCGCTTATCAATAACTATTATCATCAATAATAATTTATAAGTTTAAAAAATGAATGTGTCTAAAAATCACCACAACCTTCTTAATAATATTGTTATAGCTATCAACGTACGGTTTTATAAAAATATTCTCCTAGCAATACAAGGCAACTGGCTTATCATACATACTATTATAAATAAGAGGTGATGTATTTCTGTCTGTCAGTGTGTTTGTATGAAATACACTAAAAAATATCGAACCGAATGGGCTCAAATTGGATAGAAAATGCTACACCTCCGAGGATACACATAAAACTATCTTCCCTTCAAAAGTGACCTAGAATTCTGCCCCGCGGGCTTTCAAAACTTCTGAGGTGAGAGTTTTAAAATTAAATATTGATTGGTCTCCATGGTAACAAAGAACAAACCCACAATGTTTAAATGTAAACAATCAGAATTGTAAACATAAATTTGATTTTTCACATTTCCATGCAGCTGGGGCCCATTTCATAATAAACTACAAGTTACAACTTGTAACTTGTAATTTCCATTAGATTTGCATTGGGCGATCAGCTGATTTACGAGTAATATTAGTTTGTACTTTATTATGAAATGGGCCCCTGGTCCAAAAATATTAAATACTGCATTAAGTTTTGAAATAGTATTTTGCAGTGTCTTACCCAGTGTTTTAAGTAGACAAAAATATTCCGAAGGCAACATTAAAAAACAACTCGGTTCATTATGACGCAAACTTTACCTTCCTAATCTAACCTAACTTTAAAACACTTAATACAGCCCCGAATCAACATAAAGAACGCTCTTATCCTAATATGCCTAAATAAGGACTAGGTGTAAGTGGTCAGCCAGCCCATTTATATCCCAGTAATGAGACGAAATTGTCTCTAAAGGAAACATTAATTGGCTAATAAATCACTTTAGAAGTGTTTCTATAGCCAATGATAATTTTCTATACTTTAATCAATGATAAGCGATTCTTAAATCTTGCCATCATTTATCAACTTGCTTCACTTCACCTTCACTTATGTTAAAAGCGAATTGACACCATTGTTGATTGACAGATGTCCAAAATAGGTAATATTTGATCAGCTAGAAGTATTCATTTGCGTTAAAAATTATGGTATAATGGGAGGCTGATACAACTTTGCCTTAAGATATCAAGATTAAAGATTCGTTCGAAGGTACGTGTATCCATAAATACATCGTAGGCTTCTGTTTCTTCAGATTAATCCTAACACAGTAGCACCGGAAAAATAATGTTTCGCAATTGAGCAAACATTCCTAACCAAATCTCTCACACTTGACTACATTGCTCAGAATACTATGGTCTACCCCATCTTCATTTACGGTATTATTCGTATAATATCAAGACTCTACATGAACGAATTTCTAAGCGGCCCAGTCACTTCTCTGGCGTCGTTCTAAATGAGTCAGGACACTGAGCCGCTGTTTCGTCAACTAGGAGGTGTTTTAGTTTGAGCCTTTTAGTAATATGTAAGTAATATTTGTTGAAAAAGATAAATAAGATATGTAAATGCATAATTTATAATTTGTTGATGCCAGAATAATATATATTGTAAACTTAATATGTTCAGGTAAATATGTTGAGCCAAAAAGAGGGAGGTAATTAATAATTTGTACGGTCTTGACTATTCTGGTTGGTTGCATCCATATCCACTAGAGTGCACTTCGTATAGTTCTATCCATCAAACATCGCAAATGTAAACAGTTCCATCCGTCAAACATGTCAAATGTAAACTTGAATTATATTAAAATGAAAAGTAAAAGAGACATATTTTCCTTTAAGAGAGACGGAAAAACATTACAGTGGTGATCTATATGTGATTCTGGACAACCTCATGACAATATTACTTAAAAATCCCAGATTTCCGTAAACTAGGAATTTACCACGTCCAGCACTAGGCTGCGCTGTTTGGACGCGGTGAGGAGTTCTGTTTAGTTTATGAACTTATGAAAAAAGAAAATTAAAATACGAATTGACGTCTTTGTAAATTTATCCCTTTGACAATTTGCTAAATGTGTTTTTATGTTATCTTGTTTGTTCTTACCATAACCTAAACTAAGTAGACCGCAGCATAACTAACCTAACCTAACCACAGCTGCGTAGTGTGTGAAAAGTCATGAAAATCATACATTCGATATTTATGACTCACGAAAAGTACACCTGAGTCGATAAAATATCGAACTTATATTTCATCAAAAATATTGTAGACTCTCTTCGGAACTTTACCCAACTACGCTAGGGTTGTAAATAAGCCAATATTATGTCAACATGTTTTTATTTGGTTGATTAATCTTTTTCATTGATAAGTCTATCCGAAAATCCCAGTAAGTCTTTTGTACCAAGGCGCTTGGACGTTCATTGCAGCGTCACTAGTCCAATCACTTGGACAACTGACTTCACCAGGAGCGTACCGACGAATATTAACCTCATCTTTTTCATTAAAGTCCACAAACTGAAGCCAAATGTCCATTTTATAACAGTATCCATTTTTTTGTTGGAACACCAGTGTAAATTCTTTGTCTGCATCAGGGTATTTCTCTACTTTCTTTATGTTGATGTACATTCCTTCAACTCCATGTTTACATGAGTCGAGAGGTAACCTTTCCAAGATTATTTCTTCATACATTATAAATCCTACTGATATTTTATCTCCAGCCGGGATCGTGTTGTATTGTTGGCAAATGAGTTTGAGGCCAGTTTTGAAAGTGTTGATGACAGGTCTTTCAATAGGATCACCATGTACGTGAAATTCCATGATTTCGCCATCTCCCCGTGGTAATAAGTATGCTATAAAACACAGTAAATTCATTATAGCAAAATAATTAAATATATTTTTTTTAATTTTAGTTTTCTTATTTATTGTAAAAGACAATCTATAGAACAGTTTATTAGAATACATTTAATACACATAGAGCACAGTTCTATCAAATGCTAGTTTTCAACTATATTCTAACAACCGTTGTAGATAATAAATCTAGTTCGAGAAACCGGTGTTATTTTAATCGTGAATACTTACCCCTTTCAGAATTTTCAGCACCCTGAAAAAAATGAAATGACAATTTTTAGTAAGAGGTAGGCTGCTGTAATAATTATCATACTACTATTATAAATGTGAAAGTTTGTGTGTTTGTTTGTTTGTTTGTTTGAAGTTCAATCACGCTTTAACTACTGGACGGATTGGGCTGAAATTTGGCATAATGATAGCTCACAATTCCCGATTAACATATAAGCCTATTCTTATCTCAAAAGTCCTTCCGGGCTCCGCCCCAGTGGCTCTATGGATCCCTATGTTAACCTTATGAGTATTCACATTTAAAAGGAATTAAAGAATTTAGTCAGCTGTTTCAACTAAACAAGTTGGTTCTATGATATGCAATAGCATTAAAACGTTAAGGTATTCTCGGTTAACCCCCGCTTACTGCTGAGAATGTACAACACATGCCTGTGCGAAGGGGTTTTCCCAACTCCTTGGAAAAGGGCTAGGCTTGTGCTAATCAGCAAGGGGAAAGGTGACCCGAATATGCCGTCGTCTTACAGACCCCTCTGTATGTTGGATGTGGCCGGAAAACTTTTCGAGAAACTGATCCGCTGCCGCCTGACGTCTGCCGTGGAAGCTGCCGGAGATTTGTCTCCTCGTCAGTACGGCTTCAGAAAGGGTCGGTCAACAATCGACGCGATATCCGAGGTACACAGAGCGGTAGAGCGTGCCGAGAGCTTCAATCATTACTCTCGCCGTATCGTGCTTCTTGTTACGCTAGATGTCAAGAATGCTTTTAACTCGGCGAGATGGGTCGATATGTTGAGCGCGTTGAGGAACAGCTTCCGCGTACCAGCATATCTGTTGAGGCTGATCGAGGACTACCTGCGCTGCAGAACTCTTAATTACGAAACTAAAGATGGTTCGCGGACGATGGATGTTACTTCCGGTGCCGCGCAAGGTTCGATACTCGGCCCAGATTTGTGGAACGCTGCCTACGACAGCCTTCTGAGATCTGAGATGCCAGAGGAGACCGTTTTAGTTGGGTACGCCGATGACGTTGCAGCCCTCATTGCTGCACGCAACGTTGAGCTAGCCCAACTGAAACTGAACCAAGTCATGCGCGTTGTAAACGCCTGGATGACTGATCATGGTCTGACACTCGCTCTGAGTAAGACAGAGATCGTCATCCTCACGAAAAAACGGATTGAAACCATCGTTCCGCTACGAGTTGGGAACGTAGTTGTCCAAACCACGCGAACCGCCAAGTACCTTGGTGTCATGGTGGACAACAAGTTGAGCTGGAGGGACCAGATCTTCCGTACGGCGGACAAGGCTGCTAGGAGTGTCGCTGCTCTTAGTAGGCTTATGGCCAATGTCGGTGGTCCCCGGTCCAGCCGTAGAAGACTACTGATGTCTGCAGTCCAGTCCGTGCTTCTCTACGGCTCTGAGGTGTGGGCAGACGCGCTTAACAAGGAGGCGTATAGGTTGAGGCTCGCACGAGTGCAGCGTCAGGCGGCACTCAGGGTCGCTTCCGCGTACCGTACGGTGTCCGAACCGGCCGTTTTGGTGATCGCTGGAGTTATCCCAGTCAAACTCTTGGCAGCGGAGAGGAAGGCAATCTACCAGAGACAAGGCTACATCGGAAAGGACGCTGCAAGAACAGAAGAGCGCTCCCGCACTTTTCAGATGTGGCAAGAAAGCTGGGAAAGGGAGACTCGAGGACGTTGGACTGCCAGACTCATCAGGCAGGTCCAACCGTGGGTAGAACGGCGGCACGGTGAGGTTGACTATTACCTCGCGCAGTTCTTGTCAGGTCACGGCTATTTTCAGTCGTACCTGCACTTGATGGCCAAAACGAATTCACCTGACTGCATTTACTGCCCATGCATTCCCGACGAGGCGGAACACACTTTTTTCCGCTGTCCACAATGGGATATGCTTCGCCAGGAGGCCATTCAACATCTTGGGGTGCTGTCGATTGAATCGATCTGTGAGACCTTGCTGAAGAGTGAGGACAACTGGGACTGCTGGTCGCACTTTGTCCGGAATGTCCTTCAAGCTAAAAAGAATGATCTAGATCGGAACATAGTCTAGATTTGATAAGAAATAAACGGCTAGACACGGCGTAAGCCCCTCGGGCGTAGGCAAACTTGGCCTAGTTCTGATGAAGTGCGACAAGTGTTCCCAGGCTAGTGTCCGAAGAGTAGAGGAGGTTTTTAGTGGGTAGTCTCTGGGCCTTAAGCCCGTTGGAGTCCCACACTACAGGCTAGCAACCTGTGTGCATAAATGCATTTTCCCACCTCTCCCTAAAAAAAAAAAAAAAAAAAAAAAAAAACTTTAAGGTTTACCAACAGGGTACAACACGATTAGGCCATTTTTTGTTTGAATGTTTGACAATAACTAATTGAACTAAGCAGCAACAAAAGCTGTGATACGCAATGAGAACTATCAAAGTAGGATTGTTTACAGTTTTTTTAGGCCTAAATGCCCATTTAATGAATCATTTGTGATATTGTGCAAAGGTTTGATAATTTGTTTTCTATTGTTTAGGTGCAGTAGTAGAGCATTATGGCTATGTTAAATGTGTTATACTATAGCATACCGTAAACTTCAAGAACCAAATTTTATCAAACTGTGTCGTCCCCCATAGCAAACACAAAGCTTGAGTATGACTGCAATAAACATTTTACTCTTATATGCCAACCCCGTACGAAGGACGGGTACTCTGCTAGTATGTTTATCTAAACGTGATTTAAATCATAGGGAGTTACCTAAAGATAAGTTTTTTAATAGTATATTTAATCACTGGGGTAAAAAGTGACTCTCTACCAATCGAGTTCAAGTTTTAAGATCGAGATGAAGCCGAGGTGTATAGTAATATTATAGCGATACTCCCTGGTGTGGATTAACGTCCGCACAGGTAATACGACTATGCGCATTACTATCCTGATAATTACACCAAATTCGTTAATACAATCAAAATGTGGTTATGATTCCATTATAAACTACCTACTACTGTAGGTCCCCGGACTATTAATTATCAGCTCTGTGTCTAAGGAATATGTCGGTCTTAGCCACTAGATCGCGCCACTAATCCTACACTTTCATAAAATCTTGATTAAAATACCTACATTTGGTAGGTGTTATTAGACGTATCTTTTATTTACTTTCTGTAATTCAATAACAATTACAAAGCTGATCAAGAAGTTATTCATAAATTTGATCTTACTTTACTTTTATTTGGACATTTTTCGTTCCCTTTAGGGTAAATAAGTGCAATAACAATGGTAAAAAACCACATCTCTGTTATGCCTATATAACAGCATAGACTAACCAACACAAGTAGACTTCTCATCCCATTGTAAATTTTGAAGCTCTTTTTTCATGTCTGGTGAAACTGATCGCTAGTGTCGACGAAATTTTGTTTCTATTATTTTAGGGATAATTTCATGATTAGTGCTTTACTGTTTAGTTATATAAATAGTGGACGAGTTAATGTTTATAATTAGATCGTTTTATTTAATAAAACGTGGTTTTTAATTACTGAAATTACAAGAAACAAATTGTAAACAAAACATAAATTGGCTTCAGCTATTTCATAAGGATGATACATCTACTAAGGGCATATGTTTTATCTGTGTATGTTTTATCTGTGTATGGTTTTATCTATGAACAGTTGCCGATATATTTATTACTAGTGGCTTGTGGGGACATAAGTTACAATCATCATACTACAATCCTTACATTAATTACAATTTGGTGTAACAGTTTGCAACGCTGAAATGTTATACTATAAATAAAGTGCAGTTGAAGCCTCATGGACTTCTTTTAATATAAAATGTATCTAACAATAAAATTACAACCACATTCAAGACATTCCTGGCTTTTGCAAGACCATATGGATTGGTTGAGATGTATTTTGTCACATTGACTTACGTATTACAGTAGGCAGTTAAACTTACAGTCTCAGCCCCATTGCAATCCGTCATTTTTCCGGGCCCTCTCTCCAATGCGGGATAGTGAAGATCGATGACTACCGTGTATGTTCTGGTGACACAACTATATTTCCGACCTTTCCCCTCCACAGTAAACCTGTAGATGATGTTGAATTCAAACTTAGTAAGTTCGGGTGTGAAACTCCAAGTCGGATCGTCCTGTACAAAAATGTTTTCCAACAATTGATTGCAACCAAACTCTTTGCTTTTGTCTACGTTCAATCTATCTATGAAGTATCCTTCTGAGCCGTATACAAACATTATCAATTCATTTTTCACTTCTACGCATTTAAGAAGTAAAGTCTTTCCAGGTACGAGTTTAAGGTTTTTCTCAGTGATTCCACTTTTCAGATTATCCTGTGGGTCGTTCTGCTTCGGCAAGGTTTGGCGTGACTCATAAAACGCATGTTTTTGTAGAGGAAAGTCCACAACTGAAAGATAAATATACGGCTTCATTAAAAATAATAATATCATTATCAAAGAAAGAGTGATGCTTTAATATTGTTACGAAAAAACTGTAAACACCTTTGTAATGGTAAAAGTAAAAGTAAATAGACTTGTTTTGTTTGTTTGTAATAATAATCAATTTACATGCGTTTTTATGTAGCTTATTGTTTTTGAATTTGGTAGAAAATTTCAAAGTATGTTAGTTGTTTTTGATAACTTCCAAAAAAGAATGATTTAATTTTACATTTTTATAAGAATGTTTTAAAAGTCGTGTTCACGTAATGTAAACCCATACAAAACTTGATTTAATGTAGATTTTTGTTATAAATATACAAGTAGTAAAAGATTAGTAGAAATCACCGATGTCAATGAATTTCAAATAGAATTCTAAATTATTCAATTCAAAATATAAACGATAAGTGTTGGTTTATAGTTAGATTTGAACTACACTATAATAGATTTATATACCCAAAGACGTGTTAAAAGTTGTCGTTAAAATGAATTATATTAGAAATATCTTACTAATATTATAAATGTGAAAGTTTGTGTGTTTGTTTGAAGTTCAATCACCCATTAACTACTATAGTCCTCGCCACCCTAAGTTGAGGCAGCCAAAGGCCGCACGGCGTATATCTAGTCCGGCCTTTGGCTGCCTCAACTTAGGGTGGCGAGGACTATAGACAGATTGGGCTGAAATTTGGCATGATGATACCTCACGTTCCCGATTAACATATAGGCATATTCTTATCTCAAAAAATCATTCAGGCTCCACCCCAGTGGCTCTGCAGTTCCCCGTGTTAACCTTATAGGAAAATAAAGAATTAGTCAGCTGTTCCAGCTAAAAAAGTTAGTTCTATGATATGCAAAAACATTAAAAAGTTACAAGATTTACCAACAGGGTGCAGCACTATAACCTTTTTGCATTTATGAAAACAGCTAATTTGAACTAAGCAGCAACAAAAAACTGTGATATGCAATGAGAACTGTCAAAGTAGGATTGTTCTGAAAATTTGTGATTTTTTGCGGATTTTTAATCATTTATATTTCTCTATTGTTGAGGTGAAAAGGTAGAGCATTATAGCTATAGCAAATGTGTAATACAATTAATAGTGGTACCGTAAATTTAAAAAAGCAAATGTTATCAAACTGTGTCCACCCCATTGCAAACGCAAAGCTCGAGTATATGCCAACCCCGTACGAAGGGCGGGTACTCTGCTAGTGATTTTATAAAAGAAAATAATTACAAGAATTGTATTAATCTACTAAGATAACTAAAAATAACAATTCGTGTACTAAAAAAAACGTATGTATGAAATGACAGTTCGATATGTCTTTGTTGATGAATTTCAAATGAATTAACTACAACCGTTCACAGCAATATTATTTTTTATGATTTGGGTTAAATTAGAACGATAGCTAAAGCCTAAGATTATTATTGAAGACCTACCCTGTAAATTGAAATCATAAACAAATCTGAATCAGTACCGGTATTACAAAAAAAAAAAGAAAAAAAAAAAAACATACATAGAAGGCGATACTCACTACGACTAGACTAAACATAATTTAAGTAAAGCTCAAAGGACCTTTAAGACCCAAACGCCTAGGTACTAACTATTTAATATTTTTTTAAGACACAAAATGAAATTCATCACCAACCAAACATTCTATTGACTGATGCTGTAATTAAAATGAATCTTTTCCCCCTTTTATATCATTAGTAAGTAACTTAAAAATGACTGATACACATAAAAAATGACTGGACGTAGAAATGTCCTCCTAAGATTAAATTGGGGACTGTGGATGAGTTTAAAGCATTTGTGGATATATTTTGAAAGAAGGATAAAATATAATAAAAGCTATGGGAAAGTCAGTTTATTATATATACTTAACTAGCTCTTACCCACGGGCTTCACCCCGTTTGACATCATAAGTATTAATAAAACTATTGATTGGTTAAGTTAATCTGAAATAAATAAAATACAGTAAAAGAAACAAATAATCACACCTGATTTTAATAAGGTATGAAAGAATAACAAACAAATAAGTACAGCTGAGGTATTTTTAACATTAGGTACATGAAAAGTTCCCTTTCGAAAGGAATTACGACTTTAAAGGGCAATTTAGGACATAATGGATAGTTTTGCGCAAGGTTGTTGGGGTATTGACTTGTAGTTTTCTCAAAAGTTCATGGGTACTTTTTGCTTTATATATAGATATATATTTGCAAAACGGTCTGTATTTGATTTTAAATACTAATCTGATTACTCTTTTGTACTTTCAAGGCCCTTAGTTCGACGGTTGTCAATGCCCCAAACTAGCTCTATATTGTATAAACAATCCTGATATAAGCTATCAGAAGGACACGTCTGCCTTGATGTCAGGAGAGGTTATAAAGGACATTACTACTGGTAGTGGGAAATCTGCAGTACATTTTGTCAATGACAACTCCTAAAAATTTCACACTCAAACTAGGAAAGTTAACATTTACCACGTCATAAATGGGTTCAAATATTCCAAGTTCCATGTGGGTTTTAGTTTAGAGCAGACTCACGCTCGAACAAACAAACCCACACACGCGCGTGCACGCACACACACATACATTCTGTGACCTAAGTTTTAAAATACCGTCTAAATAAAGGAATATTGATTTAACAAACATCAGTGTTACCATGGCCTATACTGTTCGCCCCCCACAATAATCCAGCTAAGCTCTGACGTATCTGCAACAGTATAATCACATTTCAGATTGAACACAATCTTAAACGTAAACATTTTAATCCTAAACATTAACGTAGAAGGATAACATCAAAGTATGATCTGATGTATGACATGATGTCATGCTGACGTGATGCGACAAACACATGATCGAAGAAAAATACACAACATAACAAACGTTTGGTGCCGTTAAATAGAACTAATTAAATTTAAAAATCCGTTATTGTTCTTTTCAAATACAATAGGTACAATAAATACATCTGTATAAGCTAAGGTTGTACATAATAATTTCACAACATAAATCTAACTAATTAGCCTATAATATTATAGAACAATAAAGCCCTGAGGTTACAGAACCTAATTATAATTAAAACCTAATTAAATTTAACATAATCTTTTTGAATTTTTAGCAAACTTCCCTGTTGAAAAGAATCTATTACCGTAGGTGACGACAAGACCTAAACCTGGGCGCGAGAAATTCGTACATGGATGTTTTAGAAATAAAGACAACGGAGGAAAACACTGTAGAGGTCGTACGGAACGAGGTGAAGCTTGGAGGGGAATAGTGGTGTGGTGGGGGAAGTGTCGCTATGCGAGGCGACGATCGGCTCGTCTCTTACCCCCACCATGGATTTCCCCGCTTTAGACCGTTCCCGCCGAAAATCTCAGGCTTCACCTCGTTCCGCACGACCTCTACATTCTTAATTCCCTTGCTATATTTATACAGGGTGGGAAAAAAGTCCCAGGACGATTAAATATTTTAAAAATAAATAAAGATAGAACTTTAAAACTCTGTACACATTTACTGGGTATTGTCATAATTTTAACACATGATACACTACCTCTTCAGGGGGACGGCCCACTAGGAGTCAGAAGAACATGTTTAATGTAAATACAGGTTGATAAGAAAATCACGTTAAAGACCTTTACTAGTAGAATACTAGGGCACAAATTTGAACTCAAACGGACTACCGAGTCAAAAATGGCAGCCGTTCAAAGATTTCTTGAATCTCCCATTTTAAATATTTGAACGGCTACCACAACTTCTAGCGGGTGCCGCCCTGAGGGGGATGAATACAATAGCAATGCAAATTTAATGCATCTTTGAATAGCTATGATTTTTTACTCCGTCGTAACATTGAGTTTGGATATGCCACGTTGTAAAAGACCTTTAATTTAATATTCATATCAACCTATGCTTACATTTAAAATGTTCTTCTGACTCCTAGAGGACCTTCCCCCTAAAGAGGCAGGGTTTCTTTGAATAATGTGTTAAAAATGATCTTGATGTCCAGTAACTGTGTACCAAGTTCTGAAGCTCTATCTATATTACTTTTTGAAATATTATCCGTACTGGGACTTTTTTCCACCCTGTATTAGTGCAGCATCATTGTTTAACACAGTATAGCAAAATTAACCATCTGCCTGTTATACGAATCCCCTGTATAATGAATCCACAACTGATACACATGCCGTACAACACCCCATGGATTACAAATGCACAGTATTCTTGGCTTGTACAGAATCTCAAGCTTTGCTTACACTATTGAACAGGTGACATTTTAACCCTTCAAGCTCCAAGCTGTAGAAGTGCACGTTGTAACAATTACTTAAATGGCAGCCTTTTACACTACGATGGCTGGTGACGTAGATCTACGCATGACTTACACAAACACAACTATTAGGTATAAAAAACTTATGTTTTGAAATTAAAAATAAACACGATATAAATTATAATATAAGGGTGGAACGAAGTTAGTGGTAAAAAATTTTACACGTTAAACTACTTAGCATTGGTGATAAAATGGCACTAATTTAGATTCCTATACCCTCACAAGTGACTGGTAACGTGGATGGTGACGTGCCTGGTGACGTGGATGGTGACGTGTCTGGTGACGTGGATGGTGACGAGACTGACGACGTTGATGGTGACGTGGCTGGTGACGTGGATGGTGACGTGGATGGCGACGAGGCTGGCGACGTGGCTGACGACGTATATGGTGACGTGGCTGGTGACGAGGCTGGTGACGTGGAAGACTACATTGATGGTGACGTGACCTGCTACGTGGCTTGTGACATGGATGGCGACGTGGCTGGTTACGTGGCCTGCTACGTGGCTGGCGAGGTGGCTGACGACTTATATGGTGACGTGGCTGGTGACGAGGCTGGTGACGTGGCTGGTGACATGGATGGTGACGTGGCTGGTGACGTGGATGGTGACGTGGCTGATGACGCAGTCTGCTACACGATGGTTTTGCTACGTGGATGGTGACGTGACTGGCGACGAGGCTAGCGACGTGGCTGGCGACGTGGCTGGTGACGTGGCTGCCGACGTGACTGGCGACGTGGATGTTGACATGGCTGACGACGTGACTGGCGACGTGGATGTTGACATGGCTGACGACGTGGCTGACGAACCGGCTTCCATTCGTGGCTAGCCACCGTAGTGTAATAGGGTCCTTACATAATACTGCACTGTGACAAAAAATATTGTTCATCACACGGACAAAATGTATCTTTTCAACACTCGCTCATCATCCAACGTCGGCTTCACCTCAATCGTAAAACTTGAACTCGGATAGAAAAGAGTCACGTTTCACACTAGAGAAGAAATAACATATTTTTAGGTTTTAATTGGGTCTTGTGATTGAAGAACAGCTGATCCTTAAGTTAAATGTTCATCTACAAACAGACAGAAATTTAATGGCGATTTTTTTTTTTAAATGGTTTGTTAAATAGCTTTATTGTATGATAAAACGCAAATAATATTGCCTCTGCAACCAGACACTAACTGACACGACTAATATAGGCGCTTTGCCAATTAAATGGATTAAAAGTTATTTAAAAGACAACAACAACTATCTTAGGTTAATATTTATTACAAAGTGACATAATTTTGGTTTAAAAATGGGAACATAAAAAAATATATAATCTTTTAAGAATAAAAAATTTGTTGGTTAAAAGTTTGGATCTTAAATCGAAAACTATATGAAACTAAATTAATAGACTCGAATCACACGTGTAATTCATGCTATTCGATATCAAAAAATACCCCCGCCGCAGCAAACCTACAGACTAAGCGAATTTCCATTTGACTGATTTGATTTACACTGAAATGTCTACTTACAAATATAACATTTATTCCCGATTTCAATAGAATTAGTTTAACAAGTACTTAGGTTTGCTGCATCAGGGAGGGTAAAACTGTTTTTTTTTTTGTAAAATGTTAATAGTTAGTAAGAAATAAAAACATTTTCCAAATTTGATCAAAATATGTTCATAAACAAGCAAACTACAACAGTTTACTTATTCTCCATAAGAATAACGTGGGAATTTTAAATTTACAATTTTTTGGAATTTTCTCCGTAACCATTAGGCGCATAATAACGCTTCAATATACTAAATTATTTGTTTTTTGAAGCTCTACAAAATGGTTTGGAAAGAAATTGCTAAATTTTATGTTTTTTCAGTCAAAAATGGGAAAAACCTATTTTTACCCCATAAAACCCCCCGTAAACCCCCGTTCCCATGGTCCGATCATGCTGGATCGCGAACTCGTTCGAATAAACGTAGGTTTACACGTTTATACCAAATTTCATCAAAATCGGATCATTTTTGCTCGAGTTATCGTGCTAACGGACACATATATATATATATATATATAAATATATATATATATATATATGAATTTGAACGGATGGTGTTTTTGGCCTCTAGGGACCTCAAAACGAAAAAAAAAATCAGTCCCGCGTCCAGGTCTTACCATGAGTACTACGGTAATAGCTTATTCCCTATATGGGAAATTCGCTAACAACACATAAAAACTAAATGTTTATTAAATTACAAAAAAATTTATGGAAATTAGTATATAGAATAGAATAGAATAGAATAGAATAGAATTAGTATATAGAAGATACAATCTTACCAGAAATGCCCCAAAAACCACAGTCAATATAAGTTTCATAGTACAGGCATACGGGTCGAACTAAACTTGCACATGTTTCTGGATCTCTGGATGTATGTAGTAAAATTACTATTAATTGCCTATTAAGTGGCATAATCGATCTGACAAAAATATGGCGCCAATAAGCTTCATCAACCTGAACACCTGAATTCAAAAATGCCAATCTGAAAGTATAAACACAAACAAATAAAAACAAGTTACATTACTTTTTTCTTTTCTTCACTACAATGATGAGTTTACACCCACATTAATGTTTGGTCCAAGCAAACTAAAAAAACTTACACAGGGATCGTTAAAAAATTGCAAGAAAACGTTTTATGGTTTTATTTTGTAGAGTTGGGTTTGCAGAATGACATACTAAAAGTTGCCAAAAATCGGTGCACGAGAAAACCACTAAAATCAGAATTTACAATGGCGGCTTTTTCCAACATTGGACAAGCTAAAAAAAAACTTATTTCACATTCATTTGTTATGCACATTTTTCGAGATATTGACTTGGGACCACCGCCCCTATTTATTGGGTGGTTAGTACTTCATTTTGATAGGGAACATGTTTTTGGCCGCCATCTTGGATCCGCCATATTGGACATTGATAATTTTTTTTCAATGTAATGATAGTGTTGTGACACATCATTACCAAATACATTTTTACACTGATTTCAATGCCGAAATCCGTTTTTAAATATCTTTATTCATTTAGAAGATATATTCAAACGAAAACTCTCCACCATACATTTCTTATGGACGTTTCGTAGTTTTATAATTGTTTTAAAATTATTTTTCTTATATCTCCAGTTCTTATTGACGCTTGTAGTTCGTTCTAGGCTTAAAATATTCAGTAATGTAAGGGCTTTCATTTGAGCTCTTGATCATTAAAATCAGACGAGTTGAAGACCAGCTAGGAACCTCAAAACAATATTAAATTTAACTTTTTAGAAATATATTTTTATTAAAAGATTTATAACTCGGGTTGTTAATACGTCACCAAGTTCTTTCTGGTCTGAAATTACTCAGTAAATGTTTGGCTTTAATTTTATTGATCATTAAACAAAATCTGACAATTTTAAAATGAGTCATGGACCATAATTTAACATTCAAATGTATTTATATTGAAATTTGTCTTTAGTTAAAGACGTATATCCCCAATTCTAAATAACTCCCAAAACTCTTTATAGTCTTAAATAATTCGCCAAATTGTTGACTTTTATTTTAGCGATAGATTACTTTCCGGGAGTTATTAGGGTTATCTACTTTTTGTTTTCAATTACGTCATGCTTGAACAAAAAAAAAACAATAATATCAATTGCCTTATTAATTATTGTAATTATATACACTACTTTGTAATATACACTTCTGTCTTGTTTTAACCTAATTAATTTTGAGGGAGTGTTACTATGTTAAGCAACACACAAAAAACCTCACGGACAGTACAAACCTCTATTATACCAAGATAAAGGGAATGAAATATAAATTATTTTAATCACGATTAAAGAGTTGTACATAGTAAATGTTTTTATTTGTGAGAACTGGGTTTTGTATATTTTTATGTGACTGTTAATTGTTTTTCTTACATAGTTTTTATATTTAATATTGAAATTAATATATTTAGATTGTTAAGCTTAAAAATTTTCTGTGTTGCTATTCCAAACAATATCTTCGACTTATTCTGTTTTGATGTGAAATACAGGTGCTTTCTAGATGTTCAAATATACAAGTAGTTCTATCATTAAATAACTTTTGTTGTAAATGTAAAATGCAATATTTTTATAAATGTTGAATATACAAAATATTATATTGTTTGTTACAGACTAAGCTGTGTTGTTTTTCTTCACACCCCCCACAGAGAAGTAAGATACAGAGGAAACATTCAATGGTACACTAAAGTGGTGTCTACCACAAGTCGTTGGTGTCTAGAGTTAAGTCCAAAACCACCCTCATGTGCTACAACGCTAACGGTGGCGGAAGACCCTGTGCCCTTTTTGTTTTTATTTCCTTGCTCGACACAAGTATATTTCCGGCACAACATACTCAAGCTGAAAGCGCATGGTCGTCCCATATCTCTCTGTATCTCACTTCTCTATGCGATTACTTAAATTTCCGATTTGGTTGATACAACCTTGATAGATTTGTCATTCTTATAAATCAGCGGTTTTGATTTGCGTTTCAAATAGTTTACGTTTGATTGTGCTAGTTAACTAAATGTTTCCGTCTTATTTTACAGAATGTATAACGGTTTGTTCTTCTTTAGTTATACATCCTATTGACATTTGTTATATTTTGTATAAGTACCCTAGTTATAAAGATGGTTAAATAACAAAAAACAAATGGTTAACCACAAAACATAATCCGGACATAACTCAAGTAAAAAATTATCTTTAACTGCTAAAAGGATGATACTATGGTCAAATTTTAATCAATAATACTCTTGTAAATGTAAACACGACAGTTGATTTAATTTAGCACACTAGAACACAAACATTACTAATCAAACCATGGCATTCTTGGTTTTAAAGTTAAACTTCCTTATAGATGGTCAATTATCTATTCAAATCTTTAAGGCCGCGTTCATGTCGGAGCTGCGATTAGTGATACTAGCTGCGATCCTAGCAACGCGTAGATAATAACGACGTGCTTTGTAATAGGCCTGTTTACGTCGGAGCTGCGCTGTTAATCGCTCTTGGGTCCCGACCATCGATGAGAGCAGCGATAATAGCTCAGTCCATTTTCTCAGCTAGTATCGAGGTTTCCAACATGGATGTTGATAATTTAATATCACAAGTTTTTATGAGACCAGCATTGTGGGACAAGTGTGATAAAAATCACCACAATAGATTTGTGTTAGACAAGCTGTGGAATGAAGTTGCTGAAGAATTGAAAACAAAACGTAAGTAAAATTTGTTATATTTACATGTTTACAACACTACAATAGATTTTTACATAAGTACATTTTAAACAGGTTTCGTATTTTTTTTGCTCTGCTATCTGGCCTGCCTGTAGGTCTACGTCGTGTGACAGGTATTGGTTGCAAGTGTTTGAGTTTATTTAGGTTATGATCAATTCCCTCTCTGTCTATTATGACATTATGCAATAAGCAAATACAGTTAACAATGTGGTCAGCCAACTCGACTGAAGTTTGAATTGTTGTTCCTAGTACTCTCCACTTTGCGTTGATAATTCCAAACGCACATTCGACAGTTCCCTGTGCCCTTTACAATCTTGAATTTATTAAAGTAAGCTTCGTCAGCCTGTAAGTCGTCTCTGCTAAAAGGTTTTAACAAATTTGGTAGGAGTGGATAAGCATTATCTCCAACCATGACATGTGGGACGGTAATATGAGAATTTGGTAGAGCCTTGTCGTTTGGAATTTGATTTGATTTGGAGTCCTCCGGTTGATAGTTGTAGGAACAAACTTGATGATCTAAATGTTCCCCCGTCACTCTGTTTCCCGTATCCACCAACATCAATGGTGATGAATTTATAATTGGCATCCACAAGTCCTTGTAAAACAATAGAAAAAAACTTTTTATAATTGAAAAACATAGAACCAGAGTGTGTAGGACAATTTTTTCCGGATATGTTTACCATCAATACTACCCAAACAGTTTGGGAAATTCCAAATTTTATAGTAGTCATCAGCAATTCTTTTGAAATCTTCTTTATCAGGAATTTTCATGTGTAGTGGTTGAAGTAATTCCCATATAACTTTAACAACTTCGTCAACAATTTTTGATACGGTTGACGCTCCCATTCGAAAGGAAAATGCCAAGCTTCTAAACGACTGTCCAGTAGATAAATATCTGAAAAAATATCATTATGTTAATTTTTTTCAGAAACTGCAGTCAGAGGCAAGTGGAAAACTTTACGTGACAAGTTTAGAACTGTCTTGGTATCTATTCCAAAGCCAAAGTCTGGTGATGCTCAGGACTGTGTGGACTACACTGGGGAATGGAAATATTACAAAAGTCTCATATTTTTAAAAGACCAGTTTACCCCTAGACAATCGAGTGGAAACTTTGGCGTGACAACTCCTGTACCTTCGCTTGAAGAGTCGGCTGGAGAAGATAATGATTGTGAAGAAGATTTTGGTGATTATTCAGAACTGTTTTGTGCACCATCTACGGAAAATTCTGTTAGTAGTAATGCATCTCAATCATTACAAGCAAAAACTTCTATGTTACAAAAGCGGAAACAAAAAGAAATTATTGGCGAGAAACTGATACAAGTAGAAAGGGAGAAATTAAAGTATCTACAAAACAAAAAAACCAAAAAACGAGGACGACGATGAAGATCTAAATTTTTTTAAAAGCTTACAGCCCCATATCAAAACAATGCCTCCATTGGAAAAACTGGAATACCGGATGAAGGTAATGAAAATAACGCAAGATTTAATCAGATCTGCAACCTCCACTGAGAACAACGTTAGCCAGTCAAGTGCTACAAAGTTTTTTTATGAAACTGTTACCTATAATATAGATGCCAATGAAGATGAAAACCAATTATATACTTTGCAACCTTTGGGTTGATTTCTAAAGAAATGTTTATGTTCCATGATAACAATAAAGTAAACCTACTTACCTTAATGTTAGCATTAATCGTTCCTCTGCCATTATAGGTCTAGTGTGATAATTATTCCAGTCCTTCTGGATGTTATCGGAAATTTTCGTCATTATGTAGTCGAAAGTTTCTATTTTCATCCTCATGTAGTCATAAAATTTTCTGGGATCTTGTCTTAAATCTTTATACAAATGATGGTACTCCCCAAATACATTCCTCTCCACGTTGATAGAATGTGCACAATATTCACGTTTATTGCATCCTAGTAAATAATCCTTTACTGTATTTGAAGCAAAAATTAAATCTTCTTCAGAATCACTCATCATGAACTCGTTTTTTAATACAACAAGAAATCACGAATCAATCTTTCAGCACGAGTCGCGGCTCAGACATGAACAGCCGATAACAGCAGAGCGCTACTCTCTACTAGCATCGCTGCTCTCATCGTTGCTACGATCGCTAATCGCAGCTCCGACATGAACGCGGCCTAACAATAATTAACAACTAACATTGCAGACCAGGGAAAAATAATCGGCACAATCAAAATGTAGTAAAATGTCATTTTTCCAAAATACAAATAGTTCTCTTAATAAAATAACAGAAACGTCAGAAAACAAAACTAACAATTTATTTATTAACAAAATTCTTATTGATTTTAATGACCGTGTATGAAATATAACTATTTACAATATAATTTTTATTACTGCTTCTATACACATGCAACAATGTCAAGATAGAATTATCTAATTTATAACAAATTTTTAGAATATAATTATATATTTTATAGCTACCATCAAAATTAACTTTTATTACTTTTGGTTTAGTATGAAGGCACATATTTGGATAATACATTAGTTTAACTACTTGAATTAAGTAATTTTATAAATTAAAGTACACAGAACATCAACATTTGGTTAAATTAAAGACAAACTTAAAGAGAGGTATAAAATTGCTTTCTTATGTAGTTTTTTATCCAATGGCTTCTGGAAAATTTGCAAATCCATATTTTTTACACAGTTTTAAAACATAAAACTGAAAAAAAAATAGTAAAAAAAAACTTAATTTTATTTCTCAATGCAAATCTAACCAAACAATTACTTTTGAAGTATAGAAAACTAATTTTTTTAATAGATTTGAATTAGATATTCCTCTCGTGGAAATGAACCCCCTGAACTGTATACATTGGCAATTACACATCTAATTCGCTTATCAATAACGGAATGTTTCTTACCCTAAATAACGAATCATTAAAATATATCACCTGACACACAAAAACATTTCATTGGATGATGATGAGAATAAATAAATACAGGTTTAATCTATTTACTTAAATATTATTTTTACATCCAAACAAAAACTGAAACACATGGTCTTTCAACACCTTTACCAACTAAAAACAGATAAAACTAGGCCTAACGTCATATTTGAATAATGCTACAAACAAGCATTCGTCCGTACATAGAGGAAACAATTTTGTTACAAATTGAATACATAGAGTCAACAATCATTCCAAAGACTTGCAATATATGTTGTAATGAGCTGGTAGAGTTAGAGAACGACGATGATGTAACTCCTTGGTCTTGTGCTTGAGTTTGTGTGAAGTTATCACACATTCAACTCCATACGTCAGCGGAATACCTGGAAATAAACAGCAGTGGGTTAGAACCCTCAATTTATCACTACTTTTAATTCCTTCAGCTTGGGGAGCGACCTTGTCTAGTGATAGAGCACAGGACTTCCGTCCTTGAGGTCCTGGGTTCAAATCTCCCGCCAAATCATCAATAGAATCGATCTAAGTGATAATGCGCAACCCCTAAGTCTAGCCTGAAGTAATGTAAAACCGCTTAAAAGAACTTTTTCACCTATTATTTAACAACGCTAAGTATTAGGGACCACCCCATGGGGATTTAAACATTTTGAGTTGTTCTACAGGTTCCTACATTTTTTTAAACAACATCACAAAAACCACAACACCAAAACACATCACACCTTCTTTTGTATAAACTCATAAAAAAAATATTTTACCCATTGTGCGCTAAGCTTCAAAAATAAAATGAACGTAAACTAATGAACTACAGTAATTACAGTAGCCTCTTGATTAGACGAATTGGCCTAGTCCAGCAACCTGAGGAATTAGTTTATGTTGTGTAACCAATTTTAACCCTATATAATTTGTGTGTAATTGGGGTTAAGTGAAAAATATGTGCTTATTTGTATTTGGGTGAGCATTGACAAGATCATTGTCATAGCAAAGGAAATAATAGCCTACATTTTAACATCCCCTATTCAATTTCTATTCTATTCTCGCTAAAACTCAAGGTAAACTTCAATGTTTATCAGCAATCAGTTAATTCAACCAACTTTTCCAGTCAATTTTGAGAACAGATTGCCGAGACCTACCTCTTTTGTGCCTCCATTTTCTTGACATAGGCAAGCGCCTGCTCATGTGTCATGTTGCCTTTCTCTTGCACAACTTCCACAACAATCTCGTGAACATCTCTGGCCATCGTCCTGGCATCTCTGGAAAACAGAAAGGAATATGCTATCAGGCAATGTTGAAGCATGTTACAGCATTGTTTATTAAGATAAAAAGTTGCAAAATATATCATTTTAAAGCTATTGAAACCACGGATGTGATTTGCTATCTACTTTTTAATTTTAATTGATATTATCAAACTACATAAACAAACATACTGATTTAAACTTTTTTCAACCACTAAAGAAAATTTAAAAATCCAAAAAGCAATTCACACAAAAATATATTTATCACATAACATTTTCTGCTCGGTAATCAAGCTTACGGTGCATGGTTAATATGCTTCAACGTGAACGGATGTTTTTGCTGATCGGCGCTCGAACAACCACCACTGTTTAGCGTGGCATCTGACGGTCAACCACAATGCAAAATTATTGACTCCTGCCAACTCTAAAGGGTATATTTATCCTGCCCTTGATTAAGTCAAACATGTTATGTTCTATAATCAGTGATGTTACTATAAATGGTTTTTAAATATTACCCATTGAGAAGAGGATGTTGCCTCGGTGGGTTATGAGTGCAGCATAAGTGTGGAATAAAGTGAGAAGCCTTGAGTAGCTTTGTCACTCATAAATAACTACATTTGAAGTGTGACACTACGTTATAATACCACTATATTATTATTTCCACTATTTTTAAGATGTGGACACTTTTAAGGCGTACATAAAAGGGATACAAAATACCTTGTGAAGCTATATTACTGACTATGCCAGCTTTTCATTTAACCAGGACCTTATATAGCTCAACTAAAACAACAGCTGGGCCCAGTCTTAAACCAGGAAAAATCTATTAATTTTCAGGATTGAAACGGCAACCTCTAGAGCAAAGGAACACTGTAAGCACTCAATTAACCACTCACAACAGGTACAGCTAAAGCTGATCAACTAATAGAACTCACCCACAAATGTAAAGATGTCCATTGTTTTCACCAATGATTCTCCAAACCTCATCCTTATTTTCCTTCAGTAAGTGAGTCACATACACTTTCTCAGCTTGGTCTCTTGAAAACGCAACATGAAGCTGGAACATCCACATTAACAGTTAAACACAAAACAATTTGTTAATTTTATGCTTGTCTAATTATATGCTTGCCTACGGATTTTATTGATGTTACGATTTTGCACCTATGATGCGCTATGGTATCCATGCTATGTGCGTTTGTAGCATTAATTGAAAATAGTTTGAGTGAAGGTTTGGTTATGTAACTCTTGTAGCCGATATGTAGCCTTTAGGGGTTAAATGTATACCAAGGTTTCTTGTAAAAATTGAAAACCTAATCTAGTTTTTAAAATCAAATAGCTTTGTTCTTACTATTTGTGACACTTAAAATTAAAAAAAGTTTGAATAAACTTAAAGATTATACAACTCACCTTCAAGAGGCCAATCTTCTCATATCCCTCCAACTCCTCTTGGTAAAGGAAATCTTCTGACTTCTTGCGGCAACCAAAGTACAGCACTGTGTCTCCAACTGGTTTGCCTGCAAATCACACAGATTAATAAGATTAACTGTATTGTTACAAACAAGACTAGCAGCAATACTCTACAAAGAAAATCAAGATTTTAATATCAGTTTAGTAGCAACACTTGTCCCTACTCCCTAGAAACTTTATTCTGTACTGCCGTTAATTTTTAGATACCGAGGTAGACATCCCGTCATGTGTTCCAGCTGTAGCCTACTTTATATTAAAAAATAACAATACACTTGTGCTTGACTAATCCAAACTAATTAGGACCGAACACTGTTCAGATCAGCTGATTATTCGAATAAGCCGAAGTAATTTAAATACAACAGAACTTTTATTATCCCTGATATAGGAGGGAGGGAGACCACGGATAGTAAAAACCACGGTTAATCCAACATGGTAAACAAATATAAAAAAACAATGTAATACTGTTTAAATTTAAATAGACATTAATATCAACACTTGCATGTGTACATAAAAATAACAATTTTGCAAAACCATTTATATTGCGTAGTCTTCATATTTTTAGTCATTAGACTTGGTAAATATTTGATAATGTTAAAATGAAGATTGAAAGTCTAGTGTGTTGTATTACTTACTTTCTTGTCTGGCCAAATCTCTTTCCTGTATGAACCCCCTGAATGGTGCCAGTCCTGTTCCTGGTCCAATCATGATTATAGGAGTCTGGACTCGTGTCGGTAACCTGCAATCACACGGTCAATCAGGGAAAATCACATGGTCAATCAATGATATACATCTTGCACTAAAAGCTACAAGGTAAAATGTAATGTGTGGACATACAGTTATAGTTATCTAATTGTTTTACTAATTTGACTGGTACTTGTTGACTTTGTTGAAAACAAGACCGACGAAAGAGACACATCTTGGGTTGAACGCAAATGATTTACTTTTCTAAGGTGTGTTGGAAGAAATTAGGTGTAGAGTGGGATATACAGGGTGAATAGCTGATCTCTGCCACCATTGGTATCACAGAAACTATTAGATTTGGAGAAAACATTAAATGCTATGGATATTTTCTTACCTTAAAAAATATTAATAAATTACACTTGTTTTAAATGACTGTGATTTTCCAATATGGAGACTAATTTTAACAATTCTTATGAAACACATTGTATTTTAGGATTGTTTAGAACTAAACTGTACAGTTAAAAAACATTATATTCTTAACATTTTTTCTCTAAAGATACTTGATTAGGAGCTACAGCATGTTACACCTTGGAAATAGTAGCTTGCTATGTAAATTCTACATCCTGAAGCTAATAAACAAGTAAGTTTGGAGAGGAAACACTAAGAGTACATAAGTCTTAGAACTGGATTTACATTTTAAAAAGATCATTAGTTACTGGGTGTTCTGTAAGAAATTTTTATGTTAACCCCCATCTTTATACAGTGTAATTCATAATGTCATTTTATAATCTTTTTAGAATTTTTACATTCAATTTAAGACTTATTCCAAATGAGGAAAAGGGCACAAAATCAACTTACTTGAACTGCGACTTGCGTATGAAGATCGGCACCAGGGGCGCTGCGGCGTCGCCCTCGGGTGGTACTTTGCCTGACAGCCAGTTGGTGCAGACGCCTCTGTTGATCCTTCCTGTAGGAGTGTTGTACTCTACCTTCACCGCAGTTATGTGCACTGTAGTAGGGAACAGCTGGAAGCAACGATGTAATTATTACTAGTACTACCTTTGACTAAATAGAACCTGAGAAGCTTATAGTCCAGTGGCTAATAGGAAAGAACACAGATTATAACACTGCTATTTCGTCCTGCCAACTGTGGCCACCAAAGTAATTAGTATCTATTACATTCTGAGTTAACAACTCTGAAGATCACTCTAGTTTTGAACTTTATCTGACATAACTCCTCGACCTACTCACTGAAGAAGTCCTACATAGGGGTCTCAATCCCGGGCCTTCAACCAATCCCGGGATTTCGGGATTCGTCTCAGCCGATCCCGGGATCCTGGGATTATATTATTTTATGACTTTATAGCTATTTACTTTACAAGTGTAGTAAGAGCGTTTTTACATCACGCAGGTGAAGGTTGTGCAACGAGCGGAAGCGAGTTGCATAATTTACCTAAGTGATGTAAACACGCTCTTGCGTATCGTATAACGTACAATATTTTACCTGACCCGACAATATACAGGAGGTTACGAACAATATTAATCATTATCCATTTCACTCATCTTCTAACAGTAACGTTCATTTACAAACAAAAGCTAGGTTAGGAAAATTCTTCAAAACATAACAATAAAATTCAAGAGCACAGCTGATTTCTAGCGTTGAACGTCGTTGGCTCCATAGAGGTATATTTTTTAAGTTAATCACTCAATGTTATTTAAATGGGTTTCATTACATCACCGAGTGAGTTTTTGATACTTTACATCACTCGAGAAGTAAGGAAGTTGTATACATCACGCTTGGGATAGGGAAGTTTAACATGGCGGGTTAGGTAAACTTTTTTACAATGGTACTTACTACCTTAGAAAAAGAGAAAGTTATGTACCAGTTTCAAACTGAATAGAAGAGATATTTTGAATGAGAGATACTTTGTGTAGCTTTGTTACTAACAGCTGTTTCTTTATCCACGACCATTAATTAAAAGCGATCTATGACAGTTGTGGCCGATTTCAAACCATCAAAAAGCTACTGACTACCCAGGATCGCACCAGAAAACTTCTGACTGTAATGCATACACACCTTGGCTGATGAAGAGATGGAGTAGTAGCGACACTGCAGTCTAGGCAGCAGCTCGCACAGATGGTCGATCTCGGGCTTGACACTCTGCATGTCCTCCAGGATGTGTATGATGTTCCTGTTATCCTGGATGATCCACTGGTTGTACAGCTGTTTACCCTCTGGGCTAGTGGATGACATGAGCTTCAGTGTTTCCTTCTCCTGCAAACAAAATATCAATAAAAATTAAAAACTCAATTTTTTACAAATTTAATTCAAGTGTGCAAAACTCTTTTGGCAACACTTTTGCTAAAATTAATACACCTTGGGAGTTATAATAAGCTCAACTTTAAGGTGCACCTGAAACACAAATAAACACCCAGTAATAACATTTCAGTTTCATCTTCACCAATGATCGTAACCTTGTAACAATATATGTAATTCTTATACACCCCAAATTTCCCGCTAATCTGAACTGATTCGGAATGAACCCAGTTCAAATTAGGCAGATAAGCAGTAAAATTGCATTACAAAGTATTTTCATGGCTGTAAATAGCCAACATGATGATCAATTAATTGCCACATTCAAATTAATTTTACTATGTGACGTCCTTAAAAGAAAACCAATCAACATATTTTTTTTTACCTAGGACGCTAAGCACGAGCCAGGGATTGTTTTTCACATTACTTCAGGCTGGATCTAAGGGTTGCGTCATTATCACTTAGATAAAATTCATAGGTGATTTGGCGGGATTTGAACACAGGACCTCAGATACTGAAGTCCTGCGCTCTACTACTAGACCAGCTAGATCCTCCTCCCAGCCTTTAGAGTATTCCAACACTAGTTTAGTACAAAGAAAAGTTGGTTAAAAAAAGAGAACACACCATAAACAAAAATACACTACCATCAACCAACAAAGATTAACAAGAGGCGATACCTTGGGATCCTTGGCGTACTCGGAGAGTTCCTTGAGTATGTGTGTGCGAGGGTTGGAGGTGATGTCCACGTAGTAGGTGAGAGCCGTGCGGTACGTTGTAGGACAGGGGAATGGGTGCTTCTTGCTAGAGTCCTCTGCAAACAACCAATGAATGATAGGTGTTATGATAGGTGAAAGGAAAAATCTTGGGTGTATTACGAGAACAAACAGTCAAAATGTGAGGCCTACAGTTCTTGAGTGGAAATGATGTGCTTTGTGTTCTTCTTAATACACAAATAGCTATTTCAGTTTACACCATTCTAGCTTTACAATATCATATACATACGATACGTCATTTCTGAATGTAAAATAAAGTATAGAGCACGTGGAATATTTGTTGGAGGAAACTCAACAGCTTGTCAGATTACCAAACATGTTGTACTGACAAAGATAGATCTGTACATAGCTGTACATAGTGAAAACTCCATGTTGCAGGGTGAACAAAAAAATAAGTATAGAACTAATCTTACTCATTTTTGAAATAGCAAACTATGCACATTTTTACCAAACACCTTTGAATAAAATGGACTTATTTCTAGTATTTAGGATTATTCTAGTATGATGAGGAAGACTTACCGTCAGTGTTAGTGAGTGTGAACACAGTGTCCAAGTCAGCGTCCAGTAGCTTGCCCAATTTGCTAACCAGAGTTGCGTCATTCTCAGGATAAACAGCCAAGTGGTCACCTGTGAACAGTGAAAACAATATGAAACCAGGCTTTTAACCATGTATATACTTGACACATTAAGGGTTTTCCCTTTTACATCCCTTCTTAGCTGTTATACTCAACCGATTTTTACGATTGAGATTTCATTGTTAAGTTTTGGTTTATGATCTAGCGGAGGGACGAATGGTAACCAAAAACGTCATTTCCTTTAGGGCTTCGCCCCAAAGCGTTTGATTTTTTACTAGTTTTTTGTCGAAAACTCATTGATGATGACCAATTTTTTTTTTACAGTTTAAATGAGAACAGCTGATCTTTTAGTTGAATGCGTAATCACATTAGATTGTAAACGAAACCAAGCAGTTTATTGAAATGGATCAAAAACCAAACAATGGATATATTAGACTAGTTTTTTTTTTTTAAACTGCAACCATATTGAGGTAGGTAAATCACTGTTCATAATTTAAATCTAAAAGCAACAAATTTTATTTTTTTTTTAATTAGTAATTGTATTCACCTAATAACTGTATCAAACTTAATACAATATTTGAAAATTAAAAGGGTATTACATTATTTGTCTTTCCTAGGAATCGAGCCCTTATGAAAATTTACTATTTGTGTACCCCCTCATTAACTTTTACTGAACAGGGTGGACATTACATTAGAGATGTGTTGATTTCCAATACAATTTTTTCTACATTGCCGCGAGAGTTGTGAATGATTTGGCCGCGATTGTCCAAGACGATGATGATGTTTCCATGGCTGTGGGAGATGTTCTATAATTTTGAATCGTGGAAGATGTAAGAGCAGCTATCACAGGGCAGTCACTAACAATGTGATTCATAGTCATACTCACAGCTATATGACGGATTGTCTGTTATTCGCCATTTTAACCTCTACTGCAATAAATATCTAGACTGGTTAGCTTACCAGTATCGTATCTCATCTTGGAGCCGTTGATGTCAAACTCCACGTGCATGCAGGATCGGTCGCCGCTCTTGTGCAGTTCTCGGTTCACCTTCACAGGGGCCAAGTACGGGTTCTTCATGTCAAACGGCCTGTCAGGACACACAACATACACACTAGTTAGACACAAAAAACAGAGATATTACAAACAATAAAATTGCTTCACATTCACCTACGTCTCTGGGATTGCACTAAAGTGTCAGTAATTGTGTTTGGAAAAAGTACAGTGGAATGTTTTTAGCACAATCCAATATCACAATTGATGGAAAATTAGGAAAAGGACTTAGAGGTGAGCACATATTTTTTAAACATAGATGTTGTGTTAAAGGATAAAAGTTCTTGATTTGTAGAGTAGCCAAAGACCTTCTCGGAACCTAGTGGATGCACAAGTAAAATAAGGTACTTTGTATTGATATTCCTTAAGAGTCAAAGTGTGTTGCCGACCTTAGTGATTAGCCTATCAGGCTTTGGTGTAAGAGGGACGAATAAAACCACAGCATATCCACAAAACATTTAGTATGTTTGGACTGCTTTTCTTTACAAGTGTTTCTGTTACCTTCTTTAAAAAATGTGACTAGACAAGGCAAAATAGGGGTCTGGGGGCCAGAATTTTTTACTTTGAGTCAGTTCTTTGATCTTCGGATCTCAAACCAAAATTAAGTTGGACCAGAATCAGGTTATTTTGAATAGAATTGGTTTTTAAAAATATAAATAACTGTTAACACTATATGCCGTTTACAATATTGTACTTAACCTCTCATTGTCATGGCAAAATGAACATCTTACACAGTGAGGACGAAATCATGAACATCTTCCGCAATCACAATGAAATTGAGAAAACTTTCTGAGGTAATGGCAAAATTTTAAAGTCTTCTGCTGTCACAGTAAGATTGTGAACGTATTTTCTGCAATCCTAGCAAAATAGAGATCATCTTCTGCGGTCACGGCAAAATCGAGAACACCTTTTGAGATCAAGGAGAAATTGAGGGCTTTGACCATTAACATCAACAGCAATCGCAGCAAAGTATTCCAATCCAACATCTTTGCAGATATTTTTCTAGAAAATAATGCCGCTCGCACACTTATAATGCAATTACCCAGCCCGAGATTGGCCCCAATATTGTTTCCGGCTCAAACCGATCTCTCAGGACAATTAATGGCCCGACCTGACGCAAAAATGTTGAGAACTACAAAATAATAAAAGTATACTCACGGTCTCTGGTTCTTGAGCGAGTGAAGCCTTGCAACTTCTCCGGTGTACACACGCTCAGGGTTGATGTCCGGGTGTTCGGTCAGCTGGTACTGTCTCACGCTCACCTCCTCACCTGTGCTCTCTATGCCAAAGTGATCACACACGGCTGGCCAGAACTTGTCCTTCCACGTGATGAAGTCGTCCTCAATGCTAAACAATAACAGGGTTAGTATATTAGTGGTGTTTGGTGAATGGTCAACATTTTACCTAAAATACATCCTTAAGCCAAAAGGTATTCAACTTGTTTGAGTGAAATTAACAATAAGATTTAAAAAATCCATCCTCGGTCTGAAACTCTATATTATTTGGCCGGACACATGTTTTAATGTTTCATGTCATTGAATGTTTTGTTTAAATGTGCTGTATGTGTGCGTGATTATTTTATGTACAGCTTCTCAACAGAGACGGCAGAAGATTCATCAATGAAGCAACTTAAGGAACTATACTCAATGGAAAACTAAAAAATATATTAACAACAGTGGTGTTACCGTTACCTTTTATATGTGCTTTCCAACCCAAGAGGCAATTAAGAGATACATTTTCATTGAAGCTGCAGATTTAAAGTAAAGTTTTCCAAAAGAATAATTTCATTGTATGAGAGACACAACTTCAAGGATGAAACAGAACCAAAGCTTTTCAAGCAATTTTGCAAGATAAGAGAAGCGTCTTACTTTGCATCGTCATCGCCGAGCCCCAACTCCATGACCCTGGTGGCTCCGAGCTCTTCCAGCCGCTTGTCTACGTAGATGCCTACTGCATTGTAGTGCTCGTATGTTTTGTTGCCCAGGCCAAACACCTGCACAGACACATTTTAGGTAAGCAGGTGCTGAATAGAATTAAGTGTTTTATTGTAATAACTATCAACTAAACAAATTATGCACAAATTATTTATGGTGAGTTTGGTTGCTTAGTTGTAGCGCCACAGGCTTCGGGCCAAAGGCAGCAATGTTGAGGGTTCGGATCCTGTTACATGCCAATACTTTTCATCAGTACAGTTCACTCTAATACTCTACTGGCTCACCCCTTGCATTTGGGTGATACGCTCCATGGTTGCTCATAAATTTAAAGGATGTATAATATCTGAAAAAAAAAAAAAAAAAAAAAAAATCTGCCAGTTAATAAAATCAGGAATTCATCACAAGGAACGAAGGAAGTCAAAAGTTACAAGAGTGTATTGTATTATTAACGTGAGGGGGAGTGTATTATGTAAACTAAATTTGGTTAGCAAGACCTAGATACTTAGATTATTTTTAAAACCTGTTGCTTTTTGATTGTTATATTAAAGGGAGAAAAATTAAATAATAAAAAAATATATATATTTGAAGGCTATCCCTGATAAAAAATGGTGACTTAGAACAGCGACTTTTCAATGACTTTGAAGGTCTTCTAATAAAATCTGTGACTCCAGTGATTAGTGAGTATAAGAATAGTTGAATAGGGAGGAAATCTACTTATACTTGACTACAAGAGTATTACACCACACCTTTATATTCTAGGACACTAGGGTTTTCGCCCTAAACTGTTTTACACATTACTTTAGGCTAATCCAAAAGGGTTGCGGCATTATCACATAGAAAATCCATTGGTGATTGGTGGGATTTGAACCCAAGACCTTGGGCTCCAAAGCGCCGAGCTCTACCACTAGACCAGCTTGCCCCCCACAGTAGTATTACACTAACCAAGGCCCATAAAATTTCAGCGAATCCGCAGGCCAAAATATTTAATACTGTCCCTGACCTTGGCACGTATTCCAGTTTTTTATCAACGTCTGACCAGCCGAAAACTAGTTCCGGTAAGTGGCAGTGGCGAGTAGGAATACCAGTAATTTGAACCTATTACAGACTATGACCTTGACTGGGCCTTGGTATTACTTCCTATTTCATTCAACCTCATCTTTCAACTATTACCCAATACTTGTACATTACATCATATATAAATCATATATGATACATGATTTATATGTTTTATTCATATATGACGTAAATGAATCATGTATACATTATAATATGAGAATTAAACTTCTTCAAACATATAAATTACCTTTCACAGTTAGTTTTCTATTTCAAGTACAATATGTTGTGGTTTAAATAATTTTTTTTTATTTTGTATGTTTCTACCCCGGCATTTTTGACATTGTGAAAGGGAACGGTCCAAACACTGGTCTTGTTACATAATTGTAAAACTGTATAACTTTTATCAATACACATTTTAATTACATAATATTTTAAAGACACAATTTCAAGGTATCAGACCAGGACATATGGATCCCTAATGACCCTGTATTACTGAAGAAATAAGTGTTTTGATGTACTAAAACTAGTTTTTGATGGTACTGTATATACGAATAAAAAATGTATTGTAAATTAAAAAATTAAATTTTAAGATATTTCTTATAGGCAATGTTTTTAAGTGTAGAAAAAAAAACTGAAATAAAAAAAGTTGAATTTACAAAAAATATCATTCTATATTTTGTTATTATAACTGTAGTAGGAAAACAATACATTATTCCCTTCAATATCTGGTGAAAATGTATGTTAAATAATTTCCTTGAATTATTAAATCTATTATCAGAGTCACAATCAGGTGTTCTCAATTCGAGTTTGTTTTTCTTTCGTACTTCCTTGACTTAAGCTGTATTGTAAGTCAGTGGTACACTTTAATAAAGACAGCCCATTACTTTTAGTTATTTGATAGTGCCACAATCCTCTAGGTCTTGCCTAAAGTAGTAAGTAAAACCCTTCTAGGGTTATGACTTTTTTTAAGTCCTCCTTTCTAATCCTAGAAAGCTATAACTAACCCGGAACAATTTTACACATTACTTAAGGCTAGTCCTAAAGAGATGTGGCATTATCACATGGATAAAATCTAAAATCCATTGTTAATTGGTGGGATTCGAACATAGGACCTCAGGCACTGAAGCCACGCTCTACCACTAGACCAGCTCGCTCTCCTAGGCTAGTGACTAGCGTCCTAAAATAAGGGGTTGGGATATGAAAACAAAATACTTATCACTTTATCGAGGTTTGTTACAGCTGAGAATCAGTATGGTTTGTATTTGTCCAATTTTTTAATTTCCTCCATGTAAAATGTACGACACTTACCGCGTAGTTAAGGCCGGTTAGATCAGCATCGCCATTCTGCAGCCATTCGTAGAAGTCCATCGCGTTGTCCGTGGGGTCGCCCTCTCCGTACGTCGCCAGACAGAAAATTGCAAGAGAGTTGGGAATGTCCTTCATGTGTACCAGCTCTCCCTGCAATAAACATTAGTTAAATCAAAGCGCTATTGATTACTGCTTAACTAAAGCACCAATGAGAACCTCTTCAATGCATTAATATAATCAGCGAGCCTAAAATCTAGATAAATAAAAATAATTTTCTTGTGAGTAACTTTGTCAGTGACATTTGCAGCTACTGTATGTTACTCAGAGATAACCAAGAGTTTTGTAAATGTGCCTCAACGAGGAGTAACATTGTGATTGGTAAATGTGCTAGTCATTCTCAACTAGGCCTAGAAGTATCAGTGAGATAGGCAAATGTGCTGTTCACTGTCAAAGTAACAGTGAGATAGGCAAATGTGCTGATCACTGTCAAAGTAACAGTGAGATAGGCAAATGTGCTGATCACTGTCAAAGTAACAGTGAGATAGGCAAATGTGCTGATCACTGTCAAAGTAACAGTGAGATAGGCAAATGTGCTGATCACTGTCAACCAGAAGTATCAGTGAGATTGGTAAATGTGATGGTCACTGTCAACCAGAAGTAACAGTGAGATTGGTAAATGTGCTGGTCACTGTCAACCAGAAGTAACAGTGAGATTGGTAAATGTGCTGGTCACTGTCAACCAGAAGTAACAGTGAGATTGGTAAATGTGATGGTCACTGTCAACCAGAAGTAACAGTGAGATTGGTAAATGTGCTGGTCACTGTCAACCAGAAGTAACAGTGAGATAGGCAAATGTGCTGATCACTGTCAACCAGAAGTATCAGTGAGATTGGTAAATGTGCTGGTCACTGTCAACCAGAAGTAACAGTGAGATAGGCAAATGTGCTGATCACTGTCAACCAGAAGTAACAGTGAGATTGGTAAATGTGCTGGTCACTGTCAACCAGAAGTAACAGTGAGATAGGCAAATGTGCTGATCACTGTCAACCAGAAGTATCAGTGAGATTGGTAAATGTGATGGTCACTGTCAACCAGAAGTAACAGTGAGATTGGTAAATGTGCTGGTCACTGTCAACCAGAAGTAACAGTGAGATTGGTAAATGTGCTGGTCACTGTCAACCAGAAGTAACAGTGAGATTGGTAAATGTGCTGGTCACTGTCAACCAGAAGTAACAGTGAGATTGGTAAATGTGCTGGTCACTGTCAACCAGAAGTAACAGTGAGATTGGTAAATGTGCTGGTCACTGTCAACCAGAAGTAACAGTGAGATAGGCAAATGTGCTGATCACTGTCAACCAGAAGTATCAGTGAGATTGGTAAATGTGATGGTCACTGTCAACCAGAAGTAACAGTGAGATTGGTAAATGTGCTGGTCACTGTCAACCAGAAGTAACAGTGAGATTGGTAAATGTGCTGGTCACTGTCAACCAGAAGTAACAGTGAGATTGGTAAATGTGATGGTCACTGTCAACCAGAAGTAACAGTGAGATTGGTAAATGTGCTGGTCACTGTCAACCAGAAGTAACAGTGAGATTGGTAAATGTGCTGATCACTGTCAACCAGAAGTAACAGTGAGATTGGTAAATGTGCTGATCACTGTCAACCAGAAGTAACAGTGAGATTGGTAAATGTGCTGGTCACTGTCAACCAGAAGTATCAGTGAGATTGGTAAATGTTCTGATCACTGTCAACCAGAAGTAACAGTGAGATTGGTAAATGTGCTGGTCACTGTCAACCAGAAGTAACAGTGAGATTGGTAAATGTGCTGATCACTGTCAACCAGAAGTAACAGTGAGATTGGTAAATGTGCTGGTCACTGTCAACCAGAAGTATCAGTGAGATTGGTAAATGTGCTGATCACTGTCAACCAGAAGTAACAGTGAGATTGGTAAATGTGCTGGTCACTGTCAACCAGAAGTATCAGTGAGATTGGTAAATGTTCTGATCACTGTCAACCAGAAGTAACAGTGAGATTGGTAAATGTGCTGGTCACTGTCAACCAGAAGTAACAGTGAGATTGGTAAATGTGCTGGTCACTGTCAACCAGAAGTAACAGTGAGATTGGTAAATGTGCTGGTCACTGTCAACCAGAAGTAACAGTGAGATTGGTAAATGTGCTGGTCACTGTCAACCAGAAGTAACAGTGAGATTGGTAAATGTGCTGGTCACTGTCAACCAGAAGTAACAGTGAGATTGGTAAATGTTCTGATCACTGTCAACCAGAAGTAACAGTGAGATTGGTAAATGTGCTGGTCACTGTCAACCAGAAGTAACAGTGAGATTGGTAAATGTGCTGGTCACTGTCAACCAGAAGTATCAGTGAGATTGGTAAATGTTCTGATCACTGTCAACCAGAAGTAACAGTGAGATTGGTAAATGTGCTGGTCACTGTCAACCAGAAGTAACAGTGAGATTGGTAAATGTGCTGGTCACTGTCAACCAGAAGTAACAGTGAGATTGGTAAATGTGCTGGTCACTGTCAACCAGAAGTAACAGTGAGATTGGTAAATGTGCTGGTCACTGTCAACCAGAAGTATCAGTGAGATTGGTAAATGTGCAGGTCACTGACAACCAGAAGTAACAGTGAGATTGGTAAATGTGCTGGTCACTGTCAACCAGAAGTATCAGTGAGATTGGTAAATGTGCTGGTCACTGTCAACCAGAAGTATCAGTGAGATTGGTAAATGTTCTGATCACTGTCAACTAGAAGTAACAGTGAGATTAGTAAATGTTCCGATCACTGTCAGAAACAAGAGTGTGTTTAGTAAATGAGCAAGTCACTGTTAACCAGAAGAAACAGGGTACATAGTTGGTAAATGTGCAAGTCACTTCCAACCATTACCACTCTCACTCTCAAGATTACATAAGATAACCTCAAATTGAAGTAGACCTGCTCAATGCTCTCACAAACCTCAAGGTGACTCCGCGCATATTGTGAGCTAATAACTGTTGTTCAATATTCATTATCACATTTCATTACGATGAATTACAGTTTCCTAAAAATCTTGAGCTCAAGTAGGATGAAAACATTATTTACAGATTTGGTACCTATTATTGTTGTACAAAATTTGTCCCTATGGTTGAAAATTTGTATCTTGTACAAACTGTTGGTAAAAAACAATTCATTCGTACACATGCTTTTAAAATCAGCAAGACAAAAATTATGAAAGTTTCAAAACACCCATTATGAATGAGAAGACAATATTTATAAGGGACTAGCAGAGTACCCGTCCTTTGTACGGGATTGGGGTATAAAGTATAAAATGCTTATTGCAGTTATAATCGTGCTTTGCGTTTAGAATGGAAGAGATCACGTTTTGGGGTTTTTTATTTTTATTTATTAACTAGCTGTGTACCCGTTCTACGCACGGGGATCTTATAATATTCAGTTGAAACCTTCTTATATAAAGAACAGCAGTTGGTTTGCATATTTTAAGATATGCTGGCCAAACTATTATACATAGCTTCATTTTATGTTGTTTTTTGTTGTTCCGGATCGGTATGACAATCAATAAAAGGTTAAATTACCTCTGTGTCTGCCGGTCGATCCTATAACGGTAGGCTTACTTTTATTTTTACTATCTGATCTCGTTTGCATGGCTCAATCACGTCCTGGTTGAAGTTCGTTCGCTACGCTCACTCACCTGTATGTTGGAGCTCGTTCGCTGCGCTCACTTTCCTTCAGGTTAGCTCGTTCGCTACGCTCACTTGCCTTCAGGTTAGCTCGTTCGCTACGCTCACTCGCCTCCAGGTTGCAAATTAGCTGTTGTCATAAATGTAAAAGAAATAATAGTGCTAGTGCTGCACCCTGTTGGTAATCCTTGTAACTTTAATGCTATTGAACATCACAGAACAGAACCAACTTGTTTAATTGAAACAGCTGTTAAGATTCAATAATTTCATTTCTCATAAGGTTAACATGGGCTTCCAGAAATTCCACGTCAAAAATCGACAAAAACTTGATTTTCAAGGGTTTACTGTTAAATATCTAACTGTCTCATATTCGATGAAATACGTCTAAAACCATCTCATATATGTATAGTATTTGGAAAATAAGTTTCAGGCGGGACAGTGCTATAGTTATTGAGGAGTAGTTGTAATAAAGTGCGTATTTTAGCGTTACCAAGAGAATGACAGATAGACAGACAGACAGACAGACAGACAGACAGACAGAAATTGAGATAAGGTTTGATTCGGTTTCTCTGACCTATGAAATGTAAAAATAACCAAAAAGTTCATTATTCTAAGCAATGTACAGACAAAACTCTAATTTTATTTATATAGATTAAAAAAGACCTATTACTAAGAAATAAATGTTTAAAGATAAATGCAAAGCAGAGGTGGCAGCACAAGAAGTGAGTTTTGACTTCCGACTTTGGTGGTACATAAAAAAAAATATTTCTTAAAAAGTTTGCAAGCCAAACACTCTTTATTAGGTGGTTCTTTTTATTTGGATGTTAGGTATGATTATGATGGTTAGAGTGTCCAATCAAAATTCACCTGTACTAAAACTATTCATTAGACTTCTGTTGGTAGGCCTCTATTGATATTTATGGTTTTACGTGTTGCAGTTACATAAATCTTTGCCCAGTGAATGGTAAAATAATTAAATAAAATAGGCTATTTCTTACAGCAATGTTACACATTAATTTGAATATCCGATGCCATCTTTAGTGTATATTTAAAGCCTAGCATGCCAAAGCTATCCACTAGTTCTTCGTATTAACAAACAAATGTGTAATAAGCTAAATGTTCAATGGTACAGTAAACTAATCATTTTAGACATCTGGTGCCATATTGACTTTGGAATTCTGAAGTACAGTAGACATCCCATCTATATGCACCAGCTGTAGCCCATTTTTAGTTTAAAAAATCATAGATGAATGAACCACTCTCAGAATGCAAGTCCAAAACTAGTTTTATGAATACATTTTTGTTCATCAGATAGTTAATGTTGCATAAACGATGCTTAGCATACAAAAGCTGTCCTATCAGTTTGACTTGGTCAAAAAGTTAGTGCATTTGACAGAAATCGTGGTTCAGAAAAAAATGTGACTCAACTCAGCTATATCAAATTTAATTCAACTGGTGACAACATTAACTTGGATGTAATGTCTGGTTCTGTCAATCGTAAAACCTACTATTATTACAACTTAAAACACTGACCATATCATATTCCTCCGGGTCGGCCACCATGCCTTTGAGACAATAGCGCATACCCTCCTTGGCTATGCGACCAGCGAACTCTTCTCCCGTCCCGGTCTGGCTGCCGTAGAAGGCTACAAGCGACCGACCGGACGACTTGAGCTTCTTGATGAAGGAGTTGTCCCCACTCTGCTGTGTGGGCGACCCGAGCGTTGTCGGTCTGCAAGACAATACAACGGTTTACGAATCTAGTCCATTCGAAAACTTTGAGTTAAGTAATTACCTAAGTAAAGAAATAACTAAATACAAGTTTTTTTTGTGGTTTAAAACTGGTACCAGCTGTTCATGAGCATTGAAATGTTTAAAAACATTACAATAGAAACATCTGATTTACATGTTCCTTTTCATGAGGGATAGGGATGAGACTGATCCAGTGTGTGCCTGAAACTGGTTGTCCAACGCTTAGTAAGTTAAAAGTAAAAGCAGGAATAACCTCTAAAAGCGTTCCATCCTAGATTTGCTATAGTTTGGATAGGTTAGGTTTGATTCTCAACTCCAAATAATAATACAAAGGATATTCCTCAGAAATTGTATGATTTATATCAAATTGCGTGCTTCAACTTTACACATGTGACTGTTTGGTAATGGTATACCTTGTTGTCTATCACCGCCAAAATATTTTACAACCGATCCTTGGCTAGTAGATCTTGGGACTGACTGTCCAAGATCATTTACTAAAAACCCCACTGATCAAAGACAGTTGAGCCCAGTTTTGAACCATCAAAAGCCACAGATTGTTAACAGAGTCAAACTGGCAACAATTAGCAGGTTAGCTCTATAACCACTCAGCACCCTGCCATTTTAATATTTGATAAATACCAAGATCAACCACCTACAATTTAATCCAAACAAAGCATACAACACTTACTGTATCGTGTAGACTGGCTTAGATTCTTCTTTTTTCTTCAGCAACCACCATCCAGCAATGCCAAGAAGGGCGACTATCAACACAATGTCCAGCACTCCAAACAAAGGTTCTTCATTGGCCTCTGCAACAACCTCCTCTACAGCTGACGTCAATGAGACCAACATGACTGCAACAAACACATCAGTGTTACCAAATATCAACACAATGTCCAGCACTCAAAACACAACCCTATTATAATACGGTGATTTGGTTGAAGTTATATTAAATTCAGCACCACCATTGATCAAATGTATTTTATTAAGGGATGTAATAGAGATAAGAAATGAGTTCCTGGGCTGTGATTAAAAAAGATACATAACAGTTGTCGTTTGACACAAAATTCTTATTCCTCATTATTTAGCTTTCACAAGAATATAACATTTCTGCTTGATAGTTTAAAATTTGAAAATGAATCGCAGATTAGAGGATAGTAAAAGAAGGTATATGCATCAACCAGTAAAAAAAATTATTAATTTATGAAATAAAAATTATAATTTAGTCGCTGTCTTAATTGTTGTTGCAAATTATGGTATTTATCATCCAAGGCATTGTTATTTAGACGATACTGTTTAAGACATTTATTTCCACTATAAACTGTAGGTCCCTTAGTTGCCATTCGCTGTATTAATTAACAGCTGTGTCTAAGGAATATGTCGGCCTTAGTCACTAACAAGACTACAAGTTCGTGCCACTCATCTCACACTCATCTCCATTCATATTTGGCTTAAAATACATAGTTTGTATGGTTGCCATTTCATAAAGTATTAAAAGATCAAACAAATAAAGTAGGACCAATCATGGTAATTCATTAAATCATACTGCTTGTGATTGTGAAACACTGTTTAATGCAAATCAAACTACGAAAATAATCTACATTACCAACACCACAATGCTTCTAGTGGTAAACAAAGACAAAGTTGTCAATCACTCTAAAATTCTATTACAAAGCACTCTTGTCCATCCACCAAAATGTATGTCAAGTTATAAATCTTTGACCGCTTCTAAATCTTCAAGTTTACCGTTACTCAGTCGCTATTTATGGGGATATTCTTCTTTTGACAAGATGGAAATATCCTTTACAAAGTCCCGGAATACGGCCAGACTAGTATTTCCGGAGCATTAATATTGAGATGATTCTCTTCCGGCCGTTTTTGTCCAGGGCTGCTAGAGACTTACAACGGTTGAACAAGGTTGAAATAAATCTCCATATCATACATTCATGAGCAAAGCTATTGACTTGTAAAGAATGGACCAGAAGAGGAGTCGAACGGTTAGAAAAAGGAGACCACTGCATCACACACAAAACGCTGAACTAGAGTGGACAAAAAACCTATAAATAAACATTATAGTCTTTGAAGAAGCACTAATCTAACACGGTAACTCAGAACAAAAAAACTTAATGCATCTCAGAACCAAAAATACTATGAGTAAAACACACAGAACTAAAAAAGACTATTGATAAAACATTAAAACTAAAAAATATTATAGATGAAACCTTGAACTAAGATAGCTATTGGACAAAATCAATTGTTCAAATTTTTAGGCATGAAAATTGATTACCTTATCCAACCACAGTTGTTGGTATGATGGCTAGTTTCGTTCCTTATAACTCAAGTCATTTTGTATGCAACCCTAAGGAACAAAACTAGTTGTCATACCAACAACTGTGGTTGGATAAGGTAATCATTTTATTTATCAATAATATATTCCAACTCCAACCAAGGGTCAAAATGAATAATATGAAAATCGAAATAAAATGTTCCTAAAATAATAGAGATCGATGAACCAGAGCAGCTTTATCAAAGACAAACAAGAGAGACAACACAGATAACAGAATGGTACAAGTAAAGATAGTTTGCCATATGTTACATAGTGCAAAATTATATCATTCAAACATAACCTCAAATTCTTTTAACAAAAATGGACTATAAAGTTCCCAAAGAGCTTTAAAATACTATAAATTTTAGTACAATAAACACTTTATAGCCCAGTCAATGAATGCAATAAAACACCCTTTTTCGCAACTAAATGGTGGAAAGCTGGATTTTGTATATGTGATAGAACCACATGAGAGGTGTATTTTCCCAAAAGTCCCCACTTCTACCCCTTGAGCTTTCCCCCCCACCCCCCTCCAAACCTAGAAATTGCAGTGTTTTACTTAATTGATCATAAGTCGAATACTATGTAAGCTATCGAGCTGCAATTTGTTTTGTTTTGTTTCTGATTAGTTTTCCTACAACTTTTATATTTATAACATTTTTCTAAAACCAATACTTAAGGAGATATAAAATTTAAACTTCGTTAAAAGCTTTGTTTCAGAGTGCAAATTTTTGTTTTTATCCATGTATACTTTTAATTAGAAATAATACGCAAATATGGTCCAAACAAAAGTTTTAGTACGTTATTCAAGGTTTACAAATATATTATTGGTTAGTCATCTAGGTGACCGGGTGAAGAGCTGGGCGTCGGCAAAAAGAGCGCGTGCGGGCTAGTTGAACACCTCTGCGCTGCGTCATCGCATCTAGCCCAGCCAATAAACGCACAAACTGCCTTTTTTCGTAGCTAAATAGTGGAAAGCTGAGTTTGTTATATGTGATGGAACCACTTAAGACATGTATTTTCAAAAAGTTCCCGATTCTCCCTTTGAGCTTTCCCCCCAAATCCCTTCCAAACCTGGAAATTACAGTCGTTCACTTTACTGGATATAATTCAAATTCTACGCATTTCATCGTAGTGAAGTTTGATTTGTATTATTTATAATTAGTTTATTCAAAACTTGTGTGCTAAAAGTTTTCTTATAAAACTATATTCAAAGAGATATGGCATTTTAACTTTTTTTTAATGTTCATGTTTTAGAGTACACAATTTTGTTTTACCCTCTATATATCTTTTCGAAATAAATTACGCAAAATGTGCCAGAAACAAAATTTAAGTACCTATGTTTATCAAGGCCTATAAATATATTTCTATATTTGGTTAGTCGACAGAACGAACTGATGTAGTGAGGGCGTCAGCAAAGAGAGCGCGTGCAGGCTTCTTCAAAGCATCCGTGCAGCACAGACCTGCCCGTCGATGCATCGCGTAGTAGGCACCGACATCGCTAAGTTCTTAAAGGTTTTGGTTGTATAAAAATGCTAAGGCTTTGTACTTTGTACTTTACTACCAAAACAATCTATATCCAAGCTTAACCGTGAACTGCAAAAACAATTATTATTTAGATGGAACCCAATCATTTACTTTATAATAACCAGTTTTGGTTCAGGTAAATTAATCTCTACCTACTTACTTGTTATACTTGCAATACCTGTAATACTTGATTTCTTCATCTTTGACCAATGGAAGTTTGATAGATTGAGGTATAGAACACTAGGCCTAATAAACACTTTAAAAATCACTTAAAAAACATACTCTTTGCTCTTCCTTGCATTACAATGTGCTTTCCATTATCTACCACCAATGGGACTCGCTTTGTTCCGCAAGATTTATACTAAACTGCGCCTCGCGGTCAGTAAAGATCTAAACAGCATTCTGCAAAAAAATACTAATTAGATTAAACCTAATCATTTGTACATGTCTTGAATTTATTGTCAGTTTTAACTCGTACCTCACTTGAAATAATAATTGTTTTAATTATTTCTGTCAACGGCTACACCTACTGACAATAATATACACGGATACAAATATTGCATTACATAAAGCTGCGTAAGAAACATACTGAACCCAATGATGAGGTGACCCAATTTGCCTGTGGGTCTGAGGATGATTGGAGTGTCGAATCGAAATCTATCACCACTTACCATCTTTCATTTTTTCTCTTTTTCTTTTTTCTTTTATCTTTTCTTTTATGTATATTTACAGAATTGTGAGTAACATTATAATGGTAAATTTATGTTTTAATTGTTAGGCAATTAGACGTATTTTCTTTTATTTACTTTCCAATTAATTAATGTAATAAAGCATATATCTAAAAGTTATCAATAAGTAAATAAAAACTATATTTGTGTCCCCATACATGCAGGCAAGACTATTTACGGGATACATAAAGGTAGATTATTCAAATTTCCTTTCTTAACATATTGTGTAGATGTGTCAATCGAATTGGGGTTTTTTCGTAAAAATTGGCATCAATGTATTACGAATCTGCTTTACGGCACTAATACGTGGTCGAGATCAATCATTTTTAGAGACTTTATACTGTGAATCTTGGTGACGATCTGTTCTCTAATATTTTTATTGTTTTCATGTTATCTTAAAAATGGATCAGCATAATAGTTCTTAATTGGTTTGTGATAGACATTATGCAAACGTTTAACACCGCTAATAAAGATAAATGCGCTTATTAAGTGTTTTAAAATCTCCTCTATATAAACTTAATAAAAAAGTTAGTTTTAACATTGACTGGTTATAATTTGTATTCATTACCATGATAAAAAATGGCTTATAAATATTACCAACAGTTTTCTACGTTGTTCGTTATATTATTTTAACACAGGCTTACAACTCATGGCAGAGCAGAAAGCTAACCCTTACTAGCGGGAAGCGTGAAGAGAGGGGCATATCAATGACGCAGTTTGTATTGAGGATTAGTGGGTCGATGAAAACTTTTTACTGACCGCGAGGTGCTTCATTTAGTCACGGTTTCGATTGGAAATAGATTGTTTTTATAGTAAAGTAGGCTAAAAATTAGGGAGTCTTAGGATTTGTATGAAACTGTTGAGAACTTAGCGGTGCCGGTCCTTATTATGCATCGACGGGCGGGGCTGCGCTGCGCGAATACTTTAAGAAGCCTGCACGCGCTGTCTTTGCCGACGCCCACACTACATAAGTTTTTTTTAGACGACTTAACAAATATATATTTATATATCTTAAGAAACATACAAAAATTTTCTTTTTGACACATTTTGCGTATTTTATTTCGAAAAAATATATAGAGAGTAAAACAAAATTGTGTACTCTAAAACATATACATTATAAAAAAAGTTAAAATGCTACTTTTTTTTATATAGTTTTATAACAAAATCTTTAGTACAGAAGTTTTAGATAAACCAATTATAAATAATACAAATCAAATTTCACTACGATGAAATGCGTAGAATTTGATTATATCCAGTAAAGTGAACGACTGTA